ATTTAGTTAACACTAGTATTTATTGTTGTCCATTTATGATCAAACCTAAAAAATGCATCTTAATATCAGGTGTAAATGAGACCAGAGAGCTAATGAGAGGCTGAGACAGACAATCAATCAAAGCTCTTTCATATTGTTTTCATAAAGATTGAGAAAACAGATGTGAATCTGGAGTATGTGTGAGTATATATGTGTGAATAATATTCAGATATACAAGCTTAGTGTTGTAACAATTTACAATAATTATTACAATTTTGTTTGTTAAATGTAATAGTTCATTAATATGAACAATGAACCATAATCTTAGTTAATGTTAAACACAAAAAATAACATTTTACAGTGCACTTTTTATACAAAATGTATCTGTTGGTTGCAACACAGGCTCATTCTGAAAATGTAGCCCTATATACATTTCTGGAGAGCGCAAATTATGTACCCAGAAGTACATATAGGTGCATTTCGTCTTTAAAATTAATGCTACAGGGGCGGTAGGAAGCCATTCCTTTACATGCTTACCAGCTGACCAATTACCTCCTAATGGACGGCTTTCCTGCTGTTACCAGTTTATCTGGTAGCTCACCATGTACAACAGCGGACTTGAGACGCAGAGAGGAGTTGATCACAGCGACAGGGTTTGAGTCTGATGAAGAACAATTTAAGAAAGCAGGTAGGACAAAAAAAGAAGACAAAAGGTTAAAAAAAACAATAAATAATAGGGTGAGAATGTGGTAAAATCTGAAAACGTAGTAAAAATAAGACAAGGGCTTTTCTTTTTATGGATTGGTTTTTAAAACTGTTGGTTGGGTTTAGAGAAGTGGGTGGGTGATGGTCAATCTGTGCTTTTAAAAACACTATTGGTTGGGTTTAGGGAAGGAGGAGCGTGGGTCAATCAATGAGTCTGTCGATAGCTGTTTGTCAAGATGCATTCTTCAGTTATCTTGTGTCCTCTTGTTCTCGTGTAACATCATCATTAACTGCCAAAGTTCAGTTCCATCACTCAAGACCGCAAGAACGGAGGACACATGAAACTTCCCGTATGTGTTCTTGATATCGAGGACGTTCAAATGCAGACTTGAGCACCGAACTATCTCTAGAAGTCCCAAAAGTAATAGCAACATTGCGATTTTCCTAAATGAAACTGTGAGTGTAAACATACATGCAAAAAAAAACAAAACGTACCTCAAGTAAGGTATATAGCAGTACGTTTTCAGAATGAGCCTAGGTTGGTTAATATTAATTAAAAATTCATTTGTTTTCATTAATAAAAGAGACTAAGCCGAAAAAGAAAAATAATGAATGAATAATAATATTGTTTGTTAGTTAATGCATTAAATAATAAGACCTTATTGCAACATGTTTATAATATTTTTAATCTTCAAGTGTTTTTTTTCTACCTGGTTAGTATTACTTTGCAGTTTTGATTATCAGTCTATAATTTTGAGATATAATTTTAGAGTTTTGACCATTTTTAGGAAATTTGTTTAATTTCATTAAAATGTGAGCACATACAGTTAAAGTCCACATTATTAGGCCTCCTGTGATTTTTTTTTTCTTTTTCATATATTTCTTAAATGATGTTAAACAGAGAAAAGATTTTTTACCCACAGTATTTCCTATAATATTTTTTCTTCTTTAGAAAGTCTTATCTGTTTTATTTCAGCTAGAAAAAAGCTGTTTAAAAAAGATTTTAAGGTTTAAATGGAGTTAACTGTTCAGCATCGGAACCATGCCTCACTTAACCAATAAAACTTATTTAAGGCAGACCAGCCCTCTAGCACTGTTCTTGTCATTCTCTCGAACCCACTCTCCCTCCCTCTTTGCTTTCCATTAGCAATCCTTATAACCCTCTCTTCCCTCCAAGGTTAAATCGTGGGGTCCAATCATTCTACCAAAATATTACAGAGACGGTGAGTCTTTGGGCATCATCGTAGGACGCCCGATCAACCTAGCTACCTGTTCACTGTTTATTTTCTTACTTCCCTTGCCCTTCAACCCACTGTTTTCAGTTGCCTGTAGCAAAAACCACTTTTATTCAATGAGTTGCCTAATTAACATAATTAGCCTAGTTAGACCTTTAAATTACAACTTAATCTGAATACTAGGATCTTTAAAAATATCTAGTAAAATATTATTTACTGTCATCAAGGCAAAGATAAATTAAATCAGTCATTCAAAATTTCTTATTAAAGCTATTATGTTTAGAAATGTATTGAGAAAATCTTCTCTCCGTTCAACAGAAATTAAGGGAAAAAACATGCTGGGGGGCTAATAATTTAGGAGGGCTGTATGTAATGAAAATGCATTTTATAAGCTTGAACAGGAATAATGAACACACTTTCTATTGATTGTTAGAGTCTGTAAAAAGCAGTTGAGCTCATGAGAAATCATGTAGACGTATGCTCTCAACGATGTGATACATATTTTTTCATACACTTCAATAATTTATCGACTCCGGCGCGACAGGGTAACACTCTACCACCAAAGCTCATTCAAGGTTTCTGAGATGACCCTTGACACCGAGTTGGCAGGGAAATTGCAGAAGTTCAAGCCTGTCTCTGGGTGATTCTGAATTATTGAACCAGCCCAAACTTGCCTCCTTTTTTCTTCATCTCCTTTATCCTGCTTTCACCCAGTTTAGGTCGCAAATCTAGCACTGTCACTTTAGAAACTGTAGCTCGCTGAGGACAGAGCTGTTTTGCTAATTGGACGCCTGGAAAAAAAGTCTTTTGGTTGATGTGCGTTTCTGCTGAGGGTTTATATTTTGTTGAAGGACAGTAAATATTTTGAGAACTATTGCGTGAAACAGATCTCGGTTTGCATCAGAAAGTTTGTGTTGTGTGTCAACATGTTCTCAATCCCATATTTTGTCATATTTTGCCACTTTTTTTTTTGTTTTTTTTTTTACATGTGTATATTTTATAACTGAATTACCTAAATGCACAGATCCAGTATACTGATATACATGCTTTTCTTTCTCAACTCATTATGCTTGTTGGGTTGGGGGGGTTGTTGTCGCGCGCTGTGACTATAAGGTCACATTGTATTTTAAAAACACTGTTAGTTGGTTTTAGGGAAGGGTTTAGGCCAGTGGGTCACTATTTGAACTACAAGCCCTGCTTCTTTTGAAAGTGTACAAGAAGGACGTGATATCTGAAACATACATAAAATGTACCTTTTTTTAATCAGAAAAAGTCTATATTTCTATAAAAAAAAAAAAAACGTTTTATTCATAAAAGTAATAAAAACATGTTTTATGTTGTCTCCACATTCCCTCCAGTATTTTTAGCGGTCTAAATTTCTTTTATTCATTCATTCATTTAACCACAGAGAATTGTTTTTGCACTTCTTTATTTCAGACACTGCGAGAACAGCTTCTCTCCCATGATGCACTTCAGAACTGAAAATTCTGTGCGACTGCCACAAGGGGGCGTATTCCGACAGTCATGTCCAAATGTTATGTGCTGTGGAAAGGCGACTTAAGTATCATAAGTAACATACCCTAAGCAACATATTTCAGATTCACAAAAAATGTATGCAGCGCCCTCTTGTGGATTTCTACTCTGAAACATGCAACAAAATTAACCCAGGCATGGGTTATGGTTTGCAAAAATGTAGGCTAAGGCACATATTTCCAATGATACTGGGCTAGGATTTTTCCATAAATTTATGCATATTAAGTATGAAAAAATAAGAAAAGAACTTTGTTTGTCAAAAAAGCGATGAAAAAATAAATTAAAAAGCTTTCCTCCTTAATCTAGCACTAATTTCTCTGAGCACTAACAGTTGATTTGTATAATTAGAACTTCTTGAGCGTGTTGCCTCTACTTATTGAATTGTAATTTTCTTTAGACAAAAGCAAGGAAAAAATGTTCTACACTAAATATAAAACGTAAATATATATTTTTTAAAAAAGTGTGCACATAGTTTTAGGTTAGTACACCCAATGTTTGTGTCCTAATTTTATTTGGCTTGATTTTTACAATGATCTAACATTGTGCTTTTACTCTGCAAGCTGGAATGTTGCTGCACAGAATATAAATAGCATAATATAAATAATAAATAACATATTATAACTGCTGCACATAATATAAATTTATAAAGGAATGCTAATATTGAAGATGCTTGCATAATAAAAAATATTTTTTTTTGGTTCCTGACATGCTTTCAGAACTGTTGAATGCGTTGTAGAGGATTACTGTTTATATACATTGAAAATAGACGATACAACATTTCTGTTAACCTAAAATCGGAAGAATCACTCCCTACAAGTGCACAGTTTTGTTGCTGATGTATATCTTATTTTACTGATTTATTTATTTATCTTTACTTAATTGTCCACCACCCTTTTTTCTTATTTTATTTATTTGTTTTATTTTATTGTTTATATTTTTTATTATGTATAACATTAGTGTATATGCGCACAAAAAAGAAAGCATATATTGCTGAAAGAGAAAGTGGATGTACAGAATTTGTGCTTATTTGCGAGTGTATTCAGATGTGTGATCTCTGACTTGTACCTGATGTGTAAAACCTTTTGAGAAAAAAAAAAATCAATCAGTTTATACTTAATAGAGAGGGGTTTTAGAACAACAACTGGTTCAGTACATAATTGCTGAATTTGCACCATTCAAAAGAACAACAAAAGTAAAAGTACCACATTTCTTACATTTGGAAATTGCTCAGTCACCAAATTACCCCTGACTAGTGTAATGATCTATTTTTATGTGCTGCTTTTCTTTTCAATGTTATACTAATTGAGCAAGAGCGAGTGGGATTGATTAAGTAAATTCTTGATTTAATGTGATGTCTATCTACTAGTACAGCTCCTCTGGCCAGTTTGTCTTTCCTCGTCCTACTAGCTCCACTTCTCTAACTTTCTGTGGAAGGAAATTGTCCTATAATAAGTGTCTCTCGCATTGGAGCGCTGCCCCACAGAGCGGCATTGACAGACCAGCCGTGCTGAGATTTGACGGCAGTCCTCTTGTGTTTCCACCCTGCAGTTTGACATGCAACAGATGTCCCTGGAGGAGCTTAAACACGTCCTGTTCCACGCCTTCAGAGACCATCTCACCATGAAGGACATTGAGAACATCATCGTCACCGAGGAGGAGAGCTTGAAGGAGAACTCAGGAAACTGCCAGACGGAATTTCAGGGAGGTAAATAAACTAAAAGGATTATTTTATTTTAATTGACGGATCCGGAAACAGTTTGAGGTGATTCAAGTTTTTCAGATGCTGGAAACTTTTAAGAAACGTCATTGAGGGTGCTGCTTGCAGTTCTGACAGGAACTGGAAAGTTCAGTTTTGAATGAAACAAATAAAAAGATTACATTTCATACTTCATATGATTGGCAGAGTACAGCAGTGAACGGCCAGCTTTCAGAGAATTTTCTACATGGTTTATATTCTTAACAACATTGAACTAAACCAGCTCCGAGATTAATCAGTTTAATTTTTATCAGCTATTTTTGGATTGATTATTTATATCAATATTAGCATTACTATATAAAATGACATTTAAATGTAGAACGCAAAGCATATAATTATAAATAAACTAGTAGAAGGAGTTTAGTAATATTATTTGCAATTGGCTTATGGTAATGAAAAGTTTGCTGCTGAATTTCCTTACATTCTCATTTCTCAGTCAGTTTTTTGACTGATCTCACTAGGAAACGTAATTACTTTACGTTTTGTCAGTTTAGTGGCTAATTCATACTAATTGTTACGAGTTCAGTTGTGTGAAAATTTTTAAAAGAAGGCATGGCATCCAACTCCATCCCTAAACCCAACCATCATTGGGGGATGAGCAAATCATACTAAATTGTATAAATGAGATTGTATGAATTCATATGAATTAGCCAATAATTCAAAAAGTTACGAATTGCCGTGAATGAACGTTGGCAATTCCTAACTTTTTTACGGATTAATAACAATTTAGTGGCTAATTCGCATTAAATTTTATGATTTCATTTGTTAATTTCAGTAGGATTTGCTCAGCCACCAAGAGGGGTTGGTTTAGGGGTGGGGTTTGGGAGCATACCTCCTTTTAAAAATCAGGTTTTTTATACACTAGAAATGTATATGACTCAATGGAATAAGTTAACTTAATTGAATAAGTAAATCAGGTTTCATCTCATTTTAAAGTTCTACAAAGTTTAACTTAATATGCTTCACCAGTTTGACTAATGTAAGTTTAGTTGACTAAAAAATTTAATTAGATTCATCTAAAAATATTTAAGCCAGGAGCAATTTTTTTTTTTAAATGATATGAATTCTGATGAATTTGCTACTTAACGTCTATACATATAATACTTACATTTTATTCTGAGATTGGCAAGAAATTACATGTGTTTGTGAAATTTCAAACTGAATAGTACTTTGTGTCTGAAATTGCATACTGTATGGTAGGGGAGCAACAGTACAAGAAGGTTTTGATTTCAATTAAGAATGAAATTGATTATTTTTTTAAACAGTGCTTTACTAAAAGATCCTGACTCTGTCTTTAAATAAATGCTACTTAATTTAATGACATTTTTACGCATAAAAAGCTTATATTATGAGCCATTTAAATTAATCAATTTATTTTGGATATGACTAACCTCATTCAAAAAGACAATTTTGCAAACATTTAAATTGCCCAATTGCATGTCTTTACACTCTAAAATTTACTTTCTAAAATTTTAATTCTAAAATGTACATGTCTAAATTTAATTAAAAAAAAACTAATTAATTGCTTAAATATAGGATATATTAAAAGACTATATATTGATTCATTAAATATTTAATTTAAATAGTTTTTAATTATATAAAAATATTTATTACAATATAAAATATTTAGAAGCTTTTATTGTAATGGTTAAAGTACAACAAAATGTATATAGTTCATTTCAAATAAAATTTATTTAAAAAATTAAATAAATCTATTAAAATTGAATTATAAAATATTTAATCACGCCGGTTTATTCCGCTGTGGTGACCCCTGATAGATAAAGGACTAAGCCGAAGGAAACTGAATGAATATTTACTCGCGTATAAAGAAACCGTAAGAATCCGTTCTTTTCATGAAAAAAAGCCTTTTCTTATTGGTGCGTCCAATGAGAAGCTTGTTTTTTTCAAGTGAAGCTGAAATCACATTGACTTCTGGCTTCAGCAGAAGCATACATCATCACTTAACAATCTTGGAGCTTATAGTAGGTCTTTAAAGGCTTATATGTTATCATTAAAAATCCATTTCTTTATGGATTTTTACTTCCAGAGCCAGACTATTGCGCTCTATAACCTGCTGTGTTTGCCCAGAAACTGGCCATTTAATGTTATAAGAGTTCAGTGCTCTCTGTCCATTATAGGTTTTTTTTTTTTTTTTGGACTAAAAGCATCTATGAAAGCAAATACTGTTATATTTTTTTCACTACAATAAGACATTCAAAATTGGTTGCTTTCAAAGATTTTTTTATAAAGTGTTATTGAACAAGACGTTTTCATCACCAAACAAAAGCAAGTCGGATTTCAAAACCAAGGAAATTATCATAAGTTCACATCCAATTATATTTCAACAGTTCAATATTTAATCTCAACACAAAGCACAAAATAGCAACACCAACCGAATGCAATTGAATCTGCTAGCCAGAGAAAAAAGGTGAATAAAATGTAACAATTTCATGCCTCAATATCCAATTAGTGTCGCAATCTTTTAAAATACAGCTTTACAGCCTCTTACTGCACCCTTAAACAGTTTCACGCCAATACTTAATGCTATTTTTGTGTGCGTGTGTGTGTGTGCGATCATTACTGTGTCGAGTCCTGTGAGGCAGTTCAGTGTTTTGTTTCATTATTATGCATATTCAAAGCCTCATTATGCACAGAGATCAACAGCATTGTTGGGATGGCTTACGCTTATTGTGTGCTGTCATCTTTCATATAGTGCATTCGAAAAAGAAGAACCGGCAGACATGTGTGCGCAAGAGCCTCATCTGCGCTTTCGCAATGGCCTTCATCATCAGCGTCATGCTCATCGCAGCCAATCAGATGCTGCGGAATGGCATGGAGTAGCCCAGCCCACTGTGAAAACAGGTTAATCTGACCTCTGCTTAAAAAAACAAAACAAAAACAAACATGCATCGCTTTCTTTTCATTTGAAGAGCCCAGGATGTGAATCCCTTTTTTATATTTATTACGGCTACTGTGATTGTGACAGACTCTGAAACAGCAGAGAGGAATGTCCTCCATCATCGGCCTGACAGGGACACGCAAGGGCTCCTCGCTGGATACCATTTAATGCAATAACATCCTGTGTCCCTCTGCACTGCTGCGTGTTTTTTCTCATCCGCTGTCTTTCAAAGGCGACGACTTTGTACTTTATCTCACTCCAGGCCTTGCCACATGGGAACGATGAGGAGAGATTGGCAGCCTGTCCATCTGAGCCACCGCAGGATGTCTGGCATCAAGAGTGTGTGCATGCTCATCTCAAATATGCTGTCCATTTTGTTCTGTCTTGAAGATTGGTTATTGGATTTATTGAGGATGTTGTTTGATGTCGGGTGTCTTTCGGGGGTGAGGCATACTGTCACGCTTTTATAGTGTTTGGTATGCAAAGAAAGTCCCTGTTGGCAATATATGCAGGATACAACCGTTAAGGAATAGACTAGTGGTTTTCAATCCTGGTCCTCGTGACCCCCTGCTCTGCACATTTTGTTTCACTTACCACTTCAGAGGTTAGTAAATGGCCTGCAAAGTGGACATCAGAGGATATTCTGTCATGATTCTAGTTCGAAAGACGTGTGTTCAATTTAAAGAGTATTAAAGTTCAAACAAAAATGAATATTATGGATCAGGGAGGGGCCAAGCTGGAGTATCTCTCTGATCCCCTGGGCTCTGGTGGTTGTGGAAATTCTTAACTGAACCAAATAAATGATTAGGGTTGGCTCAAGATGAAAAATGAAAGTTCAGCCAAAGTGCTTCAACTGGCAGGACCTGGAAAATTTAAAAAACAAATAATAATAATAATAATAATAATAATAATAATAATAATAAAACAATTAATATTATGTTGTTTTAATCCTCCGAGATCTTCATTCCTCTTCAGAACATGAAATAATATATTTTAGAATAGAATAGAAGCTCCTTTTTTGTATATATGTATATTTATTAAGGTTTTGCTTTTATAAAAAGAAAAAAATAACATTCTTGTGAAATAATGATCTACATTGACAACAACAGTTAAACAAATACCAAAAACAAAAAAAAAACTAACAGACAAGAAAGTTCAGCTCACACACAAAAATTGGGCTTACAGGTACACATTTACAGTTAAAGTCAGAATTATTAGCCCCCCTTTGAATATTTTTTTTCTTTTTTAAATATTTCCTAAATTATGTTTAACAGAGCAAGGAAAAGTTCACACTTTGTCTGATAATATTTTTCTACTGGAAAAAGTCTTATTTGTTTTATTTTGGCTAGAATAAAAGCAGCTTTTAATTTTTTTAAAAACCATTTTAGGGAAAAAATTATTAGTCCCTTTAAGCTATATTATTTTTCAATTGTCCACAGAACAAACCATCGTTATACAATAACTTGCCCAATTACCCTAACCTGCCTAGTTAACCTAATTAACCTAGTTAAGTCTTTAAATGTCACTTTAAGCTATATAGAAGTGTCTTGAAAAATATCTAGTAAAATATTATTTACTGTCATCATGGAAAAGACAAAAAATCTGTTATTAGAAATTAGTTATTACAACTAATATGATTAGATATGTGTTAAAAATCTGAAATTTGAGAAAAAATAAACGTGGCTAATAATTCAGGGGGCGAATAATTCTGACTTAAACTGTACATACATGGGAGTTTAGTACAGTAGGTCTGGAAAAGTATAAGAACATTTTTATTATTAACTTTTAATAGTAAGTGTGAAACAATTTACAAAACCAAAAAAAAAAAAAGTGTGCCCAGTGTTGCCAACTATTTTCAACGAAAATGCGCTAAGCTCTGCCTGAAAAATCAATAAATGTTGCTAGATTATATCATACGTAACGTTGCATATTACTGACCTCATCATGTCTAACTGTTTCTGTTTGTTTACCAGCCTATGGTTAGTACAGGGGTATTTATATTTGCACTATGCAATTTGACTAAATTTATTGCTGTTTGAATACAGTATATCAGTATAGATGTGTAGTGAATTTGCAGTAAGCTCCCAGACGCAATAAACTCAGACAAGTTTTGAAACTGTCATTAAAATATCTGTGATTGTGAACAAGAAAATGATAAATTGTCAAATTAAATTGTTTAAATTTAAAGCAAAGGGGAAGCAGATTGGTCTAACTGTATATAGGAAATCACACTCGCAGTGCTAAATCATTCTCAAGCTGCAGATTGGACAGACTGCTGTACAAGGACTGGGGTGACTGTGAGTGCTCTGGGGAGCGGCTGACGGCATCGCCCACAGCTCATTGAGAAGAGTAGGAATGGTACAGTATGTACACATGAAAGTCTATTAAAATCTCCAGTAAGACCAAAAAATTTGCTAGATTTGTCGCTAGTTGCTTTTTTGAAAACTTGTCTTTAGGGGGGTTTGACAAGTTGCTAGGTATAGTGATAAAGTCGCTAGGTTGGCAACACTGAGTGTGCCCTATACTGACACTGAAGACATAAAAATGAAAATAGCTTGATTATATTCCAATTGAACCTCTGCTGTCTATGGGGGATGACAGAGCTCTCTGGTTTCAAAATATCTTAATTTGCGTTCTGAAGATGTAATGTAATAAGATGTCTCTGAGGTTTGAGAAAAGAAGTGGAGTGAGCCTTGTCAAGTTTGGTTTTACCAGACGACATGAAGGTAATTAATTAACATAATTAAATTGGGAGAAAATATATGCAAATCTCATGATTGCGACTGAATATCCCTGCACACCTTTGTCATAAGTTTTGTTTTAGGATGATGCAAACAGTGTTGTGCAGTCTAAATCAGGTGTGCTAAACAAGAGGAGGTCGCGAGGACCAGAACTGAGAACCACTGGATTATTAAAATGGTGTCAGAACACTTTTTCAGGTTCTGAAACTTTTTCCCCCATTCATTTTTCTTATAGGGAAAGTCTTTGATCAAGCATTAAAGGCATGAACCAAATTTACCAGAACATTTAATCACAACATTAAAAGTTTGATTTGACGCACAAAGGTACAAGACTTGACATATTTAATGAGGGAAAGGACTACAATCCTATGCAGCACTAACTGCAAATAGCACCCACAGAATAATACAAAATAACAAAGAAATTTAAAACTGTTAATATAAAGTTGTTGGTTGTATCTAAAGAAACTATATATTTTATACTATTTATACTTTATTTTCACTATTTTATTATACAGTAGTAGCATCTAGACACTGCCCTGACTACTTACAAAATTTGCAGCGTTTCAAGGGAGTGGATGGAACAAAAAATGGGGTTTTATGTACAACATTATGGGTAATGTTTTTCTGTCAAATTCTGCTATTATTGTAGAATGAATGTAAGCAGATCTAAAGCTTATGCAATCGATTAACATCGTCAGAGCTCAAAAGATCTGTCTATAAAGGTTTTTAAGTTTGTGTTTCCTATAGAGAAAGCAGGGCGGGAGGGGGGGTTACTTCCAGAACCTGAACTTTGTGCTCTGTACTGTATCCTACAATGCATCATGACCTTTCAGATTTGAAGAATGAACCAGCTGTTTTTCCTTTGATTTACTGTCAATACTAAATGGATTCATTTTTCTTAAATATTATATGAAAATAGTAAATATAATCATACTTTTTCCAAGGCAAAGTAAAGTAAGAATGCCCATTTTAAATTATATTGGCCATTATAATTTTAAAGTACTTTACATTAGCATAATTGAGAGAGAGAGAGACAGAGAAAGAGAGACAGAGGATTATAAAAATGAGCCATAAATCAATTTCAAAATCATTTAGGAACAAAAATGTTTGTAAACCAAAAACATGAATGGGAATGACAGTTTCATTTATAATGATAACTGTCTGGCTGTTAGCTGAGCTAAACTTTTTCAAATAATGACAACAATACCAAAAATACTAACTCAATTATTTACTTAGACATGACTTGAAAAGTTTGTAGTAGGAGTTTCTTGGAAATTAATACTTTTATTCAGCACAGATGCATTAAATTCATTCAGTGCGATCATAAACAAAAGATTACAAAATATGTGTATTGAAAAATACATGCAGTTCTATCGAATTTTCTTTATGAATCCTGAAAACACATGTATCCTTTTGTTTTACTGCATTAAGGCATCTATTTGTAATATTTATTATTAAAATTATTTCTAAAGGTTTAAATGATACTAAAATCTGAATGAAAAATTTCAGAATAATTGAAATTTTAACCTGAAATGTTACTTTAAATTATGAAAACTATCCCACCGACCCCAAGTCTTTGTACAATTACAAACCCAGTTTGAGCGGAAGCATACTCATATCTCATTGTTTGCTATACATATTGCTATAACAGATTCCATATTCTGCAAAGGAAGTGGGATGAACTCAATTCCACAAAACTCCATATTTTGTCCATTAAAGCTAAACCGAGTTCTGTCACTTTATATAGAAACCTTAAAATAATTGCTTCATTCATTGCCTAATAATCTCTCGAAAAAAAAGAGAGAGTATAATACTCTCTTTGTTTTAGTATCAAAGTCTTCTCGATATCTGCATATATTGTCTGGTCAAAATATATGACACTGAACTTCTGCGGAAGTGTCTATGCGACATAGTTTGGACTTTTTGGTCCATTTTTAAGTTTTAATTCACTCTCAGGCTCAGAGTCAGTGAATGCGACAAAAATTGCTCTGAATCAACCAGAAGATAACTGGTCAGTCTTTAAATACAGCACTTTTTTCTTTTACAGTCTGCGTGCAATGTTAAATATTTGTCTACCTGTTTGTCTATATATTTATAATGTATCTGCACATACATTAGTCCCCGTTCCCTGTGTACTTGTAGTACTCACAGCCGTTTGTCACAATCCCCTGTATATTGCATGTGTATTTATGCATATAGTACCACACTTACTGCACTGTCTGTTTGAATGTGTCATGTTTGCATGTTCAGAACACTAACGCAGTGCTTTTCCAAGGTCTGTAACGCTTGCAGGCATTTGCTGAAAGCATCAGTCTAAATGTCTGAACTCCCTTTGTTTCCTTCCTGTGAGCAAATTTTATCTGAAACCGTACCAGCATTCAGTGCCAAAATACACAGTAGAGGAAAAGCGGATTATTACTGGACAAAGATCCTGTCAGTTTTCCAGAAAGTCACAGAGTGTCAGAGAACGGCTTGATTGAGGACTGGTGCTTTTTTATTCTGTCAGTCTGTGCTTCGGAAACTTCCAGATCAATGTCGCCATCTTGTGGGCTCCGCTGAAGATTTGAGGTAAAAATAATAATTGTTTGGTGAAGATGGAGCGCGTCTGACAAGCCATTTTGATTTTGATTCATTAGCAGGATATGAATTATTGATATACAATTACATTTTTATCTATTAAAATGCTAATTCTTAATATTAGGAATCAGATTTCTACACACATGAATCAAATTCTTGATATTCACTGCTAAATTCAATTGTTGATGTCAAGACTTGATATCTTGTTAGCTAAAATCCCAATTTAATATATCCTAAATACAACTAATTTATGAAAAACCTTCATTTATGATATCAGTATGATATTTAGTGGTTATTAGACAGCTATTCTTTAGGCTATAGCAACAATTGATCTGCTTCTTTTTTATTATTATGAAATTATTTCCTGCTGAAAACAAAACTGCAAATGCTGGTAAGGTATGTTTTGATGCTGGTTTTGCTGGTTTCAATGCTTTTGCTGGTCTCTTATTCCTGGTCAGCATTGAGACCAGCACTGAAGCCAGCACGACCAGCATCGAAACCAACAAAACCAGCATCAAAACATACGTTACCAGCATTTTCTTTTTACAGTTTTTTTTTGTTTTCAGCAGGGCTGTCATTATGGCTAGTAAGAAAGCCATATATCTGCACTTACTCTCCTAAATACTGATATCAGACAACAGTGTAAGACATTGAAACAATTCACCACAATACAATTGTTGATGTGAAGATGTTAATTTCTGGATGTCATTATTGATATCAAGAGTTATGAGATTCATCTAGTGAAATATGAATATTTGATCATGAAAATTAATCCTGCGAAAAAATAAAAGTCAAGATAGCCTGCCATATTGTAACAAAAATGTTCCAAAAAAGGAAACGAGAGTGGAATTCAGTGTAAATTCCTTATAAATCAGATTGTTGGACCTTGTCATTTAATTTTATTTTGAAACATTTTTAACTAGCCATTCTTCTATGTATACCCTTGCTTGTTGCTATCTTGTTAGAATCTACAATCTCTCTAGTTTATGGGCATTTTGGAAAATATATACTAAAAAATTTGGTTTTATTTGCTACCGTATTTTATATTTTGTTGATTAATAATTTTTATGTTTTATATTGGTTTGTAATCTCACAAAAAAAGATTGATAGGATTATTCTTTTTATTTACTCTCAATCCAGATCCTAATCTTATCCGAATCTGAAAGCATGCCAAATAAAGTTTTATATGTATGTATTTTTATGGAATATATCAAAAAGGAGGACTATTATTATGCAAAACAATACACTGCATGCAGGATGTGGATTGACAGTCAGATTACAGCAATATGGTTTCTAAACAGAAATGTATCATTATATGTAAAATATATGAAGAAATAAATTAAAATTATTTATTGAGAATGACAATAAACATCTCTTTGTGTTTAATTAATCGCTCAAAGCTATTTTAAAGAGTGAAGAAAACTGGTAGCCAATGACTTGCATCATATTTGTGGATGCTAATGGCTACCAGTTTCCAACATTCTTCAAAATATCTTCTTTCGTGTTCAACAGAAAAACAACATAAAATTCAGAACTATTAGATGGTGAATAAATGATGAGGAAGTTTTAACATTTTGATCGAACCATCCCTTTATTCATTTTTTTTTCTCTCTATATAAAATAAATCACCACAAAAAAGAGGGCAGTTTTGATCTTTTTAATTTATAGCATCCACAAAACAACATGTTTTTTTTCAACCATCAACAAACACTGGCATGTTTCAACAAAAATACTGCTTTAAAAGGCATGAAGTAGATTGTGATATGTTGAGGTAATCTGTTTGATGCGCAAAACTTCCACATTCACTCTTAATAATGTCTTTTTCTTGTCAGTTCTACAGCTTTGACCACAAACATATCAACACAAAAAATGTTACGGGTCACCTCTAGTATTCAATGTGTTTAAATTATAACTTAATTTATGAAGGAAATATAATCAAGGTAAATAAATGAAGAAGAAAAAGGCACTTGTTTTAATTTCAACAAAAATAATCTGTTTTAGTGACACTTAAAAAATGATGTCAACTCAATATATATTGCCTCATTAGGAGAACACTCTTATCCAACAGAGTGTTCCTAGGTATGATATTAATCACTTTAAAGAATTTATGGTATCTATTAGAAAAATATGTTAAAACATCTTTACATAACTGCTAGTCTCTTACTGCTAATACTGTCACAAAATAGTACAGCATCAAATGTAATATAATATAGCACCGCTGCTGTAGTGACTTCACTCTGAGGGCAGCATTAAACAATTCAAGTCAATTCAAGACTGCTCAATGTGCGATTTAATTACATTTGAAGGATTTAAAATATTATTTAGATTTAGCAGTTTTATGAATTTTAAATTTGTTGCTGCTGTTATTTTTTATTATTTATGACTTATAATTTGTGATCAGATTTTTGCCCATTAGATATTCAGAAAACATGGATGTTGCAGGTTATTAATTTATGAAAAACACTGATTGTAATCTCTAATATGTGAAATTCTGAAATTGTTTGTGTTGCTTCTTTATGGCTTATTTATGAATTTTTTGTATTGTAATTTCAACATTTTTGGCCTTTTTGTTTAAATGTATGAACAGCTTGAATTTCGGTTTCCCTTATTATACACTACATTTAAAACATTTAAGGTCAGTCAGATTTTCTTCATGATTTTAACAGTGTAAAAATATTTTAATGTTGTTTTAACTTATTTTAATACGTCAATCAGGTTTCAACTTCATTTAAGTTAAACATGGTTAAACTTAACTTTTTTAGTCAGTATAAAACAGAAAAGGTCATTCCATTCAACTAAAAAAGTTGAGTAAAAAAAAGTTTTTTTTAGTGAATGAACAGTGAAATTACAATTTAAAATAGCTGCTTTATGTTTTCATGTATTTTTAAAGAACATCATTCAATTAATATAGCAGTCTTACAATTGTATGTGTCCTTGATGAAAAAAAGCTGACCAAAATGTTTGAAAAGTAGTGCATGCTGTGCAATTTAAAACCATATGCTTCAAGTGTTAAAAATGAGCATGAGGCACAGAGTGATTATGAAACCATTATTCACAACAGCGCGAGGCTGCTCATCAGGACTGGTAGGTTAAGAAATAACAACACCTCTATAAAATCAAGAGTCCAGCAAGTTCAAGCGTTTCTCTAGAACTCGCTGTGTAATGGACTGTGGAAATCTCTTGATCCAGCCTCACTGGGTTTGATAAAGATGCCCTCCATTGTCCTCCAGTAGCTGTGTGAGCTGCTGACCATCATGCCATGCACCTCTCTCTGGCCGTGGATGGGTCTGCCGTACTGCTCGCCTGTCACAGACAGCAGAGCCTCGGTGGCCGTGTGCTGGAAGCGGACAGACTCGTCCCTCTGCCAGATGGAGCCCGCGCACAGGACCGTCCACTCGTCCAGATGATCACCCTCACCGTTCTCACCAAAGGCACTGACCTCCTAAATGAGAAGAGCTTTGAGTAAACATGTATAACGAGACTTATAACATCAAACTCTCCAAGTGCACTGATGATTATGCTTACCTTTCATTTAGTGTGTAAATGAAGCTGGTTGGAATGTAAAATGTGTTGCAGAGTTATGGACCCTTTTTTGCAAGACAGTTATAGTATGATGTATTAAACAGTCATCAGCATCTTGAATTTTTGGAAGTTTTAAAAGTTTTTTTTAATTCACATTTATATGTATTTATGTATTTGTTATATCGTCTTTGCATCAAATTACAAAAAAAAAAAAAAAGAATTACCGCTTGTGTGTGGCATTTCTAATGTACATTTTATGTCTTTTTCTCATCTCGCTGCTGTTATCAGTCACACTCATTTTTATTATTTTTTTTTTTTGTTTCTGAAAGTCTTGATAACACTATGGTTGTGTTTTTCTTTTATGGTTTGAGCAAATAGGACTGTAAAAAAAAAAGTGGTGGTACTCTCCCATTCACTGTGCTCGAAGTTTAACTAACTATGATGATTCCTGATGCTGAGAAACCCAGAAATGTGAAAAAAAAGTGTGATGCAAAAGAGAGAGCTGTTACTCAATTGAATGAAATGAATCATTAGTAATTACAGATTTACTTTTTATTTATTCATAATTGCTTATGAACAGCCTCTACTTTGACCCTCAAACACTATAGGTTATATATTGGATACTGAAAGAGTTTGGTTTGTGTTGTCTATATGCGAAGATGATCCTTTTTTTCTGTCATGTGTATGAAAATCCACTTTGCATGCACTACCAAAACTTTCTTCTCTGCCAGTTCTATGCTGACATATTTTGGTAACATTTCATGTTCTTATAACTGACATGACACATTCCTAATTATGATATGATACATCATTAATATGAATGAGACTGCGTATACCACAGTTCGGTTTGGTTATTGAATCTGATTGGCTGATAGCCGTGCAATATTCTGCAATATCAGCACTCGTACAGCCTCTTCCCCCTTGTGTATTACTTCACCCACATACAGTAAAGAGCAGAGGACACACTACAGTTTGATAAATATTGCTGCTGTTGGACAACATAATGTACTTTTGAGGCTTTTTTAGTCGGGAATGTAGTTATTTAGATTGCAACAATGCAGTTTATTTATAAGAACAATGCCCATTTTAAATATTTATAAATTCAGCACTTCAGCACATCGGCTCCCATCAGCCTGTCATACTGAGCGGACCAAAGATAGTGATGGTTGACATTTCGCCACAAGATGGCGACAAGGACTGCATAATAAGGCCTTAGAGCAGGGGTGTCAAACTCAATTCCTGGAGGGCCGAAGCCCTGCACAGTTTAGTTCCAACCCTGCTCCAACACACTTACTTGTAGGTTTCAAACAAGCCTGAAAGACTCAATTAGTTTGATCAGGTGTGTTTAATTAGGGTTGGAACTAAACTGTGCAGAGCTGCGGCCCTTTTGGAACTGAGTTTGACACCTGTGCATTAGAGGGAGAAAAACTCAGCGTTTTCTCAATGTATGTTTCAAACTACAGCTTATCAAAGGATTATGAAGCGACTAAATTTTAAGTCGATATCTCTCTTTTGTATTTTGTAGTGCAGTATTTATATCACACAAACTGGTAGTCTAAGCTTTGCATTGGCTTTTTCAAGGTTAATTATTGTGATATCCCTTTTGAAAGAGAGAAATACTGGGAAATCTCTGTAGACTGATGACATTTTTTGCCGTTCAGCCTTATAATCTTAAAATGTGAGCAAAAAAAAAAAAAAAAATCACCTGTTTTGTCATCATTTTAGACATTAAGCTAGAGAATCTTTCAAATACCAGTTTTAATGTGATGTTTGTTAAGTAGCAATGGTTTCTGCTGTACTGATGTCAGCTGCAGATGTGAATGAATGGCGGAAGAAAGTAGATTCTTGTGCAAAAGGGTTTTTGAGACTGTGTTTGATTTTCTTTTTATACACACGATTATGCTGTCTAACTATTGTATAAACGCAATATCACACTCGTAGCATTACGGTATTGCTATATATCTGCACTGGTGGGACACTAAGGCACTCGGCCTGCAGCCTTGAGCCAACGCACGCCTCCCACCAGTGCCGTTACACCCCATTCACACAGCGTCAATGTTTCCCATTCAGTTTGAATGGGTGACGTCAGGCATTGATGAACTGCATTGAGGATCTGTCGCGCCCCTTTAGAGGCATTGCTCGCTGCAAAAGTTGGGACTTGCTCAACTTTTCAAGCGCCGACAGAAGCATCAGCCAATCAGATCGCTGTATGCAAATACACCAGCTCAGACAGTGGCCTATTGCTGATTAATTTAATTGGCTGACGCTGCTATGACGATCGCGTCAGCCCCAACTTCAGACACACCCACTGTCCAGCGTTGACGCTGAAGCCCCATGTGAACGAGGCGTTAGACAGCCATATAGCACTGCTATGAGTGTGACATTGCATTTATACAACAGCTCGACAGCATAATCGTGTGTGTATAAAAAAGAAAATCAAACACAGAGAGTTTCATTTATGGCAACTGTAATCATCTGTCATTAGCCCATTACTGGCACTATTAAAAATTATTTTGACATATTTGTATTTTAAAAAACTGTTATAAAAAAGAAAGATTTAATCAGGAAAATATTCATGATACAATTTTAAAGGCCTCACGACAATCATGTTCATGACTGACTAATGACAACTTATGTAATGCAATACTTATGTAGCTTTTCATACAGTGCTTCACATATAAATATTTGATTTAGATATGTGTTAATGGAGATATTAAAACCTGATTTGAAGAAAGCGGAGAGGTGAAGTAGTGGCTGTGTAGATTGCGGCCTGTGTTCACATGGGTCAGTCGGATATTTTGTCCACAACGTACAGGAGTCCCTCGATGACATGAGTGATCACTGGTGCCCCGAACACTCCAGTAACTGTTACTGTCCTCCACTGTGGTCACACCTGTCACTGACTGCTGACCACTACCTGCAATTACAAAATCATAATAACACATTTATATTAATTAATTTATGTGAAGCAAGGATGCATTAAGGCAATTAAAAACAGAATTTTACTTTATTATAGAAGAATTCTATTAGAGATGATTAATACATCAGTGACCATATCGGTTTATCAATCAGCCAATAACTGCTTTTTTGTGTTTCCATTACTAGCCCAATAAGAAAATAAGTTAGAATATGGATTTCTTCAGAATTGCAACCTGACAATGATGTTAGGAAAAGAAGGATGTAAATGTTTCCTTGCTGTTTTCTCATTTTCTGCAGTTGTCCACTGTATGTTTTCAATTTTTTTTTGCAAGCGATTATGCATTGTAGGCCAGAGGTGCACGGTATTGAAACATTGCGATATTTTGCTTTGATGCAATATATATTGCAATATGAATATAATTTCACCTGTTGATTTAAATAGGTCTATTTGGAAAATATCTACTAATCTATTAAATTAGATTCACTGGGGTGATCAGTCCATCTGCATAAAAATTATAAATTGCAAGCATAATTTAATGATAAAAGTTAAATAAAGAAGTGCTTTATGGTTTTCTGGGGAAACGAACACTAACGAAATATATCGACCAATCAAATGTAAAATAACATGGTTATCATGGAATGAAATAATAATACTATAAAATAATATTTATTAATATCATTATCCTTTAATAAACAATATAATCCTGTAATGTGACTTTTGTGGATACATCCATTGCAATGTCAATGCTCAAACTATATATTGTTCAGCCCTACTGTAGGCTATTAGCCTGTATATTGGTAATCAGTTTTTAAATATAAAGACTTTCTTCTTGTGAGTAATGGCCTAAATTTCTATTTCACATGTGTATGTAAAATAGTTTGTGTTGAGAAGCAAGAACATTGAAGCATCTTAAACACTGGTGATATTTTTTTAATACTTTGAGCACCAAATGAGAATATCAGTAGTGTAATTAATAATAACCTTAATTTAATTTAGGTAAGTCAAGTGATTACCAGGCAAAGAGGCAACATAAAAAAAGCAGATATAAAGCAGCAGGAACAAAATACAATAACAATTTCACAAATGCAAATAATAACATGTTAAACCAAGGAAAAACTAAAAACAATCACAGTGATCTAATACTATTAACGGCACTGATTTTTAAAAAATGTTAGTGGAATGAAAGCGTTGAGCTTTAAGGTCAACTGAAAAAAGTAACGTTAGCGACCAAATGAAGTGCGAAGGTTAATAAAACTACCAGAATAGAGCGCAGGTTTCAACATGTTTTCTGGATGTTAAGAAGTGTTTTCCCAATAGGAGCTGTGTAAATGAATAGAAACCAATGAATTTGTCGACGTGATTGAAGAGAAGGCCAATTCAATGAGTTGAACAGTAATGAATAGGGCGCAGAAATTAAAGTATTCATTTCTGAACAACCATGACAATGAATGAATTAATGACTTTCAAATTACCATCACAACGATTAAGAAACACAATGTCGCTGTTTTACTGCATGATGATTATAAAGAAAGACTCTTGGTAAGCAAATGCACCCAATCCTAAACAATGTGTAGGCTTTAAACACATTTACAAACGAATAATATAGAAGTTAACATTTAACGTTTTTGTTAATTACGTTGTATAACACATCAAACGGCTGTCATCGAGACTGGACGAGCAGCATTTATGAATGAGTCACTCACTCACCAGACCCATAGCGGACATCGTGAGAGTGTAATCTGACGTTGTGTTTCACGTTGATCAACTTCACCACCGACCCGCATGTTACACAATTCATTTCACTGCAGAGGGTCAATGTAAACACACATGACAATAATACTGTTAGAGGCAACTGTACCCGCAGAAACACAAAACTGTCCATGGCTTCTTGAGCCCTAAGAGGAAAAAACTAATCTTTAAAAAACCTAAATGACGTCACATGCAGCGCGTGAAGAACCGAAAGAGAGCGCCGACTTCAGGTTTGGAGCTTCTGCCTGAGTAAACGCAGCACAGAAGAGGCAAATAATGCCAAGTACACCCATAATGGGATATCATTTGTGCAAGTGCCATAACTTTGTGGATGTTTGTTTTTCTGCTTGCCCCGAGAAAAAAAAAGCAAATTAAAACTTGTAAAGACCCACAGAAACCAAGAATAACTCAATTCAAGTTTATTTGTATGGCACTTTTCATCTTAGTTTCAAAGCAGCTTTACAAAAGGTGCATATATTACTGCATTATAATGTTGAATAATGTTATAATTATTAGCATTATTGGTTAACAAAAAGTGTCAAATTCTTCACATTTTATAATCTAAGTTAATTTCATTTAAACATTTACTTGCGGATATGCATTGTACAAGTACTAAAAATCCTAAAAGTAGTAATAAAAGTACTAAACATTTGTATTTGTTATTAGACTTTAACATGAACTAATATTGAACGATTCATTATCATTTTAAATTCATTTTTATGCATTAACTAACATTGAATAATGGAATTCAACTAACGAATGTCACAAACTTATAGTTATAAAATAGCATATAGAGAAATTGGTAGCAAAATGCAAATAATTTAGGACATTTGATAAATAAAATCAAAACCCTTTCAATCACAACAGCGGCACCACGACCGGAAGTTAAATATGTATATACCGGAACCAGAATTTCGACTATATCCCCTCAGCCATTTTTTGTTGTCACTTTCAAGCTTCTCCAAAAGTGACGCTCTATTCTTCATCTCAGCACTTATTTTCACGTATTTAACCGAGCTTCATTGCGAGGAGAAGTAAGTGGGCTTTTGTGCACGATATTTTATTCCAATATGCCGTTTTATAAAGCAGCACGTATCGCCTGTGTTGTTTTTGTTAGCGCACAGGTTAGCGATTAGCATGAGGGCCTTGATCTCCCACAGTGTCGCGGACAGATTAGTAACGTGATTATTAAAATGGTTGTAAATTATTATTTGCTGTTCAAGTTTTATTTATTTACGGCTTTTGAGATATTTCCTAATGAGTTTAAGGTTGTATTTACGCGTCCTGATTCATTTGCTAAGCTAAGTTATTAAGCTAGTCGCATGGATGCCAAGTTCAACTTAATGTATATTTTGGCATCTGAAAAGCTTCAATTTAGAAGTAATATGTTGTGCTATGTCTTCACGTTAAGTGTTCTTCCGAAAATGTTATATACGAATAATCGAGCTGAGAGACCAGTGAAGCTTAAATTGGGCAGGTTGTCTTTATCTTTTGTTTACTGATGAAATTATTTGTCAGATTCATTTTGAGGTAAAGTTAAATTTTTTTCGCTAATTCAGACTTTGTCCTTAATAATATAGTTTCAAAAAAGTGATCCTTGCAAATTCTAAGTGGTTACATCAAGTACATCATTGTTCATCGTCAATTAAATTGAGCTAGTGTTCTTTTGCAGTCAGTATTGCATGAGACTTCAGACCTAATATTCAAAGAAACATGTTAAACAATATATGCACCTTGTCACAAGTTGTCACTGAACGAATATGCAAATTTAAAACCAACTTTACCTCAACCAGATTCCTGACTGTTCAATTGTTTATTGTTGCTATCATTGATAATCTGAATTGTACAGATTATGTTATAATCTAACGTTTCACATATAGTTATTATGAACACCCCAAAACCACTAAATGCCATACCTTGTTTATTATTGTGATACTATATTAATACATAGCTCAAAATATAGAAAATTGTCTGAAATACTATATGTTATATGTCATAATACTTAAATGATATTCAGAATTCCCTTATTATTAAAAACGTGCTAGTTGTACAGACTCTATTGTATATACTGTGACTCTTTTGTTATTGCAATAATTAAGAAATAAAGTGGTCAATTGGTTATTTTCTTTCACAAATGTTTGAGCATTTTAGTGACTTTTCCACATGCAACATATTGTAGAACCGTTAATGACGATACTACTGTTTTCAAACTACATTGGCACCGCCACTGTTTTGGAGCCATAGTATCCGCGGTGCTACTAAAGTACCAGTAAACCATGCAACTCTATTATAATGTGCGTTTATTTTTCTACACAGGCCTTGCAAAGATGTCTGACTTCATCGAGAGCGAGGCTGAGGAGTCGGAGGAGGAGTTTGAGGAGAAGGACCTAAAGCCCAAGAAGACCCAGAGATTTATGGAAGAAGATGGTAAGATGCTTCTTGCTTTAAATAAAAAAACTAAATCTTGAAAAAGGCATGAAAATTATTAAAATCATATTTTAGTCTTATTATTGATGTTTTCATTCTTGTATTGGAGCATTGAGTATTTCCTAATGTTCGACGTTGTTGTTTTCTACAGAAGAGGAAGAAGAAGAGAATACTGAAGATCAAGACGAGCACGGAAACCTGAGAGGGCTTATTGATGATGATGACGTGGAGGAAGAAGAGGAGGAGGAACGGGGGGAACCACCAGCAGGAGAGGACAGTGACTCTGGGGAAGAGGTCCGTCATCGACGCAGGAAACGGAGTAAGTTACTCTGACCAAGCTGTTTTATTAGGTCATTGTGTGTTTTGCCGTTTTGTCAATTTTCTAATGAGATGTGTTGATCTAAGTAAGCTAGGTAAACTCAAATATTCACATTAGTATACTGGAGATAAGGAAATGTGCAGTATTGTAAATAATGTGCTGCATATCAGTGCACATTAATTAGTGACTTTTGATTTATGAGATGTGGAATATGCAGATGGATTCCAGTAATACAGATTGAATCTACTGCACAAGACGGCAAGCTGTATTCTTAAATGCTAAAAGAATAAATTAGAAATTGAACTCTACACCTAATATAACCATTTACATGTCTGCAGATATTACATAAAAAGACAAATTTAATCTGAACTCTGCATGTTACATGTGTCTGTGAATAAATGGTGTGGTTCTGTGTACTACACACATATTCCAGCATATTAAAATTGTGTGGACAGAATCTCATGTCATGTATCTTGTTGGCAGCAGAGTGAAAGTTTGTTTTAACTTGACGTAATTTATAAAATACAGTGCAATAGCAAACTGATTTCACTCCCAATTAGATTTCAGCCATTGTTGGAATTAGGGATGCACCCATACCGATAATTGGATTGGATATCTGTTAGATACTACATGTTTTTGCTGGATCGGTTAACACCCAGCTAGGACCAATCCAAATCCAAACTTGCGCATGCGCTATATTCTGTGTAATTTATAAGCCAACAAAATCCATGAAAGTAGACTATTATTATGTTAATAACTCACAAGAAAGTTGTCATTTAGGCCTTTTATATCCTAAGTGTTCTGAAGCCATTCTATAGTTTAATGTGAAGTACAGATAAATTCAGTTCAGCGCTTCCCGCCACCATGCCTGTCAATCATTATCCATTCAATCACGATTTAAACTGCGTGTCGCTTTTATGACAACAAAACAACTTTCTCCAAGACTATTTGTTCCTGTTAGTTTGAATAATCAGTGGATAAATGCATTTAGTTTTGCATAAAATAGGTTCATTTTTACATGCAGCAAGGAGTTCATTGCTGTTTTTAAATCATTTTGTTCTGTGTCTGTTAGATCAGCAGATCACATTCGCAGCACTGGAGTAGAGAGGGTTATTACCTGCTCTTCACACTCAAAGTAGGCCTACCTGAAGTTTTAAGGCTTAATAATAAATTGGACAGATCCTTATCGCACACTCTTTGTGCTGCTCAGTTTTGAAAGTGCCCGCAGATACTGGAGGGCTGCGCGATGTCTCAGATGCATCAAGCACTTCATTCACGCACCGGCTGCGCAGACCTGACGTGCGCTGATTCGTAAAATTATTCTCGCACTGAGTTTGTTCTCTCATCCTTCCGACTGACTTTATTCTTCTGAGGTGAATATTTTCAGTGCTGCGAATAGTTTGTAAAGCCTACCTCATTGTGGTAAAAGTAGTTGATCAAATTAATAAAAGTGAAACTGACGAGCGCATGATTGATTGTCATTAACAGAAAAGGGAATGTTTATTAAGTAAAACTGGCCTCAGGCTGTTTAGTTTAATCTGTGTAAAACTTGCAGGAAAATATCAGGCTTTGCTGGTTATTTTACCAACGATTATGGTCAATACATGTAGCTTATTATAGATTTCAAAGAAAAATCTTAATATTAAAAAAGGAAACATAGGCTGGACCACAACAGATCAATGTCATTACGAATACTCAAATAATGTAGCCTAGTTTACAGCAACCATCATATTTTAGTTAGATTGTGCGGTCTGTCATGTATAGTAGGCCTATAGGTCTGTTATTTTTTTCTAAAGAAGATATATTATTTGAGTTTATTACCAGAACTAATGAAACTGTATTATGCACAGTATTGCTATCAGATTTGTATCGGTCGATGCTCAGAATTTTTCGGTCGATACAGAGAATTTTGGTATCAGTGTCAGATCGGTTCCAAATAAATGGTATCGGTGCATCCCTAGTTAGAATTACTATTTGGAAAGATGTATTCTTGATTTATGACTTATATGACAGCACTAAAATTCTTATGTGTTGTTTAATAGCATTTTAGATTTATAATTTAGTGAAGTGTATAGATTTTTAGCTAGGCATGGGCTGAAATAAGTTTCTGACGGTATATTAACCTTGGATAAAATATTGTGGTATTGTGATTACTGCTCTAAAATAAGTTCTTTTTAAATACCTTAGTAAAAACAACAACTTTTTTCCACAATATATATTTCATTTTAGGAAACGTTTATAATATTTTGGAACAGTAAACATGCCAGGTTAAATTAAAATTAATCACTGACTTCTATCTTCAAAACACAGATTTCTTTACCACACATAAAAGCAAATACTTAAACCTTTACATATACATTATGAACAATATAACAGAATTTTTTTTGCGGTTTTAAAACCTTGACTTTTAAACCTTTAAACTGTTTATCGCCCCATGCCTGTTTGTAGCTATGATTCAGTAATCTGAATCAGTACATCATTCCTCAGATTTGTTCAGGAAACACTTTCATTGGTATTTTGGTGTACAATATATCTACCTTCGTGAATGACATTTGCAATGTGTTATTAGATGGATGTGTATGTGTGTTTTGTTTTTGTGTCGATTGTTTTAAAGTAATTTGGCTAAATTATTCTTTCTCTGAAAAAATTCTGATTAAGACTAGGCCAAATTAAAGATGATTTTTCTGTATTGACTTTATGTATTGCTCAATTTTAGTTCTGCGTGTAAACAAACATGTGCTTGTATCTGTCAGGTTTTGATGACTATTTGGATGATGATGATCTGGACCTCATTGAGGAGAATTTAGGAGTAAAAGTGAAGAGGAGGGTGAGTTGCCAAATTTTAAGTCTGTGCTAAATTGTATATTTTTGCTCCATATTCCAAAATTCCAAATTTGAGTTCAAAGAAATGCTTGCTTGAGTTCAGAAAAAGAAGTACTCTCGTGTGAAAACAATGGATGATGAGGGAGATGATGATGATGAAAAAGACCTGATTGCTGATGAGATCTTCACTGGGGATGGCGACGGAGAAGGAGAGGTGGAGGATGGAGAGGCCGTAGATACACTTCACCCAAGAGATGATGAAGAGGAGGAAGATGATGAGGAATCTGGTAGATTACTCTGTCTATCATAAGTTTGAGTTCTTATGATAGAGTTCTTTTATTTATTTAATTATTCGTTCAATTTTCAATCCTTACAGATATTGATGATTTTATTGTGGATGATGATGGACAACCCATCACTAAAAAGAAGGGAAAGAAGTTCTCTGGCTACACTGATGCGTAAGTGCTGTAGACTGTAGTATGATGATAGTATGGTGGACTAAAGTCTTGATTACTCTTGTGACTCTTTATCTCTTTTCTGTCACATTCCAGTGCTTTGCAAGAAGCTCAGGAGATTTTCGGGGGTGACTTTGACTTTGCTGAGTTTGACACTGAAGCTTATGATCATGCAGAAGAAGAAGAAGAGGATCAGGATGATGAGTCCTGGGATCGGCCCAAGAAGCAGACCAAGAGAAGAGTCAGCCGCCGTAGCATCTTTGAGATCTATGAGCCCAGTGAGCTGGAGAGCAGCCACATGACCGATCAGGACAACGAGATCCGCTCTACAGACATGCCAGAAAGATTCCAGGTTGCTTTTCTTTCTTTTTCAGTGTTTCTTTGAATGAGAAAGTTATCAGAGACTTCTACTTGCTCTCATTGTGTTTCCTTCTGTCTTAACATGTTTTTTTTTCTTCACATTTGCAGTTAAGGGCCATCCCTGTAAAGCCTGCTGAGGATGATGAGCTGGAGGAAGAAGCTGAATGGATTTACAGAAATGCTTTCTCCACACCGACAATCTCCATGCAGGTAGGAGCCGAGTATGTGACTGTAATTAGAGGGTTTTATGGCACTAACTTAACATGCTTACTTTTGTTTTGTGTGGCAATGTAGGAAAGCACAGATTACCTGGATCGTGGAACAACAACTAATTTCAGCAGAAAGGGCCCAAGTACTATTGCTAAAATCAAAGAAGCCCTGAATTTTATGAGGAACCAACACTTTGAGGTTCAGTAATGGAAAAAATAGGTTGTATAAGTCACATCTGATATACAGGTAATCTAGTTTTGACACATCTCTATTTAATCCTACAGGTTCCCTTCATTGCGTTCTACAGGAAAGAGTATGTGGAACCAGAGCTGAACATCAATGATCTCTGGAAGGTGTGGCAGTGGGATGAGAAGGTAAATGCAAATATGCTCCAAATGCTTTGCTTGAAGCTTTTTGTGGTTTTCATTTAAAAATTGACAAATTATTTATGCTGTCCTATTCAGTGGACCCAGCTGAAGACCAGAAAGCAGAACTTGACACGTCTTTTCCAGAGAATGCAGTCTTATCAGTTTGAGCAGATCTCGGCTGACCCTGACAAGCCTTTAGCTGACTCTACTCGTCCCCTAGACACTGCTGACATGGAGAGGTATAACTGTTTAAACATGTGCTCCTAAATTTGACTCTTTGTCCACAGTGCTCACTTCTTTATTGCTTTGACAGACTGAAAGACGTTCAGTCTATTGATGAGCTGGGTGATGTCTACAATCACTTCCTGCTCTACTATGGCAGAGACATTCCTAAGATGCAGAATGCAGCAAAGGGTGGCAAAAAGAAACTAAAGAAGATCAAGGAAGTTTCAGAGGAAGATGGTATAGCAGAATTTTACTAGGACGAGTGAATTCTAATGTTTATTAATGCATTACACCAAAACCTTTTGTGTGTTTTTATTTCCAGGGGAAGAAGCAGAAGTGGAGGAGGAAGAGGAAGAAGAGGAGCAAAAGGGTCCAGATCTGAAACAAGCCTCACGCAGAGATATGTACAGCATCTGCCAGAGTGCAGGCCTTGGTGTGTATATCTTGCACATTTAAATAAGACTCGGTTATAATAAAAGAAGAAAAAAATGGAACCTATTATATAAATATAATGTCACATGATATAATAAAAAAATGAAAAGGTAATTTTATTACATTAATAATTTTTTCTTTTATAAATAAAAGTGTGTGTGTGTGTGTGTGTGTGTGTGTTTGTATATATATAAATTTATAAATATTATAGTGTCATTTTTAAAAGTTATGAATTCATGCACACACTTTTACTAATTGTTAATGGCTTATGGTAACCTTTATTTTATTTTTTAAGATGGTCTTGCCAAGAAGTTTGGTCTGACCCCAGAACAGTTTGGTGAAAACTTGCGAGACAGTTATCAGAGGCATGAAACCGAGCAGTTTCCTGCAGAGCCTTTGGAGCTGGCCAAGGACTATGTTTGCAGGTAATGGATCAGTTGGAATTCTCTTTTTTTTTTTTTTTTGCCCTGTAGTCTTTTTATAAATCAATGTTTTTTTTCTAGCCAATTTAACACCCCAGAGGCTGTCCTGGAAGGCGCTCGCTACATGGTGGCCATGCAGATTGCCCGCGAGCCTCTGGTCAGACACGTGCTCAGACAAACCTTCCAGGAGAGGGCCAAGATTAACATCAAGCCAACTAAGAAGGGCAAGAAGGTTGGTTCTTGGATTTGTTTAGGATTAACAGACCAAATTCTAAATGTTTGAAGTAGGGGTGTGCAAAATATGTTGGCTATAGTATTATGTTTTATTGATATGCAATCATCATTTGTGTAATAAAGCCTATTAGAATGACAATATGATTTATAATAATGATATTGTCAATCTAACAGGCTTTGTCATACAAATGATAATATTGCTTAAATATCAATTATCTACTAATATGTTACTGAATGTTAATTAAAGGGTATCTGTGGGGTCTTAAAATGTCTTAAATCTAAATTTTCATGTCGGCTTAATCCCTTTATTAATCCGGGGTCGCCACAGCGGAATGAACCACCAACTTATTCAGCATGTTTTTTGGCAGCGGATGCCCTTTCAGCCATTTATTTTCAGGGAAATAAATCTAAATTTTAGGTCTTATACAGTTTTAAATCTATTGAAATATTGTGTTATAGGTCTTAAATGTTTTTAAGGTTTTAGGTCTTAATTTTTCTTTGTTCATGTATGGCAAACCAATCTGGCCATTAACACCCAAACACCAACAATCCATCTCAATAAAACTTTTTATTTCAAAATAGCATTTAATTACTTTCCTTAAAGTAACATTTGCTTAAAAGTTCTGCATTTATTTACTGCTGAGGATACTGATCTGACCTATATTTTTTATTATTATTATCGTAGACTGAAGTAATTGACAGCTATGTAAGGGTTATAGAATTTGTGAATGGATATATTTAAAAAACAAATACATTTTCAAACAAAATTATTATTATTGTATTATTGAATGTTACATTTTAATAAATTTTTAATGGGGAAAATAAAAATGTTTTCTAACTGAGATATTTAAAAAAAAAAATCTTTAGCATAAAGCCCTGTATAAGTCTAAAATTTAATTCATAATGGTCTTAAAATGTCTTAAATTTAACTTGGTGAAACCTGCAGAAACCCTGTAATTATTATACAATATAATTATATTGCTAATGCCAGCATGTCAGTGCAATTCCAAATGTGATGTTGATTTTTATACAACAGTTCTGAAGTTATATTAAGAGTTGCAACAAACTGACTACTATTGAGTAAAATACATTTAAGACATGATATTGCCTGTTCTATATTGAAAATGGTTTTAAACTATGCCGGAGTGGAGCATTTTTGCAGCTCAGCAGCATTGCAATATTTTGTTGCTTATTGAATTTCTTTGAGTGAATCGTTTGAGAGGCAGAGTTCTTAAAGAATCGGCTATTTTAAACAAATCTATTAAATTAAGGGTTCAGCTAAGCTCATTTAGAAAGCCACCACCTACTGAGGATTTTGGTGGTATGTTCAAAACACTCCTAGCAAAAATACAAATGTTTTCAGTATTGCACACCTTAGAAGGCAATAAATGTATTCAACCTGTATTTTATTAACTGTTGTTTTTGTTTATCCTCTAACTTTTGCTTAACCGTATTCATCAAGGAAAGGGTATAAGCAGAATATCAACCTTTGCAGCATAATCCCAAGTCTGTTGTGTTAGAGCTTTAGCTAGAATATTCAGTTGTTGCCTGTAGGTGCGAGATGTAGCCATTGTTTTTGCTGTGCAACAATATTAGCATAGTGAATTGCTATTCAAACCCAAAGTGAACTGATGTGCTCCATTGTTTGCTCTTTACTAAGTTTGTCTGCTATTGCCTGTCATGTTTTCCAGGATGTGGATGAGGCGCACTTTGCCTATTCTTTCAAGTACTTGAAGAACAAGCCTGTGAAAGAGCTCAGTGGAGATCAGTTCTTGAAGATGTGTCTGGCTGAGGAGGAAGGCCTTCTCGCCATAGACATCTGCATTGACCTTGTTGGAGTCAAAGGGTATAGTTGTATTTTTAGCTTTAGAGGAAACCTGAATTTAGTGTCAAGAAATGTTTATGGTCCGTTTCCACTGAGTGGTACAGTATGGGTCACCTTTATCAGACTTGCGTTTCCACTGCCTAAAGGGTACCAATGGTGGACGTGATGTACGACAGAAAGTCTCAGTTGACGTCATTCTCGCTAGGACTGCTCGATTATGGGGGAAAATCATAATCACGATTATTTTGGTCATAATTGTAATCACGATTATTCAAAACGATTATCAGTTGAAGTCAAAAATATTCGTCCTCCAGTGAATTTATTTTTATATATAAATATTTCCCAAATGATGTTTAACAGGGGGATTTTTTTTACAGTATTTCCTATAAATTTTTTTCTTCTGTAGAAAGGCTTATTTGTTGTTTCAGCTAGAATAAAAGCAGTTTGAATATTTTGAAATCTATTTTAATAGCTCGATATTATTAGCCCCTTTAAGCAATATATATGTTTGATTGTCTGCAGAAGAAACTACTGATATACAATGACTTGACTATTTACCCTTATTAAGCCTTTGAATGTCACTTTAAGCTGAATACTAGTATCTTGAAAAATAATGTACTGTCATCATAGCAAAGATAAAAGAAATCAGTTATTAGAAATGAGTTAATAAATCTATTATGTTTAAACTGTGCTTTAAGCATCTTCACTGTATTTTTAATTTTATTATTGATTAATAATAAAAACAGTCGGCAGCAGCAGGAATACCGCACGCTGTCACTTTAAGAATAGTGCGGCTCTGATATGGTTTTTCTTTCTTGTGTCTTTTGATTCTCAACTTGTTTGTTTATTACACAAATGAGGGTTAATATGAATAATCACTAAACACCGCGCTCTGACACAAATGTGCATGTATTTGACCATAAAAGCGCTCTCATTAAGATCGCGTTAGATGTGTGTGTGCTCTGCTGTCCGAGGCTAAGCGCGGCGCGCGCAAACACACACACACACACACACACACACACACACACACACACACACACACACACACACACACGCGACCTGTCCGAGGCTAAGCACGGCACGCGCACACACACACACAACAGCACATGCTCTTTTGCGCTTTTAAAAATATGAATGATGCGCATCCCGTGCTGCAAAAGTTACATTACAGTACATGCTTTTAGTCATTTTCACGTGGAACTGAGCTTTGCAGAGGCAAAGAGTTTTCACACGTGTACAACTGGAAAGGGGGCGGTACGTGATAGAATAATCGTTTATCCCGATTAATGGTTTTTCATAATCGTTAAAAGCCAAAATCGAAATTGAAATCGGATTTTCGATTAATTGCACAGCCCTAATTCTCGCTCAAAGAAATGTCAAAGTAAAGCTGTACGGGTCGCTCATGTATAAAATGAGAAGCACTGCTTACAAAAACGATGCTTTATATACATAAATACTTGTGTAGCCTTTCTATGCACGTGATTTGATTGTAATTACAGATCAATGATGGTGTGAAATAGCCTACTGCAACATCTGCAATTTATATAAAATTACATAAATAAATGCAACACATATGAACGCATACAGACCCTTACAGTCTCTGATATCTTACCACTTAAAGAAAAAACTACACACAGTATACATTTAGTCCTTATTTGGGTTTAAAAAACATACAACATATAGCCCACAGTAACCTTTCATCTGTATCTTTACCAGCACATGTAACCTCTTGGTAGAGTGTAATTATGTCATTCCGAGTTCATAATAGTCCAGAAGGTGGTGATAATAGTTAAACATAGCAGTTTGTTCATGTTTTAGGTTGCTGAAAGAATCCTTTGCTCCTTTGTCTTTCGGATTTCTACTTTGTTTGCACGTCGCTCATTCATTTTAGAAAAGATCGGATGTCAGAAGCACTTCAATAATCACGCACACTCAAGTTATTATCATCAGTTTAAGAAGTTCATTATATCAAATAAAGACTTGCAAACTGAAACTGTTTGCGCTTTAGAAGGCCTTGTAAACAACTACTGGGCACAGATGAGATTCTGCTCTTCTTGGCTTTGTGGCTGCTCATCAAGACAACGACAAGGTTTGTTTAAGCTCGAGTCGACCTGGCTTGTTATTATATGTATATATTATTATGGTGTAGTGTCTTAGCTGTGTATTTATAAATGGTGCTTCCTTTGTTTTGTTTCTCTTGGCTTGTGCATGAGCTAGTGACACATCTCTGTAAACCAATAGCGTTCAGCTGCATGTCTCGCTCCGCCTTTTGGTACCCTTTTGTTGTGCAAGGTACCCTTTCGAAAGGGTACCCAAAAATAGGTATGGTACGATTCACTTTTTGGTACCTTTTGACAGTGGAAACAGCCAAAAATGTCTACCATATTGTACCACTCAGTGGAAAGGGGTTGTTATAAATTGTTAAAGGGATACCTATAAATGGAAAAATTTACTTGAATCAACTAAAGTGATTTTGTAGAATGTTAGAAACCAGTTGCCGCTGACATTCATAGTAAAAAAATAAATGCTATGGAATTCAAAGACTATCGGTTTTCAGTCTTCAAAATATCTTCTGTGTTTAATAAACAAATATGGAACAAGTAATCTTCATAAGGCAATTGTCACCAACACATTGATCGCGATTGACTGGTAGATGTTTTTCACTCTGCTGGTACCTCCTGAAATAACAGAAAAATAAGTACAAGAAATTTTTTTTTTATTGATGTGAAGTGTTGCGTGTCTCTATTTATTTAATCCAGCTGAGATAAGGCTATAAATTAAATGCCATAGTTTTGCAAATGTTAATATACAGCTCTCTATACCATGCTGAAAGATACATGCATTTCTAATTGTATAATAAATAATCAAGTTAAGGTACAGTAGTCGTCTTACTGAGAGACATGTCAGAGGCTGGCTTTTTTATATTTTTATAGATTGCCTGATTTTATTACAGTTGATTTTTAAAATGCTAATGTAGTACCGGTTGAACCATTATTTCACTGTTATTAATAACATTTAACTGTTAATAATGGCACTTCATATGATCGGCTCACTCTTAATTGTCTCAATTCAATTGGTTGCATCACACTTCTTTGATGGTTAGATATTGCCTTTGAGCAAGGTCTGAGATCATGGGCTTAAGTTAATGTTGGTGACCAGATGTTTGCCATTTCTACAGGTATGGAGATCAGACTTACTTTGATGAGATCAAGCAGTTCTACTACAGGGATGAGTTCAGTCACCAGGTGCAGGAGTGGAACAAGCAGAGAACTCTCGCCATTGAAAGATCCCTGCAGCAGTTCCTGTATCCACAGATGGCCAAAGAATTAAAGAACAAGCTTATCGCTGAAGCAAAGGACAATATTGTTAAGGTGACCCATTGATTTAATGTGTTCGCTGCTAACCAAGTTTCTGTACACAAAAACCGTAGTCTATAATATATTGACTTGTGCTCTTGTCTCTGGGGGACAGTCCTGCTGCAAGAAGCTGTATAATTGGTTGAAGGTGGCTCCTTATCGGCCTGATCAACAGGTGGAGGAGGACGATGACCTTATGGATGAGTCACAAGGAAAGGGCATCCGTGTGCTCGGAGTGGCCTTTGCTTCTGGCAGGTGTGTATTTGAATGGAGTGAGAAAGTGTTTACTGTTTGTATGGATATTTAAAAATTTTGGACAAATGGTATCATATCCTAATATATTAATTATATGGAGGAAATGAGCTCCACGTTTAAAACTTTTAACATTTTTCTCTGAGCAAAATCAATAATTCAGGGGGCAGTTGACCTAAGGTCTAGGGAATTGGACTTGTAATCAAAAGGTTGCGGGTTTGGTCCCAATTGTTCGGTTAACAAGAGTCATTTATTCAGTAAATACTTGCAAATATTAGGCCTAAAAAATGCATTTAAAAAGCAGCTGGTATGCAACGTGCTTAAGAACTCGCACAAGACAATGGTTAGTTTGGGCTAAAATGTCTTGGACTATAAAAACCATCTACAGTTTAGTGAGTCAATATTTTTCTGGCTTTATTGGTTTAAGTTTATCAAGTAAAAAGTTTTTGTATTGTATGACAAATAACAGTTAATGCTGTAAAAATAAATATTAAATGACACATTTCCTTTGATAATTTTCATATTATAACTTGTGCCTCTCTTGATGGTTGAATGCTAAATGAATCCAATCCATGTTCAATAAAATGAATTTAATGGAGAAAATAACTAGCTAGTACTGTATGAAATTGGAAAATATCAATATCAGAATTGGCCAAAAGGGTTCACTTTGTTGTATCTGCTGAAATAAATCCCTATTGGTAACATCAAATTACATATCTTAAACTTGTAATCATTTTGATATATTCCGTTTGCTGGTTACTGGCCATAATATGATTATGGTTATCAAGTGAGAGTATTGGAGTATAAGTTTGCTTACTCTGTATGGTTTTGAATGGGATCTGATGTCGTTTGCTTGTGTTTGTGTAGAGACACACCAGTGTTCTGCTCTCTCATTAATGGTGAAGGAGAGGTGGTGGATTTCCTTAGACTTCCTTATTTCCTGAAGAGGAGAAATGCATGGAGAGAAGATGAACGAGAGAAAAAGGTAAGAAACAGAAGCCCTCAGAATGATTAACTGCTTAGTTGTTTGTTAATTACATTTGATCATTTGTTTTTAAACTACTGCTTGTTTTGTAGCAACAAGATGTTGAAAACCTCAAAAAATTCCTCCTCAGTAAGAAGCCACATGTTGTTGCTGTTTCTGGGGAGAATCGGTGCGTTTATCATTGCTGAATTTGTGATTTTGAACCTTCATAAGAGCTTCACATGCTAATATTGTGTTTGCATGCATGCAGTGATGCGCATATGGTGATGGAGGACATCAAGCGCACCATCAGTGAGCTAGAGCAGAACTCCTCTCTGCCTGTGGTGGGAGTGGAGTTGGTGGACAATGAACTTGCTGTGCTTTATATGAACAGCAAGAAGTCTGAGGTCAGTGGAGTGAGAGAAACGCATCTTACACACAAAACCGAAGTAGGATCTTATTCTTACGTTTTCATTGTCATGCTGTTCCTCGCATAGGCGGATTTCAGGGATTACCCACCTCTGCTTCGGCAGGCTGTGTCTGTGGCTCGCAAAATCCAGGACCCACTAGTGGAGTTTGCCCAAGTCTGCAGTACTGATGATGACATCCTGTGTTTAAAACTGCATCCCCTGCAGGTAAAAGCACATTCCTGCCTCTCATGGCCTGCCTTTTGACATTTATACTTAAATGCTTTAGAATTGCTCATTTGCGACAGTTCAACATTGTGATGACTTTTAATATTCTTAATAAACTTTTATAGTATTGAATTGGTTTTATTTTCAGCTTTTATTTTCATTCTGAGTTTAACTGAAAATCTTTTGCTTTTCATTTATTTAACTTTTCATTTTTCTAATAAATTAAGTTTTTAGTTCTTTAATTTTGTCTTGTCATATTTACATTTAGTTTTAGTTTGAGCAAATTTGCATTTGTTAGTTAGCAATTTTTTATTTATTTTTTGAGAAGGCTTAAGAACGTTGTTTCCAAACCAATTCTCAAATTATTAGTCTCCTTGTGAAATTATTTATTTTTCAACTATTTCCCACGTGCTGTTTATTGGAGTTTCAAAAAGAACAACTTTTTAAAAATAATAATTGTAATCACTATTTTTTTGTCTTTTCCATGCTGATGGTACATAATATTTTACTAGTTATTTTGCAAGATACTAGTATTCAGCATTAAGGGCATTTTAAAGGCTTAATTAGGTCAATGTTTTTAACTTGACAAGTTAGATTAAATGAGGAAGTCATTAGACAACAATGGTTTGTTCTGTAGCCAATTAGGTGGAAACAATCTTAAGGCTAATAACATTTAATTGTGAAAATAATTTTTGCTCTGTTCAACACACTTAAATATTTAATAAACGCTTAAAAGGGCTAATCAGCTATGTGTATTTTCATTTTGTTGTTCCTCAGGAGCATGTAGTGAAAGAGGAACTGCTGAGCGCGCTCTACTGTGAGTTCATAAACCGAGTGAATGAGGTTGGTGTGGATGTGAACCGAGCCATCGCTCACCCTTATACCCAGAGCCTGGTCCAGTACATCTGTGGTCTCGGACCAAGAAAAGGCTCACACTTGCTTAAGGTGAGACATTTTCCTAACATCTCAATTATACTATTCATTTTATTTAGGTTTATTTCAAGTGAAGCATTAAATCAAGTGAAGAACATTAAATCATCTTCTGCACATTTCCATTCTCCCTCAGATTCTTAAGCAGAACAACACTAGGTTAGAGAACCGAACCCAGTTGGTCACCATGTGCCATATGGGGCCCAAAGTCTTCATTAACTGTGCTGGATTTATCAAGATTGACACAGCCTCTCTTGGAGACAGGTAAGATGTTAAACATAATGTGTGTGCAGCTCTTCTAAGTCGTGCTGCATACAGCCAGAATAGATAAAGTGATCTAATCTTTCATCATGCAGCACTGACTCCTACATTGAAGTTCTGGACGGCTCTCGAGTTCACCCTGAAACATACGAGTGGGCACGTAAAATGGCGGTGGATGCTCTAGAGTATGATGAATCTGCAGAAGATGCCAACCCAGCTGGAGCACTAGAGGAGATTCTTGAGAATCCGGAGAGGTTAAAAGATCTGGATCTGGATGCCTTCGCTGAGGAGCTGGAGAGACAGGTGAGCTTTGGGATTTAGTCTTGGTGGCCATTTTTCTAGTTTGTGATGAGATGAGTTTTGTGAATCAAGGCATTGATATTAAATGGATAGTTCACCCAAAAATGAACAGGATTTCTAGTAGTGGTGTGACAAATCACAAATCTCACGGTTCGGATCACATTATGGTTTTTTTTTTAGTCAGGGATCGGACCTTTTTTTGAATCAGCCAAAAAGGGGAGTCGACAAATGTAATTAGCTTTACATTTATTACAAAGGCAGCACTGCAAGACACTAGGGCTGTGCAAAAATATCGATATATCTAACTGTCTCGATAATTTATTTCACGATAGTGTATCGATTGTCCAACCTGAAGTATCGATTCATGTTGTGCCAAACAACCTCCTACTTTGCTCTAGTAGATGTCGCAAACTCGCTATCAACAAAACGCTTAGTATGGTATCAGCAGTAAGCAAGAGTGAGCATAGTGGAAAATATAAAGGAGCCTTCTGCTTTTAGAGCTGACGTGTGGCTGCACTTTGGCTTTAACACTATACCAGAGTACTGAATTAGATAAAAAATGCCATTTGTAAGCTTTGCAAATCTATCTTAAAATATTCAGGAAACACTACGAACTTGCGTTATCACTTAACAAAACACCAGGCAAATGAATTAGCGGCACTGCGACCTCAACCAAAACCTCTTGATTCAAGGCAAACTACACTGTATAACATCATCAACAAGCTTCTGTTTGCCTTAACTAACAATGCAGTTACTGAAAACTGCGTAGGAAGAATGGGACATCAATTGGAAGGACCTGTCGTTGTAACAGACAACGCGTCAAACATGACCGTGGCAGCACAGCTGGCCGGCTTGTTGCATGTAAAATGTTTCGTGCAAGCCATCAATTTACCTTTATCTATTTTGTGTCTGACACATTAAATATTGCATTTTAAAATACTGATTTATTTTAACATGCTAGCATATTAATAACAGAACATAATAACAGAGCTTTTTCACGCACCTGCAGTGTTTAGCACAGAAGAGCAGATTAAACTAAATAAAATAAATAGGACTGTCCTACAGTATTTTCACTTAAATAATTAATTTATATTACAAAATGAAAACACTGACTGATTCTTTTTAATAACTGGCATAGGCTGTTTTTTTTTTCCAATCATAGTTTTTTTCTTCCGTCAAATAAAAATCACAGACTTCCTCAAATTGCCCGCTTCACGGAAAATATGCATTTATTTAATGACCCACTGTTATTATATCACAAAACCTTTTTACATTTTTAATAAAAATCATTATTTTAAAGATTATGTCTTGCTGTATGGTTTCCTCTCTCCCCCTCACAGTTCAAATGCGCGCTGCCGTGATGAAAAGACTATGACAACGCGTGCATATGTTGACATTTTGTAAATAGTTTTGTTGTTTAAATATGATATTGCATTAATGTGCATACATGTTTTATAAGCTTTAAAATAAAAGGTAAAGCCTATTAGTTGTGTTTATGACGCAGATCCAGGTCAACATCAGTGCTGGTTTGGCATCAACACGTCTGTATCAAACAGCAATATTCTTCTTCCATTTTGCTTCTTTGGCAAATATGTCTGTAGGCACGGGTTATACATTATCGTCCCGCAAGTTAACAAGTAGGCTTATGTCTAGCAGTTAAAGGGCCATGAAACCCCCTCGTTTCAGCAGGGTGTTTTCACACCTCTACTTTGGAAAAAGTCAGAAAAGTGGGCGTGTCCAGCTCTGTTTAGGGGGGAGTGTCGGAGGAAGAAAAGAGGCTTGGTGTGGGATTGTCTATTTGGGCGCGCTGAATTTAAGGCCCCGTTTACACTAGTGCGTTTTAGTTTTAAAACGGCGTTTTAGAATGAAAACGATCCGCGTCCACACTCGCGTTTCACCCAGCGTTTCTGAACTGCTCTCCGTCCACACCAAAACGCTGAAAACGCACATCACGTGACCACACACACACTCTCAGGCAAGCGCTGTAGCCAATCTACCCAGATGAGAGCTGTGCTAGTCGGACTTCTCATCAAGCATCTCCTGCTGGATCTAACCTCACTATATTTATTAAACGGAATATTTCTTTCATCTTGTTGTCTTTATTTAACGACATATTCATTGGACATTGGAATCTATTACTTGTTCTCAGGTAACGTGTTTTGGCTAAGCGCAAAGATAAGTTAATGATTAATGTAAGCACGTACATTCTGTATATTGACTGATCGCTTGCCTTTATTTCCTATAATGTATAAACTTATTGTATGTTATACTTTTATAATGGCCATTATCGATTAAAACTGATATTCAGCAAAGAGAGGGTGTGTTTCGTATTTTCACTGAAATTGAAAGGAGGCAGTTGTTATCGGCTCCGTTTTGTTATAAATATACACACAGTGAAGATGACGCTCATATTTGCAGCACGGCGCCTCAACATTTTTGCTGTCTGTTTAGTTAATAATATTAAAATGAAAATAGGCAGTTCCTTATATCATGTTTACATTTTATTGTTGAGAAAGTAAAACAACGTAGACAGGGTGATGTGAATGAAGTTATAAAGTACACTGTTCCCTTTGAAGATTTACCCGTGTCCTCGGTATAGTCTGTTTTCCATATCAAACTGAGAAGAAGAGACTGCAGCCATGATCAAACTTGCGAAGTTTTAACTTACACGGAGAAGATGCAGGACTGAACTGTGCGTGTTAGGCTACTTAATATTCAGGAAAAGCCCCAATCAGAGAGGCGAATGTCTGCAGGCCCGCCTCCGTTTTCAAATGTCTCCGTTTTCCATCATCCACACTGAGACGGAGCAGCAGCGTTTCAGAATGAAAACGGCCTCTCCAGCGTTTTCGAAACGCTCCGTTTTCGGCGCTCGAGAACTCCGGCGTAGTGTGGACGGATGGCGTAACCGTAGCAAAACTTATGCGTTTTCAAACTAAAACGCATTAGTGTAAACGGGGCCTAAGAGTCAAAACACACAACCACAGCGGACAATGTGACTGTGTTTACATGGACATCTGTAGTCGAATTATTTGCCAAATTATTAAATGGTGGACTTTAACTGCAGTTTGGCTCTTTCATTCAGGGAATTCATTCATGTCCCTCCCGACAAACGTGATATTTGATTCGAGGAACTGCTCTAAGCGTGTATTTTTCATGCAATGTTTGATACTGCACGGCGAATGAGAGAAAAAAAAACTCAGCATTTCCCGGAAACTTAGATGCACACGGCAGGTAGTCAGAAAGCCGCGTGTGTTATTCCGGTCACAAAATCCAACACGGGGTTATAGTTTGGTTGTAACTGTTAGTGCTAACTTGTTTACACTCGGTGCAATAGTTTGTTTGATACGAATAAAATACGAACTGAATAAACAAAGAGCACTGGTCGCTCACTTACCAAATCTGTAGAGACAGGACAATCCACAGCAACTAGAGCCGTGTCTTTATTTAGAGGAGACTACAAGCGAATCCGGATCTCAGCGTTTGCAGATGAGAACAGCTCTCAGGTAAACAATAATCCTCCTTAGACATTTAAGTTATTGTTGTCGCGCGTCACGTACACTGTTAATCCACACGGGACGCTAGCTGCGCTCTCACAGAGAGAAATGAAAACAAAACTTAACTGCAGCAAACTATAAAAGCAACACTTCATGCTTGTTTTGTTAATACAACGTGGCGTCTCTGCCATCTACATTCTGACAGTAATGAATATTAATGAAGTTGCACAATAGAGCGCGCTGATTGGTTTGAACCAAGCCTTACTCATGCATTAATGCAATCTCTCTCTCTCTCTCTCTCTCTCTCTCTCTCTCTCTCTCTCTCCCTCTCTCCCTCACTCCCTCTCTTTCTCCCTCTCTCTCCAGATTTAGGATTAATCTATCAGTAAAAGAAAAGTACAGAAAGTACTTAGAACATAGGTTGTTAAAAGTGCTTGAATTAAGTTTGAATTTAAATTTGTTTCCACAATTGTACTGTACTGCTGTCAAAAACACAACAAAAAAAGAGAGAAATTCTTCAATTAAAAATCTTAAATTAAATCTTGTACACGGACTCTGGCAAATAATACACTTAATATGATGGCGGTGTGACAAAGGTGCTTGATTAGAATGGTGCTTTAAAAAGCCTTTTTAATCCTCTGTTTATGAATGAGTGGGACCCCGAATGAAACCTCCTCACCATTACTCACACTCAAGTGGTTCTAAATATTTATAAACTTCTTTCAAAACAAGATATTCTGAAGAATGGTGGAGAAAAAGCAGCTGTATACATTCATACAGTAGTAGAAACACAAAGTACTATGGATATCAGTGGCTGATTATTTGTCGAATATTTTTCAGTATATCTGTAGATACAAGTTCAGGATGATGTAAATGATGGATGAACTAAATAGTTTGGTGAACTATTCCTTTTACATGAGTTTATTGTGACTTACTTGTATTTTTTTTTATTTTTTTATTGAGACTATTTCCTTTTTTTTATTTATTTTTTTTAAGTGGAAACCTTACCGAAGACATTTATATATGTATTTAGCATCACCTACTTGTGATCTGATGGACAGAAATGCATCTTAATGCCAGCTGTAAACAGGGCCAGTGTTTCATAGTATACCCTCATTGTTTAATGTTAGCAGGCTTCAAACGTAACTGATTTGAACACGTACTTAACTAGACATTTTTCTATCTTTTTTAGGGTTATGGTAATAAGGGAATTACACTGTATGACATCCGAGCAGAGCTCAGCTGTAGATATAAAGACCTGAGAGCTCCATACAGACCTCCCAACACAGAGGAAGTCTTTAACATGCTCACCAAGGAGACACCTGAGACTTTCTATATTGGTAAACCACTACTTGATTGCTTTTAGAAATGATAAAAGATCGTAATGATCCATGCTCTGTGATATTTATGGTGATATTTTTGTATTTTTAATATATAATGTAAATCTTTGTGCATCTACAGGTAAACTGATCACCTGTGTAGTAACTAACATCGCACACAGACGACCACAAGGTGAGAGTTATGACCAGGCCATCCGTAATGATGAGACTGGACTCTGGCAGTGTCCTTTTTGCCAGCAGGACAACTTCCCTGAGCTCAGTGAGGTGGGAAGCTTTTCTGATATCTTTTTAAAGGAATGAGACTGTTCATTTTAGCTTTTGCACATCAGTGAATGCTGTTACCATGGTGTTGTGTATTTCTCAGGTGTGGAATCACTTTGACAGCGGCTCCTGTCCTGGTCAAGCCATCGGAGTAAGAACCAGGTTAGATAACGCCGTCATGGGCTTCATTCCAACTAAGTTTCTTAGTGACAAAGTGGTCAAGCACCCCGAGGAGAGGGTCAAGGTGAGTTAATCTAACATCATCTGGCATTGTTCACTATAAATGCTTTGCCTTACAAAACACTTGTGTGTGTTTCTCTTCATTTAGCCTGGCATGACCGTGCACTGCCGCATAATGAAGATCGACATTGAGAAGTTCAATGTAGATCTCACTTGCAGAACGTCTGATCTGAGCGATAAGAACAACGAATGGAAACTTCCCAAAGACACCTATTATGACTTTGATGCTGAGACAGATGATGTTAAACAGGAAGAGGAGCAGAAGAAGAAACAGCAGAGAACCAGTCAGCATTGATCTTCTTTTAAGAGCATTCATTATCTTTATTTTGTGTGTGATCCAAGTATGACTTTTTTTTGTGTGTTTTTTTTCTAGCTTACATCAAGCGTGTGATTGCGCATCCATCCTTCCACAACATCAACTTCAAACAAGCAGAGAAGATGATGGAGTCCATGGACCAGGGTGATGTGGTGATTCGACCGAGCAGTAAAGGGGAGAACCATTTGACGGTGACGTGGAAGGTGGCAGATGGGATCTATCAGCATGTGGACGTCCGTGAAGAGGGCAAAGAAAACGCCTTCAGCCTTGGACATACACTCTGGATTAACACTGAGGTGAGCTGTTCCTATGGCTCCAGCATACATGAGGGCTGCACAATATTGAAAAAATACTACTACAAAAAATTGTATATTTAGTTTCATGAGAGATATCTATATGTAACCGTTTACACTGCACTGCATGATTTTAGTACCCCTGTTTGGAAATAATTCATTATTTTAGGATTTTTGGATTAATGTAGGGACCTCGTGTCTGAAATACAGCCATGTCTCACTGTTATATACCAGGGTGGTCCACACTCGTTCCTGGAGGGCCAGTGTCTTGCAAAGTTTAGTTCCAATCAGACACACCTGAGCTAGCTAATCAAGCTCTTACTAGGCTTTCTAGAAACATCCATGCAGGTGTGTTGAGGCAAGTTGGTGCTAAAATTTGCAGGACACTGGCCCTCCAGGACCAAGTTTGGACACCCGTGCTATATACCATTACTCTTTGTTAAACAGGGCTCGAAATTGTGACCATTTTGGTTGCATATGCACCCAAACTTGAATCTATGCGACCTCATAATATATTTGGGAGTATTTGTGCGATTGCTTATTTTGGTTGTAGTGTGACCTGTTTTGATTTTTTTTTTTTTTTTTTCAAATGTGCTGAATCGGTCTTCCCTGCCGCTATATTGGTTCATAATAGCTGTCAATCACTCGAGGCTTTTTGCTGTCAGATGAGAGCAAACAGCTGAAGAGTGAAAAATACCCAGGTTTGCAAACCCCACCTTAAGTTACAAATAATGGCGCAGATGACAGGGATCATGTGGTGAATGTTGAGATCAATGGAGTGTTTTCAGAGAAAGTGTCCGAATCTCAATGCGTTACATTCACTGCGTGTTCAGCGCAAATATCCACTAAATGTAAAATATTACACTGTACACATCATCGCCTAAGAAGCTTGCCTTTTATAAGTTTAAACTGAAACTGCGGTGTATAATTAAGGTATTGCGCCAGTGCTCATCGCAAGAATCCTGCTCTGCCCCACTCATGTATTGGGCCTGCTGACACCCTGCTTTTTTCCACAAACACAGAACAATGGAAATTTGTGCATAACAAGACTAAGCATTTAAAATGACACAAACCCAAACCAAAACTTTTAAAGAGTGATGGAACTGAGACTTTTCTTACTTTCTTTTGTCATTCTTTCTTGAGATTTATATTATTTTTCTATTTAATTACTGATTACTGCTTTTCAGCATTCAGCCTTGAATTTGAGTGATTTATTATAATATTTTGTTTTGTAGCAGAAATATTATTTATTAAATTGACATGCATATGAAAACAATGGTGCAAAATAATTATTTCTTACTGCAATGCTTCATTTGTTGGATGCAAACCATAAATGTATTTTTCATACAGTAACAGTAGGACTTTTTATAGCAGATAACTCGCATTAAAGCAAAGTCAAGGCAGCATGATATTGAGAAATGTAATTCATTGTTAGTGTTATTGTTGTCATCATCATTAACGTTCTATAATTATTAGACATTCATTTTGGAATTATTGCACAAATATTAATAAGTCCTCACAGCATTAGTTAGATAGTTGTTTCTGTTTTTTGTTAGTCCTAATTGATGTTGTTTTCAAATACAATAAATCCCTTTATACAATTTGCAGTGGTGCTCATTCATGTTTGGTGGGTGCTCCTATACTTTTTCTTGTGCTCCTAAATATTTGAAGTTAATTTCGAGCTATGTTAAAGTTATAAAATATATTATAAATAATAATTTCTTGTAGCTTGAATGTTTTAAATGAACTTATAATGTGTGCACAACTTTAAAAATCCCATGTAAATGAAAAACTTTTGCTTTGTTTTGGACGTAATCCCTAGATCACTTCCATTCTGAATTGTTGTGCGTTTTGTTTTATACTTTCTTAAATCTTTGAAAAGTGCGGATGAAAGAGAAACACCATGAATGGTTTATTTGACGTCTAACAGTATATGTGGTTGTCTGCAGGAGTTTGAGGATCTGGATGAAATCACAGCCAGATATGTCCAGCCCATGGCTGCATTCGCACGAGATCTGCTCGGCCACAAGTACTTCCATGAGTGCAATGGGGGCGACAGGAAGGTGATTATTCTGATTAACTACCATCTGTTCATTTAATCTTGATTTATACCCTCATTATTGACCTTATTCTAAAATGCGGAAGTGCGCCTGTTTTCGCGATTGTCTTAGAACTTGCGTTTCAGTCGCCTATGGGAGAAATGACTAGGAATAATAAACGGCAAAAAACGGTCAAACTACTTGCTCTACAAACAAATGTTTGCATGACTATACAGACCAAGTAGAATAATATAACAAGGACATATCAGTTTGCAACATCAAACAGCGAAACGAGCAGTTTTTAATGTCTAAAAATGAATGGAAGTGAATGAGACCGGAAGTCTCGTGCCAAAAAGATTCAAATGGCAGCGCCCGCTCGTCTGAAGAGAATAAGGTCAATATAAAAACAGCAGACATTTATTACAAATAAGATGAAGCATGCATTTATTATCTTATGTATCTTTTCAGAAAATGGAGGAGCTTCTAGTAAGGACAAAGAAAGAAAAGCCGACGTTCATCCCTTACTACATCTCAGCATGTAGAGACCTGCCTGGCAAATTCTTGCTGGGTTACCAGCCTAGAGGGAAGCCGAGGTAACACTCACTACCCCACCAATGCAAGACACAGGTCACACAGTTCAGAATATTTTTTCAATAACATTTGCTTTTGATCAATTTTGCAGGATAGAATATGTAACCATCACTCCAGATGGCTTTAGGTATCGCTCGCAGATATTCCCTACGGTCAATGGCCTCTTCCGCTGGTTCAAAGATCACTACCAGGATCCTGTGCCAGGTTAGTAGTCTCCATCTGCACCCCAGCTCTGGCCTAACATTGTTGTTCTTTCTTTTAATGCAGTGTTGATTTGTCTGTAAAGGTGTGACTCCAGCCAGCAGCAGAACGCGAACGCCAGCATCAGTAAACGCCACACCTGCCAACATCAACATTGCAGGTTTGACAGACACACTTGAGTCTCCACTGAAAACAGAAGGGATTTCTAAAACTTTAATCCTACTCATAAACAAACCTGTATCTTTTCTTTCAGACTTGACTCGAGCTGTGAACTCTCTTCCACGTAACATGACGTCCCAAATGTTCAACGCCATTGCAGCGGTTACAGGGCAGGGCCAAAACCCCAACACCACACCGGCTCAGTGGGCCTCCAGCCAGTATGGCTACAGCGGCGGCAGCAGTGCAGGAGGAGGAGGAGGCAGCAGCAGTGCTTATCATGTATGACACCTCTTTGACTTTTATTCATTCTTTTTTTTTTTGGTTTAGTCCCTCTATTAATCCGGGATCGCCACAGCGAAATGAACTGCCAACTTATCCAACATTTGTTTTACGCATCAGATGCCCTTCCAGCTGCAACCCAACATTGGGAAACACCCATACACTCTTGCATTCACACACATACCTAATTTACCTGTACCGCATGTCTTTGGACTGTAGGGGAAACCGGAGCACCCAAAGCAAACCCACGCCAACATGGGGAGAACATGCAAACTCCACACAGAAACGCCAACTGACCCAGCCTCTGACTTTTTATCCTATTAAATTAAAACTTAATTAAACTGATTTAATTTTTTTCTTTTCATGTTTTCCAGGTGTTCGCAACACCCCAGCAGCCAATGGCGACACCCTTGATGACGCCCAGCTACTCTTACACCACACCAGGCCAGCAGCAGGCCATGACCACACCACAGTATCCCAGCAGCACACCACAGTCCTCACATGGACACCATCAGCATTCATCTTCCACTCCATCATCATCTTCATCGAGAGTGAGGACGCCACAGCCCAAGTGAGTACTACTGTGAATCTGAATGTCTTCACATTCAAAATGTCAGATGCCATTTGTCACATACACAATACGAACAACATTTTATGACTGTCCTTGTTAAGACAGGTTTATACTTCTGCATTGAGTGATTGGCGTGACCCACTGTGCCTGCCTTGCGCGTAGCCGTGCATTTATACTTCTGCTTGATGTTTGTGTTGCTCTGCTGTAATATTTCCAATACTTTAGCTGGCAGTAGGTTTTTATGTTCCTCTTATGTAGTGTTTTCTTATGGGTGTGTTTTTTTTTTTTTCTGAACGCTACCTTAATGTACAAGTAGCTAAAACTTGCTCATTCTGAGGCAGGAACTGGCGTGCAACAACTTTAATTATAAGGTAAACACAAAACAACAGTTTCCATCTGGAGCTCCTTCATAGGATTTAACTCTTGTAAACACTTGCTCCAATGGGTTCGCCCTACCAAGCTGACCAATCACAGAGCTTGCACTATGTGTCATTGCGATGTACAGTTCTATTTTTTTGAGAGGTGTGCGTCAACGTCCGCATTAGCCACGGCGAGAGGTATGTGACTGCAATGGACCATATGTGCGTGCTTGACACAAAAGTGTAAATCAACCTAACCCTAACCGAACCATATCTGGGTGCTTTTGACTCCCATTTCCCTGTTTGTTTGACAAGTGTGAGTTCTCCAAAACGTTCCAGTAACAAGAGGTGTGCCAGAGTGTGATTTAGTTGGGTTCAGGCGAGGTACACTTGTGGTGTGAGTGCAAAACACACCTGAACCCAAAACTGAAGACCCGACATCACTTTTAAGGGACTGTTACATATGGATTTATTAATCATTCTTACTTTTCAATGAAAAGTGGTGGATCTGGTCAGCACAAGATTTGAAGCCGTGTCACTGCATCCTAAACGACTTAAAATAATAAAAAAAGAGTATAACTAAAGCAATCACCACTGTACTGAGTGAGAGCGCTTCAAAATGAAACAGTCGCATTATTGATGATGCAAGCAATGCTCTCAAAAGGTAAAATTGCAGGGTGAGTGCAGGCCGAGTGGGAGGGGGGAGGGGCACAATCCTCCCCCGGCACAGTTCAAGACAACTGTGCCTAGTGTGAGTGTAATCTGCTCAAATCATGTGGTGACAGTTGATTTAGTATTATACTTAATGTAGTTATTCCTTCTGCTTATTAGCGCTAATGTGTTGTCATGGCAACGCTGGTAAAATGATGACTTTCAATTGTTTTAAAATCACTATTATAATTTAAGTCAAATTTTAAAAGTCTTACAAATTTGTACTTAGTATTATTTAAGAAATTAATGATAATTACAGAACAGTTTTGGTTTTGGGCAAAGTGGATCCAGAATGATTTTTCTTTTGGTGCATCTCTAATATATAATGTGCATATAAAATGAATGGATGGACAGAAGGTCACCATGACAGAAGCCGCACCTACTGTCAGAGAACAAAATATACATATACAACCTGGAACTTTTTTTTTATTATATGCAAAAAAATTGATGTATTGTTTGATGAAATGTGAACTCTGGGGCCTCATGTACAAAGACTTGCATGGAGTTAATACTAAAACATTGCGTGAGGACAAAGCTGTAAATGTGCGCACACAGTAAAAAAATTCAGATGTATAAAACACTGCGTACGCGGAACCCAATGCAAATGTTTTTTGTACATCCAAATTAGCATGAAACTGAGCACACGTGGATGATTGCAAAACCCCTTCCTGCCTCCTCCCCCTAATGAATATATAATATATTTTATTTTATAGATATATAGTGACGCAGTTCCCTAGTGAAATTAAAAATTGAATGATGAGATGATGGGCGTGACTTGTTTTTTCTACTACAGGCTGATTGGATGTAGTAAAGTAGGCATTTCATTCAGAAAGATCAGGAAAATGGTTTGGGGAGAGTTAATACAACCTAGCAGATTCGTCCTTCTCACCATTTCTGTATGTTGTCATAGTGCTGTCAAAACGAACAGTTGGAGGGGCGTTGTTAAGTATGTTAGCTACGCCCCAATATGCCCAGACATAATCTAACAAGTCAACAAAAAAAATAAACATGAAGTGCATTTTCAGATTTTAATTTAGATAACAAGGGGAAACAATTTTTCGTTTTTAATGACATACAGATGTGATGTTCACAAAACTAGCATGTGAGCTAACAAAATCAATACGGTTAGTTAATTTCATGTGGACTTTAAGTTAGTCACCAAAACTCAGTGGATTGTGTATGCTTTAACCCAGGGGTGTTCAAACTCAGTCCTGGAGGTCCGGTGCCCTACAAAGTTTAGTTCCCTCAATCAGACACACCTGTGCTAGCTAATCAAGCTCTTACTAACTTTCTAGAAACATCCTTGCAGGTTTGTTGAGGCAAGTTTGAGCTAAAATCTGCAAGACACCGGCCCTCCAGGACTGAGTTTGGAGACCACTGCCTTAACCTATTTGTTTGAATCCTTAGACTTGTTCAAAACAACAGTGTTAAATAGCAGAATATGTTGCTCCCATATTACACTGTAAATAAAGCAATCAAAATGTTCTCCCTGCAATCTATAAATAATGTAGCAGCGTCTGTGCTTAAGCCATTAAGGAGTTACAGAGTGAAGTACTAAACTTCTATGCTTGTGCGTTTGTGTTCTCTGCAGGGCGAGCTCTCACACCGCCGTGGATTGGGGTAAGATGGCTGAACAGTGGCTACAGGAGAAAGAAGCGGAACGACGGAAGCAAAAGACCCCCCGCATGACTCCCCGACCGTCCCCCAGCCCCATGATCGAGAGCACACCCATGTCCATAGCTGGAGATGCCACTCCATTGCTAGACGAGATGGACCGATAGAGCAGGGCTGAGTGAAGTGTCATATAGAAGTTCATCCACATCCATCCCTCACCCTCCGTCTCTCGCGCTCTCTCGCTGCTAGAAGTATTTGATTCAGAGTCATTCAGAGCTACTGATACAAAGACAAACACTTGAAACGTGCTGACGACAAACACACTTAGGAAATGGACCTACCATACAAGTTTGTCACGAGGGTTTTCTTTCGTTCTTTTTTTTTTAAGGCTTTTTTCGGTTTTTATTAAGTAAATTTGAAAGGAAAAGCATGAGGCGCTGCATGATCGTGCCCACAAGACCTGGTGTTCGATTCACAGTATGATCATTAGTTCAGAGCAACCCACAGAGCTTTTCGTTTTTGTATTTGGCTTTAAACGGTGAAATAAAACCGTTTTAGACAGAGCACTGTAATGATTCAGAATCAGTGTTCTGTTTTGGCTGTTACGAGGATTAAGCACTGAAGAGATTTGCGAAGCTGCTTAGCTACTAAAACAATAGATGAAGTAAGTGACGATTATTAAGAGATCCTGTAAATGTTGTGTTTTTGTGGACTGTTACAGGATCTTCCACGTTTTAATTTCTAAACATTGAGGAATGATGGTTTTAAGGTTTGCTCAGCCCATTCATTTAGATGTTCATCTTTGAAGCTCGTACATTATCAACTGATCTATTGTGCTAAAAGATATTAAGACCCTGAACGGCTTTTTTTTTTTTTGCTTCTCTGGTTTGGGGGCTGTTTGTGTGTATCTTTGCTGGCTGGACTTCCTGAAGGTGTCGCACACATGCAGTCGTCTTTCCTTCATGTGTCACTATAGACAGAAATTGTGAGATTTAGGCAAAAAGAACTTTATTAACAGGCTGTGACAATATTTTCATGCAACAAACTTTTTTTTTTCTTTCACCCCTCATCTAGTCGAGTGTGTCTGACCTGATCATGTGTTCGTTTAGCACTGAGGCTTTGCTTTGCCTTCAGGTCAGGAAATGAACTCGGTGTCTGAACCCTTCTGTTCAGTGTATTTCACTGCTGACCATTTCATTATTTTTTCTTTGATAAAGTTGTCCCAATTAAACCTGAATCTGATTCGTGTTTTTATTTGTGTTCAACTGAGAGTTTATTGAAGATCTATAGAGATTTGAGTAAGTAAAGGAAAGGTTTGTTTGTTTGTATTCACACCGGAGAGAATTCATTTCACACAGCAGTGATCTTAAGATAATGCTAAACTGTCTGCAATGCGGTTTTTCATGTGACATTCCTTGGGTTTTATTAAATGGAAAATGTCATCATTTACTCGTCCTCATGCCATTAAAATCTAAAGACAGTTCATCTTCCGATGCTGAGAGCTGAGATCTTCCTCAATTTAATGTTTAACATTTAGATTGTAATCACAAAATGAAATCTGAGTGAATGATTTCGGTTTTCAGAAGACCGAATAAACACTTTCTATGATTAACATATTCAGGCTTTTATTAATGTATGAATACTAACTGAACAATGTTTACAACATTTAAAGGGACAGTTCACCCAATTTTTTCACCCTTAAGTGGTTCCTTATGTTTTTTCTGTTTTTCTGGACACAAAAGATGCTTTGAAGAATGTTAAAAAATAAATGGTAGCCATTGACATTGATAGAATGAAAAAAAAGTTTACCGTGGTCCCCAATATTCTTCAAAATGTCTGATAATTCTTTGTCCAACAGAAGAAACTCGAATAAGCCCAGTCATGCTTTCTTGATGTGAAAGAACCAATGAGCTTTAAACTGCTGGACTAGTGTGATTTTGTTTTTATCTCTTTTTTCGAGATAAAAAAATTTTTAACGCATCAGTTTTTACACGAACAGACTTTAAGTGGAGAGACGTTCGGTCACTTTATTTTGATTGTCGGTTTGTTGAATTTGAATTGCATTGCATCTACATGCTAACTAATTCTCATTAGATTATAAGTAGACTGTTAGGTTAGGGTTACTGTAAGTTGACATGTACTTGCAAAGTTTCTTATAGTCAATTAAATGTCTGTTAAAGGAACAGTATCAACAGATATTAAGCAGACAGTCTACTAATACTCAAATGGACCATCTAAATAAAGGGGTACCAGACATTCTCTTAGAATAAATTGGTAGTCTTCATTTGTGACTCAGCACCACAAAGGCAGTCATACGGATAAATGTTTGGAAATTGAGATTTATTTATCACATAAAAGCTGAATAAATAAGTTTTCCATTAATGTTTCATTTCATTCAGTTAAAAAATATTGAGTCAATAGCATTTGAAGTTGTCTAAAACAAGTTCTTTTTATTAAACATTACAAATCAAAAATGAAGCTTTGAGAGATATATATATATATGACAATCTTTACATAATAATGACTAAATGTGGTTACACAAAATGATGTGCAAGATGTGCTTTTTATCTGAACATCCCACAGTTGGATTGTTTCTCAGTACATTTTTTTTTTTTTGTCTTTACCTCAACCTGAATCTTGACAAATTATTTATAATATTACAATTGTTTAAAATTATGACAATGAAATGCACAACATGTAATAAATTTTCATAAAATGATATAAAACATAAATATTTTGATGACTTTTAATGTACTTTATCTCAAATGTTTTTTTTTTTTACTAATGTTTAAATTCTTTTTATTAGACTGCACAGAGCAGCATTATAATAGAACATCGGCACATGATACCAACCGCAAAAAACAGAAGCTGTGTCATAATAAAAGTTTCTCTCGTTTTTCATCAGCAATTTCTCTTTTTGGTCTTGTTTTGCTTCTGCAGCTTCCAGCCTTTCTCTGCTTCAAATTACCGTGATAATCCATTCTGAATGCTTTAGCTCAGGGGTGTCAAACTGAATTCCTGGAGGGCCGAAGCCCTGCACAGTTTAGTTCCAACCCTGCTCCAACACACTTCCAGTTACTATGACCATTTATGTGAAGCTGCTTTGACACAATCTACATTGTAAAAGCGCTATACAAATAAAGCTGAATTGAATTGAAACTTACCTGTAGGTTTCAAACAAGCCTGAAGGACTCAATTAGTTTGATCAGGTGTGTTTAATTAGGGTTGGAACTAAACTGTGCAGAGCTGCGGCCCTTTATGAACTGAGTTTGACACCTGTGCTTTAGCTCGTCCATCAACATGACTTCTGCAAGTGCCCAGTAGGATTTAACAAAGACTACAGCCCCCATGATTCCAGTCAGTGTCATCAAACTACATTTTTGTTTGTTGTGAATATGTGCCCTCTAGTGGTGAAAAAGACATACTGTGCCTTTAAATGGTTCAAGATTTATGTAAAGAATTATATGAATAGCTAATAGTTAAATATGGAAGGAAATGATTTACAGTCGAAAAACCAACTGACAATAAGTCAATCTCTTTGAACTCTATTGAGCTTTAGATGATGACATATTTTGTGTAACTTTAGAGACGAACCCTAAATGTGCAAAATATATCACACCCAACTTCAAGCCAACTTATTGCTAGTGACAAAATACCTTAAGCAACTTCTAGAAGCTTCAATTGTTTTAACCTTTTATTGTTTGCATGAATCAATGTTTTGAGAGGACAATTCAGCTCAGAATATAACAGGATGTTGAGTTGCTTGCTCCAGTAGTACTCCACGTATGTCTAACAATCCCTCCATTTTTCTCCCAGCAGAAATATGGTGTCGCAGCGGAGCCCGTGGTCATGAGTGCTGGCATATGTATCATATTAGCCAGAAAAACTCATGATGCAATGAAAAACAAAGGCTGCATTTACAAAAGATCCACCCAGAACCGCTAGAAGGCAAGTTACTGTGACCTCTTAAAGAAACACGGCTGTTTGCTAGAATAAAAATCAAATGTGAAATAAACATCATTAAAAGAGAGTTGTTTTGGATTTGTGTAGAATTTAAGTATTTACAGTAAAGTATTGATAGTGTTTTTGTACCATACTATAGTAAAAGGTATTGTGTTGTACACTCACCGGCCTCTTTATAAGGTACACCTTGCTAGTACCCTGTTGGACTCTCTTTTGCCTTCAGAACTACCTTAATCGAACAAGGTACTGGGAATATTCCTCAGAGATTTTGGTCCATATTGACATGATAGCATCACACAGTTGCTGCAGATTTGTCGGCTGCACATCTATGATGCAAATCTCCGCTTCCACCATGTCTCAATGGTGCTCTATTGGATTGAGATCTAGTGACTGTGTAGGCCATCTGAGTACAGTGAACTCATTGTCATGTTCAAGAAACCAGTCTAAGATGATTCACACTTTATGACATTATCCTGCTGGTGCTGGCGCTTAATCCTGCTAGAAGTAGCCATCTGAGGATGGGTACACTGTGGTCATACAGGGATGGACATGGTCAGCAACAATACTCAGGTAGGATATGTTGTTGACATAATGCTTAATTGGTACTAATGGACCCAAAGTGTGTCAAGAAAATATCCCCCACATCATTATATCATCACCAGCAACCTGATCCCTTGATACAAGGCAGGATGGATTGGCATGATGCTCGGTTTGAACTGCAGCAGATCGTCTTGACCATGTCTACAAGCATAAATGCATTGAGTTGCAGCCATGTAGTTGGCTCGGCTGATTAGAAATTTGTGATAATGAGCAGATGGTCAGGTGTACCTAATAAAGTGGCCAGTGAGTGTATATCAAAACACACACACTTTATGTCAAAAACACTTGGATGCTATTAATCACGATTAATCTTTTGCTAGTTTTACTACAGTAAACTGTGTTTTACTGTGTGTATAGTATTATAGTATAGTTAGCACTGTATATTAGTACCATATTGGGTAATTTGTCTATTTTACAATAGTTGTACTACCAGAGCTACTACAAAATTACACCAATAAAATAACTAAGTAGTTCACTATAGTGTGGTTCAAAAACACTACAGTATTTACTTAAAATACTATATTATTTTTATACATATACAGATTTCATTCATCTCAATTGTTTAATATATTTTTATCCAAAATAACACTCACTTGATCCTGGTTATTTGATAGTGTGTGACAATCTCTGTGTACTGTTAAAGTGTATACACATGAAAATCTCGATACAGCACTTTCAAGTCATGAAAATACATTAAATATAATATTGCATTCATTAGTACGCGTCTAAATACTATCCAGACTTGACTTTCGGATGGATTCCTGCTGAGATTCCCTCAGTTTCTCACTGGCCAATCTTCTGGATTAAACTTTTCTTTTACTCTGTCATTATGACACGTCATCCCAGTTGCCCAAAGTCTACATTCTACAGTCTCGTGATCTATTCCCGTTTGATCAAATCCACACATTACATTCTTTATGTTCAGTCAATGGCAGCAGCTGGATTGCCTCTTCTTAAAATTGTTGTCACAATTATTGGAGATTTCTGTGGAGAGACCAAATATTTGTGTTTATGAGGAAATTCTGTATGACCATACTGGCAGATTTGTCTAAAGCACAGATGTCAAACTCAGTTGCTGAAGGGCCGCAGCTTTGCACAGTTTAGTTCTGACCATTATTAAACACACCTGAGACCTGCAGGTATACAGTGTGTTGGAGCAGAGTTGTAACTAAATCGTGCAGGGCTGGTGGCCATCCAGGAACTGAGTTTGACACACTGGGGGCTGTTTCATAAAAGTGGTTTAGAAAAGCGGGTATTCAATGAGTCAAACTAAACGTCCACGCTTCAATTGGTTCCATAACAGCAAGTTGAAAATCATTTGATCTAACTAATCTGAGTTCAGTTTAAATAATCTAGATAACTGCTTGTGCACGTTACTGTCCCAAAACCCTGAAGGTTGAGCATAGATACATTGATTGTGTTTTGATTATGAATATGCCAAATTTACTGAAAGAGCTCTGAAATGAGACACATCTGTTCACAGTGAGCCGTGATTGCTTTAAATATATAATATTTTAAACATAATAATCAAAATCTATGGCTTGCAGCAAAGCAAGAGGGAATCTGACATGAAATTGGAGATTTCAGGGATTTCTGCAGAATGCTTCTTTCCCTTTGACACTTGTGTTTGCCGCGGCCCCTGGGAAAATGTCTTTATATTGAAATCATGCTTATAAATTCCCCGATTATTACCCTACTTCTTCATATCAGTCAATGCTTTCTTAATATATTTTCTTAATTAAATTTTGTAATTCATACTACACATATAGCTAAGTACACCCCTCACAGATCAATATTTTAAATTAATATGTTCTACAGAATGCTTTATAATATGTTTGTGCATATACAGTTAAAGTCAGAATTATTATCCCCCCTGAAATATTATCCCGCTGTTTATTTTACACTGTTTATTTCCTAACATATTAGTTTTAATAACTAATTTCTAATAACTGATTTATTTTATCTTTGCCATAATGACAGTAAATAATATTTTACTAGATTTTCATATTTCAAGACACTTCTATACAGCTTAGTGACATTTAAAGGCTTAATTAGGTTAACTAGGCAGGTTAGGGTAATTAGGAAAGTCATTGTATAATGATGGATTGTTCTGTAGACAGTCGAAAAAGAAATTAGCTTAAAGGGGCTGATAATATTGACCTTAAAATAATTATTAAAAAATTAAAAATTGCTTTTATTCTAGCCGAAATAAAACAAAAGAAGAAAAAAAAAATTTATCAGACATTCTGTGAAAATTTCCTTGCTTTGTTAAACATCGTTGGGAACTATTTAAAAAAGGGAAAAAAAAAAATCCAAGGGGGGCTATTAATTCTATTAATTCTTATTAATTTCAACTGTACATTAGATTATTCAGTACCAAAGCCAAATTTAGGACTAATCTAACAACAAATAAACTAAAGATCACAGTCCAAATTAATAAGTTGAGGGAAAATATTAAGTAATAATAAGAGGTTAAGTGAAATGAAATGGCATCAAATTACATCAGTCGAATGGTAACATTACTTTGATTAAGCTTGACTTAATCAAAAAGATAATGATAAGCCTAAAAGATAACCTGTCCCGGACCAGGCTAGTTTTCCAGCATAAGTTGTCATAGTAACTGAGTTTGAACTATCGTAAATTTGATTTATTGAACAGAATCCCCCATTAATTAACCAGACTTACCAAAATAAGCCTGGCTTTTTCTCTAAGCTTGGTTTATGGAACAGCCCCCTGGTCTAATGTTTGGAACAGGTGATGGTAAACTAGTGAAGTCACTTGAACTTACTGACGATATCACCGGCTCGTCTAGAATTGTTCTTCTCCAGCTCAGATAAAACAGTGGCCTCAAATGTAAGCGAAGCAACCCGCAGGAAGAAATCTCTCACACTCGCCCCTGTAGACGACACCAAACATGATACAAACAGTTGCAATCATTCAAGAATTTTTAATGATTATGAAGAAGTCTTGTTACTTAAAAGAATCAATTCAGCATATTATGATAATTTCTGAAGGATCATGCGACATCGGAGCAATAAATGACAGTAATGATAAGAATAAGTTATAGTTTACAATATATTGAAAGAGGATATTTCATTATATCTATGATTTGAAAGTAGAGCTGCCATTGTCCTCAATGAGTGCTGCAATAATGACAAGAATGAAATATTAGACAGCTTTTTATGCAAAAGACATTTTTTATCTTTCATACACTGTAAATGACTTGATCACTTCTGGTAAAAATGCTAAGTGAATTCATAAAGGAAATCATTCATTTGTTTCTTGGTGTAAAGAACATTATCATGATCTAAAACATCTTTTTCGAATGTAAAGATATGGATGTTACAATTCCTTCATGGAACCAATAAAGGCTATAAAATATATATTTTGTAAGTTTAGTTTGATGCATACAAAACATTTGCTGTGCAGACACATTCCTGTACCTGACAAAGCAGAAACTGCCCAGTACTCTGCTCTGATCTCCTCAGACAATCGAATGGCCTCCTGCTCCATTTGGGCCAACAGATCTGGATGCTACAAGAGAGAAAGATCCCTAGACTCTTTGATCTCACAAGAAAACATAGATTTAATTGTAAGTATAATTTCATTCATCCATATCCTTTTTTTGTCATTTTATTTTGTATTTAATCTTGTGAAAGCCAGAGTGCATTTAAAGGCACACATTTAGAATCTGCTGTATAATGTGGAATTTCATCAAATTTAGTTTAAAGTTTTGAGCATATTAATAAAAACTAGATGTTTACACTAGGGCTACACAATATATCATTTCAGCATCGATATCACAATGTGATCATTCGCAATAATTACACTGCAGTATCTGAAATGTCAAGTTCAGCTTCAGTTTATTCATCCCTCAGCGAAATTATAGTTTACCAAGACCCATATTGTTGAGTGATTTTTGAAGTTTAACTTTAATAGAGTGAAATAGTGCTTGTTTGCTTTGTTTTTAAGATCTATGAATAAGATTTCAAGTGCATTTAAAATAATAAGTGTAGAAGAAATTATAACAATGAAAACGTATTGCATTTATTTTTTTTAAACAATGAAGACTATGCAGTTGTATTTGCTTACATTTGAATTTGAAATATTTATATTCACATTGCAATAATTAAATAAATATAGCAATTTCAGATTTTTCCAATATCCACCCCTAGTGTACACCTACTCAGCTCAAGATACGGACTGACATCTTAGGAAACTTTTACAAAAATTTTACCATGTTACTTAGATGAGCTAATGTCCTTAATGCTTTTGCTAATATTTGAGTAAAGACTAAATTAAATTTAAAATCATGTTTCCAATATTTGATGAACATTTTGATATACAGTAGTAATCAAAATGCATATTATCTAAATGTTCTGGGCATGAACACATGAGCTGCTCAACCTTTTCTTTTTATCAAGTACACATAGAAATATAAGCATCTACATGACAACTTGTCAAGCGGTATAGGCCTAGTAAAATGTCATTCTCAATTTAAGAACAAATAATAATTATAACCAGATTATAAACAAAACAGGAACTAAGTTATTTTTTGACAAAAAAAAAAAAAGTAAACAGATTTTTAAAAAAGAAGAAATAAAAGTCAATAAAAAGGAATAGTTCACTCCAAAATGAAAATTCTACTCATCCTCCACTTGTCCCAAAATGTTGGAATAAAACAACCAATGACTTTCATTGTATTTTTGTTCCTACTATGGATTATTGACTGCTTTTTTCCAACAGCAGAACATCTGCCTTTATGTTCAACAGAAAAAAGAAATAAAAAAAAAACACTTTAGTGTGAGTAAATGGAGAGGAAATTTTCATTTTTGGGGTAAACTTTTCTTTTCTTTTGACCTTTTTGATAATGTTATAACCATTCAAATGGAATAAAATAACTCACAGACAAAAAAGAACTTTTAGGACACTTTTTTTCAGCGATAGATCATGTGAGAGTTACTCACACTAAGATCCTTCTTGGTTCCCACGAGGAAGAGCAGGACACTGGACGGGTCATTGTCCCTCATGGCATCTTCAAGCCATTCTCTGAATAAACAGACACAGAAAACAAACACCATTCATGATTATTTAGATGTATTTCAACCACAATAACAGCTTCAACTGTACCTCGCGTGATCCAGAGACTCATAGTTGCTCAGGTCAAACACAACGATGATGGCTGGAACAGAAAAGCAAAACATTTGAACTCTACTGACAGCAAGATTATGATTGATATAGTCTGTTTTATCACCTTGCGCTCCTCTGTAGTATGTGGAGGCAATGCATCGAAATCTTTCCTGACCTGCTGTGTCCCACCTGTATTGAAAGACATGATTGGCTGAAACCAAGTGAATGACAGATAAACCAATAAAATACATTAAAAAAAACTCACAGCTGCAAACTGAAGGGTACCCCGAGAACTTCAAATCTCTCCATCTCAAAATCCACTCCAATAGTTGCCTTGTACGTTCTGTCAAATGAGTCTTTGCAGAATCTTGTGGGAAAAAGACAAATCATTCATTTTTCTTTCTTTCTTTTCTTAATTTGTAAGTATTTTAATTCTGGTAAAATATAAATTAAATTTTGGACACATTTAGAACAATAAGAGAATAGGGAATAGATCATTTGAGAATAGAATATTTACACACTCTTACCTGTTTATTAAACAGGTCTTCCCGACCCCAACATCACCAACGACAATGACTTTGGCTACATTTAATCTAAAAACATAGAGAACATTCATTCATTCATTCATTCATTCATTCATTCATTCATTCATTTATTCATTCATTTATTCATTTTCCTTCAGCTTAGTCTTTATTTCAGAGGTCACCACAGCAGAATGAACCACCAGCTATTCCCGCCAGTTTTGGGGGTGTAAGGTCCACCCAGTTGGCCCAATGCCGGTGTCCACTGGTGGATGAAGGTTCACTGCATGTTCGGTCTTTCCAGTGCACAATGTTGATTTATATTAAACTTAACTCATATCTGACTCCAATTTTAGTATGAGGTGGTTTAGAATATTAATATATTTATCCTCGTTTTGTCTGACTCCAATTATAAAACATTAAGAAGATTATATCAATATGTAATTTAGATAAATGTTTGAACCGTTTGTCTTCACTAGTAACTATTACATCCGTTCATTCGGGTGCTCATGTCGCTCAGAGAAATCGCCTCGGCCGAAGGCGTCCCTCACGGTCACACTCCGGTCAGTCTTGAATATTAAACAGAGGTAAATTGACTAATACTTTAGATGGCCGCTACCAGCGCGCTCGTTCTAAAATACTTTAGTTAGTCCCGCTTAGATGTACACCTTTGAGTTAAGACAATCATCATTTCTAATTAGAGGTTAGGGCATTAATATAAATGTACCCGACTACTGGACTCTATAGTAACTTTGGTTTTCACCAAGCCCATGGTTTCCCATATGAACTTAATTTAGAATAATATTACCTTCAAACAAAGGTCGGGTACCCAATCTAGGTTAGTCGTGCAACACCTTGTTGACCTAGACGGAAGTTATCGCCCTTTCCACCTAAGTACACATGAATCAATATCAAGAGTCAGCCGGATCGCTAAAACACAATTAGTGTGCCAATGCTCCATCTCAATTGGATTTTAGTCCGTCTACTGACCTGACGCAAGACGTGTGGAAACAAGGATACAGCGTAATCTACTTGAATTAATAATTACAGAGTGAGCAAAATATGGTCAAACATTACAATTTATTAGTCAGGTAAATGTATTATGCCAATTCAATCAGTCAATTCATAAATGATCAATACAAAACATCAAATTATCAAAGATAAATCCAAGATGAAAAAGATGCATTCCTGACTTTGAAATATACATAACATGGGGCAGACCCCATGTTATGGGCTGATCTGGTTAGGCAGAATCGCCCTGAGCTTTTCTTAGCCCTTACCTTAAATAATCCAAGAATTCCCTCAAGGAAGGGGGTGTGAATATATAACAAAAGGCATTCACACTTAGTGTCACACCCCTCACAGTGGATCAAAAGATGCCTGAAGTTATATATTTATTGTTCTGATTATGTCTATTTCTGAGAGAATGAGACCATTGTACCAATCGCACTGAGACATTTCAAATGATATCAAACATGATAGTTAAAGTCAGTTTGGTTAATTCTAGAACATTCAAACATTGAAATGACCATATGTGTGAGTTGGGGGGATGAAGCAGACTCAGATGCAAATGCAGCAGGAACTGGTTTTTCCCGCATTCCCCTTGCTGAGTTGTGAAGTTACCAGTCTCTGTTTTCAGCTCATGTTTTGAATTGTCAAAGATATCAGAATATTTGCAATATTTCAATTCTTACAGGGGTAACGCATTACAAGTAACGTGAGTTACGTAATAATATTACTTTTCTAAGTAACGACTAATGTAAAGCATAATTACTTAATTTTACAAAAATTAAGTAATAGTATTTGAGTTACTTTTTTAATAATGTAACTCAAGTTAATTTTTAGATTAATTAATTAGTTTTCAAAAAATAAATTGCTAAATTAAAATTAGTGTAATCACATTAAATCAGTCAATAAGCTGCCCGTGGGAACAGACAGAAACCAAGATGGCAGAACCTTACATTTTTGTGGTGGAAGTATTTTCATTATTTTGAACACAAGGAAGAAAATGGGATTATAGTATCAATGGAGAGTGATTTTACTGAACTAATAAGACAAAAATACAAAAGTAGCATACACATTGCTTTCAGCTTTCATTATTCTGTATATACGGCATGTGTAGAGTCAGGAAGTTCTCAGACGGTAACATTGCTCTAATTCTTTTTATTCGTTTTTTTAAAGGTAAATGAAGGTGCTGGTTATACAGTGTGCCAATAAATGCAGAGCTCTTCTATTTAAAAAAAAGGATAATACCCTGAAAGTTATGAAGAGATCAAGCCTCAGGCAGGTATGAAAAAGTAACTCAAAAGTAACGTAACATTACTTTCCATAAAAAGTAACTAAGTAATGTAACTAGTTACTTTTTTGAGAAGTAACTTAATATTGTAATCTATTATTTTTACTGATTCCAGTATATATTACGCAGCCCAGTATTGGAAAACACCCAAACATTCTTGCATTCCCACACACACAATCTATACTGCATGTCTTTGGGCTGAGAACATGCAAACTCCACACAGAAATGCCTACTGGTCCAGCCGGTAATCAAACCTGGGACCTTCTTGCGGTGAGGTGATAGTGCTAACCACTGAGCCTTCATGCAAGTAATATAAAGAACATTATAACTAAAATGTGCATTACACATCACACATGCATAAATATCGCTCATAGTTGTATAACATTTCTATGTATAGGATTACAACAAAACAAAAAAACAGCATTGTATTAACTTCTGCATGTGCAGAAGGTACATATTTGAAGTATATATATTTGAAACTTCAACTTTTATAGACCTTCATTTGATCTATTATAAATTCTTAATTCCTAAAGTCAATCTTTTAGTAAGAGCACTTTGCACTGCATTAGCCCAAACAAGAACACATATCATGAAAGCCACTATCTAAATTTATGTATTTCAACAATGTGCAATTATGAGAAATTGATTTTCAAAATTGATTTAGGCATTATTGTAAAAATTGCTTTGAATACCAATGGTAATATTGTGTTAACTGTAGCCTTTAGTGTTGTAGTAATGTACAGGTACTGGGACATGTAAAATGTTGACATATTCGATAAATCACTGCCCAACTGCAAATGTTTTCCCTTCACTTTACAAAACTCTAACTAAATTAACTTAAAAACTAAATTACAAACTGTCGTTTCTGTGTCAAGTATAACTTACCCTGTTTTCTGCCCTTGACAAGCCTCTCTAACAGTAATATTGAAGCCATCTTTGGTGTGCACTGCAGCATCTCTTGTAAAATACTGAAAAAATAGACCAATTTAGATGAGGTTAAGTTTTAAAACAAGAAAAAAACAAAACCTGTTACATGACAATCTGCTCTGGCTGAGTCTGGCTTATTAAGCTCAGAGGGTTATTCAATGTTATAATCCTCTATAAGGAAGTGTTTAATTCTGAGGTTAAAAAAAAAAGAAAATATATAAACATGGCTGAATGTTCACAGAGACTGAATGAATAACTGAGTAATACAGAAAATGTTACCAAAGGGAGTTCACAGATGATCCGGTCTCCTTTCACAGGGGGTAAAGAATTCATCATGTGAGAGCTTTAACAAGAGCACATTGACACAACCACAAACACTCTACCATTCTGTCCTTCTGGGAAGAAATACATAATAACCATGATGAGGATGGTGATAATAATAATAATTATATAATGTAATAATAATAATAGTAGTAGTAGTAGTAGTAGTAATAATAATAATAATAATAATATTAATAATAATAATGATAATAATAATAATTAATAAAGAGTATGTTTAATATGTTTAACAATAATGAGACATGCCTTACTATATTCTTCTTCTTCTTATTATTATTATTATTATTATTATTAGTATAACAGTTAAGTGTTATTAAATCAATAACGACATAATTACCGTCATCATTAATAACTGTAACAAAAATATTCATAATACTAAAATTATAAATTAGAAAATTAACATTAATGAAAAATTATTATCTTGCTGTAATAAAAATCTAAACAACGATAATTAATATTTATATTAACGAAAAAAGTAAATACATCTTACCTCAGTACAGAGTTTTTTTTTACCTTCTACGAGTAACGTTAGCTTTTTAGACTTAATAGCAACTATTAAGTCGACACGTTATGTTCTGTTTTGTCAACAAATGTTTTACATATCTAAAACAAAAAAGGCAAAGTAATATAGAAGTAACGTTAACCTAACGGACAGCTTTTACTGTTTGACTGCTCAAAGCTCGCCTCGGTCTCTTGAGGCTGCGCCCAATATTTACACTACGTGATTAAACTACCATACCCATAATGCATATCTACAATCTCGCGATAACTGTGTGTGTCAACGTGAAACCCTGCAATATACTGAAGGAAACCCCTCTCGTTCTTCCTTTCCCAACATGGCCCCGAAGGCGAAGAAGGAAGGTGCGTCAGATTTATGCATTTTATGTTATAAAAATAAAGTTTGTGCAAATTATATACAGTTTTATTTTCATTCAAATGTAAGTGATGTGGTTATGTTCGTTTCTAGCAATTTTTTCGCCGTCTGGAGTAGGAAAATACAGCTATTTAGTGCGACGAAGCTGGAGTGAAAAGAGCGGCTAGCAAGCTAATCATTGAACTACATGCGCTCATATGGTGTCATTACATCAGTCTTTCTGCGAGTTAAAAGCATTGTCCAGTTGTCATTAACTGGTTCTCATTTTTTATTTTGAGAGTCCAGAGTGAAAAACAGGCAATTGACACTTTGTTAGCTTGTAGTTAGCTCGTAACGTTAACACACACGTGGTTACTCGTTCTTATTACTTTTTCATTATTAGTCAGTTTAATATTCGTGAAGTAAAAAGCAACTGGATCAAGCTATAAAACTTTTAGGCTCAAAACATTCCAACGTGTCCTTGAAGCATTTTATAGCCGATTCCTCAATGTAAACACCTTCATGTTCACGTACAATTGATTTGGTTGTAACGTTAAAATTTTCTGATTTCTGTTGTAAATGATTGTTTTTATTTTAGCTGTTATCACGATTTTAAATGTTACATTAATTTTATAGACCGTTTTGTTGTGAGTGTTTAGACAGGGGTGGCCAATCCTGTTCCTGGAGAACTACCTTCCTGCAAATTTCAGTTGCAACTTGCAACCCTTATCAAACACACCTGTCTGTAATTATCAAGTGGATTTCGGGTCCTACTTAATTGGTTCAGGTGGGTTTGATCAGGGTAGGAGCTAAACTGTACAGGAAGGTAGATCTTCAGGAACAGGATTGAGCACCCCTGGTTTAGAATAAAGAAATGTTTCTAACAAAGTTGCTTATGAAGTACAACAGGCGAAGTTTTATAATGAGGTCATTTGATGCATTTACATCAGCCGTGAGAAATATTAAAGTTCTAATCTTTGTCAAAACTTCAAACAGTATTATGAATTTGAGATCTAAAACGTGCATTAAACCAATATTGTATTTCTGAACATGTGCATATAAAATTATAAAGCAATAAACTGATTTAATAAATGAATAAAAATCTATCAAAAACGTTCTCTTTAGTTACTATTCCATGGTTTTATTTTTTCAAATGTTTCGACAGCTGTCCCGGCAAAGACTGAGGCCAAATCTAAGGCCCTGAAAGCCAAGAAGGCTGTGCTGAAGGGAGTCCACAGCCAGAAGAAGAAGAAGATCAGGACTACCCCGACCTTCCACCGGCCCAAAACCCTGCGTCTGAGGAGGCAGCCCAAGTACCCTAGGAAAAGCGCTCCACGCAGAAACAAGTAAGACCCGGACACTGCTTTGTGTTTTAGTGTGTTAAATTTTGAATTCCAACAGAAACAAGAATTACTTTTTTTATGATGCAAATGATGGGAATTGCGATCAAAGCATGAAAATAATGTGATTACGCTTTTTTAAAACTGATGCATCCTCATGAGAACTTAAGTAAAACAAAACGTTTTTCCAGAACATGAGTGAGTTTATAACAAGTGTTGCTCTTGTTCTGCCAGGTTGGACCATTATGCCATCATCAAGTTCCCCTTGACCACTGAGTCGGCCATGAAGAAGATCGAGGACAACAACACTCTGGTGTTTATTGTTGACGTAAAGGCAAACAAGCATCAGATTAAACATGCCGTCAAGAAACTGTACGACATCGATGTGGCCAAAGTCAACACACTGATCAGGTATAACTATTTATTAATCTAGGCATTTTTAAACAGTGGTTTTCAACTTTGCCGTCCAGTGTGCACATGGAATAAATATGTTATTATATATAATTATATGCTTGCTCACTTATTCAAACTTGTAAAAGATTTCGTTTTGTCTCTTTTTATTGTTAAATGTTTAAGTGATTGGTGTAAAATACAGAACTGAAAAGGGTTGAGAAACCAGCAGTTGTGTCAATTACAGAATTATTACTGGAACATTAACTTAAACTTTTATGTAGAACGTATTAATTAAGATTAAAAAGTACAAGTACTCAATTAAAGTAGTTGCTTTCTACCATATCTACACTTAAGGCAAACATTTAACTTCATTTTTAAAAAAAAAACCTGACTTATGAAGTTTTTCTTTAAGGCAAATGTTAAGAATCACTGTTTTAAGGCGATGCTTTTATGATGTTGAGATGTGCTAAAATGATTAGAGGAGAAACCCTGCTGTGTAATGATGTAAAATAATTATTTCTCTGAAATGTGATGTTCTCAAAGGAACCACTGATACACAGGAGAGGTTCACTCAGATTGTGATGCAGTGATGAATCTGTTCTGAGTGCTGCATTTATTTCTCTCTTCAGGCCCGATGGCGAAAAGAAGGCATACGTTCGTCTCGCACCAGATTATGATGCATTGGATGTTGCCAACAAGGTAAATAATTTATGAACTAGTAAATTAATTTCATGTCACTATGTTGGACGCTGAGGAAGTTTATTTTTGAAGCTCTGCATATGATGTAAATTAAGTTTCTGCCTGAATGATTGTGATGCATTCAAAGGAACCACTGATGCTCTGTTTTCTTGCCTTTGTGAAGTGTTTGCTGTGATCAGTACTGATTATCATCTGTTCTCTATTACAGATCGGCATCATCTAAACTGCTTTTGGTCAGATGTACAGAAGAATAAATGTTTGTAAAACAAGTTTTGTTTTGTGTCTTTTTCATTATTATTATTTTTTTTTAGGTTTAAGAATAGCCTTTTGGTCATTACTTTTTTTTTTTAGCTGTTTTCTTTCGTTTGATTTAATCAAATGTAAAGGCATGACATTAGCAAATTTAAATTTCAAAGGCAGACCAAAGCACTTATTAAATGCCTGTAATACTGCCACTAAATCAAATAACTGAATATTTATTATGACTGAATTAGACCATGTAAGGTTTTTATTGACTTCCAGCACACTTCATTTCTGGCTTGATTGGAGTTTTTCATGGGTGCAATGTGAAATAGTACTATAATTAAAGTAGACACATGCTGATGTCCACAAGTCGGAGAAATACATTTTCTGAGTCTGGCTTACGTCAACACTATACCTGTAAACCCTTTTTCCTGGGATTATTGTTTATCTTACAGTTCTATCCCGCTATCATCCTGTAAAGGTATTCTCCCTTATTTCTCCTGTATTTTCAGTGTTTTTCTGATGGGTGGCAAGAAACATTAAAGAGCCGAGCCCCCCTATACGCAACCCATAACGCCGAACCTCCAGGGGCCGCCCCTTGCTCTTAAATGTGGGTCTGTTCTGTGTATTCGCTTTGTTTAGGCACGAAAACACTTTAAAATATAAAATCAGTGCAATTCCCATTCCTTTTTATTACAGTTGCCGTCACTCCTCCTATGCAATCCTCAAAACAGTCATATAATGGTGCATGACTGTCAGCTGACACGTTCCATAGTGATAGACACCGTTTCCTAAACGAATTCTGAATTTGAAGCTGAGCGAAAGTCTGGCTTTTGGGTGCGTGTATAAACAGACATATACACAACTCATAAATAATAACATTAAAAGATGTTGATCTTAGTGTTTTTTTTTTTTTTTTTTTTCCAAAAATTTCTTTTTAAATTAAGTCAGGAAAGCAGTCGAATGCTTGTATTAAAATATGCGTTTATTTTTAAGTTGACACCTGTTGTTTATTCAAACAAAAAAATCGAAATAAATGAGATCCATTAGTTGCTCTTTAATCAGAATGTGAAAGTTATACAGTGAAGGAACGGCTGAGATTTGTTTGATTCTATTTCATTATAAAAGCTAATAATTTTAATAAGCTGAACTGTTTGCTAATGTATTTGCTGCTAATATATATATATATATATATATATATATTTCTTTTGTAAACATTAAACCATTAATGACCATTTAACTGTATATTTACAATTAAATCATTTTAAATCAGTGTTACTGGGATGTTTTGCGTGGCAAATAATGTTTTTGTGGAAATTAAGTATTTGTTTATTGTACATGCTAAACATGGTACATTGTACATTACAATACAACATGGTATTGTACATTGTTAAACATGGCTGCTACTGCAACTTTAATTCTCAATACACAATTTATCATGACCGTTGTCTTCAATAGAGGAATGAGGTATTTAATTAAATCAATATTTGTATCACCTCTCAATTACAATTTAGAGAATTTAATAAATGGTGCCTATTTACAGTTTTCTATCACAAAATGAGACCTCTACATGCCAGCTATCCATACTGCCCCTAACCTAGAGTTTTAAAGGGATAGTTTAGCCCCTAAAATGAATGTACTCTTTCTTAAAAATATTTTAAAGATAACTGAAATCCTGTAACGGTACCATGGAGAAAAAGTATGGAAAACAATGGTTACAGGTTTCCAACATTTTCAAAAAATATCCGACACTTGCATCATTCGTCACTCCTGCAGCTGCTGCTTGGAAGAGAAGCGCAGCGCCTGCGCCTCATATCTGTAGTAAGATGTTCAGCTGAACTAAATTGATTTTTATTTATATAAAAGGCTATGTAACACCGGCTACAGGGCAAAGCCTGTGTATTACACATAACTTCCTGGTAAGGCTACACTAAAAATATGTTAAGTTTCCGTATTTTGTGTTTGCCGTTTATTTATGGTTGTGGATTGCATTATGGGACCTCAATCTCTGCTCTGTGGACTTTTGAAATAATATGTTTAAATAATATAGGCTAGATAAATGAATCTGTAAAATGACAGAAAATGTAGGCCTACTGACAGTTTATTACAACGTTTTTGTAGCATAATATACAACACCAGCCCAGACAATATAAATAAACACATAAATAATAATAAAAAATAAAAACATGAATCACAAAATACGGAAAACTGTTATTTACAAATATTTTTTTACTGTACTCGACATTAATCCAGCGAAAGTTTCGAAAGGAAGGCTTGTGAGAGAAAATGTGTTTCAATGTACTCAATGTATCTGGGCCTGCTACTATAAAAATAAAAACTAAACAATAAAAAAAACACTATAATGCTTATTATTATATATTGGCCTAGCTTGGTAACAATCGTGCAAACCCAGTGCTGCTCGCAAATCTTTTGCTCAGCTTCAGGTGCATCAGCAAATTTGGCAGCGAACTATGACAGTAATGATAAATTGTAATGATAAATGTTTAATAATACTGCTAATATATATATATATATATATATATATATATATATATATATATATATATATATATAGTCAGATTATATATAATCAAATAATAATAATTAAATGCCTGGGTGCTGATCCGCAAAGGACGAGGACTACAGGACTATTATTTTAATGGACCAATCAGAGGACATGGGGATTTCAGAACCGCCTACTGAAACGCTGATAATGATAATGAATTTTAAAGTCATTTATCCATTTTCCTACTCCAAACCAAAAAACGAAAATCGAGCCATAATCAGTTATTTAATAATAAAAAAAAAATGTCAGTTTTCTAATTTTTAAAATTTCGTTTAAGATCAAAAATCGAATGAACGCAACGTTCCGGCAAATCACGTTACTCTCACATTAGTGCGTGTAAGCATTATCTGAATTAATTTTACATGGATATAAATTGAAGTTTGTTGAGTGTTTTACGATATGCTGTAATAAATTTGAACATGCATTGTTTTTCTTTTACCACACTGATGTAGACATTGCATGAAACATTAGGCCGTGAAAATTTACTTGAAAGTTTTTGGAAAAATCATGGAATTTTAGTAGTAAAAATGTGTATGGACCCTGATATTTGCATGCACACACACTTCATCAAATTATACAAGATGCTATTTGTTACAATATTATATAGTACAGCATAGCATATAGCATTCTCAACCGTTGGGCCGTAGCGATCCTGCAGGTGGGCTGCAAGACAGCTTAACCCTCTACTGCACGGTTACCATGTGGCAACTTGATACTTATGTTCATTTTCCTGCTACAGCGTGCTGTTTTTGTGTGAACCTTTTAGAATTTCAGCATAACTCCCAAATAAAAAACCCAAATACTATATATGATATGTATACAAACTAGTTTAGTTCAGTTTTTTTTATCAAATTCTGTAGAAAAACAAGATAATATTAGTAAAAGCAAAATAAATGTTTTGCTAATATATATAAGGGGTAAAAATAAGCATTTTCTCTAAACAATCAGTTTAAAAAGAAATTTCAGATGTGCGATTTCAAAAAAAAATCTGAAATAATAAAGTTCTAATATAGACTCAATATATAGATGCTTAAATACCTAATAATTATGGCACATACACATTATTTTTCTTGACTTTTTATTTTGGGTAATAAAAATGATGCTTTTATAATAGTGCTGTCCAAGGAGGGTAAAATCTAATTGTGATTTTTCTGAAATTGTGATTTTTATTCCATTTGCGATTTTAATTCAGTAAATATCTCAATATTCTCAATAGTGTGTAACACACTTTAAAAGAAGACAATACAGCATGCTTTAACAGTAAATATATAAATTATGATTAAAGTAAATAATCTAAATATTTTCAAATGTATTTTTATATTCTGGATAAGGCAAAAAACAAAAAAATTAATCCAATTAAATATTGTCGGGCCGAAATCTCCCATTATTTTGATAAGTAGCCCAAACTGTCAGTAAATGTAAATTCGGACTTCTTTGCATCTGTTCACGCAGATCTGCCATTCGCGCCTGCCTGCCTGCCTGCATGAGTGCCGTGCGTTCACAAGGCAATCACAGATGCAATGAAATCAAATGCTGAATTGGAACTTGATAACCCTGAATCAATATTGGAGTTACTTTTGTACGTTGGAGGAAGAACAACACGTTGCTGAAGTATTACAGTTAGACAGGTAATGTTCTGTTTTAAAACTATTTTAGTCAGGCTAAGCTTATGTTAGATTGTGTTGTGTTATGAATGGCTTATATGCACAGATGTGTTGTTCAGCCACTGAAATCTCCCGGTGAAAGATCGATGTGATTATTTTCAGTTTTATAAGGGACCTTTTACACTATCGATAATGTAAATTTTTATTTAGTTTAACAACAAAACATCAGTAAATAGCGCTATTTCACCAAAGTTGCTTTTATATTCACATTTGGGTCATTTTTTAACAATGACAGCCTTCCTATACTTTTTAGCATGCTACTCTGAATATTTGCTCTGAAATAGCATGTAAGTGTGGCTTAGTAATAAATGTATGGCTTAGTAATTGATTCCTGCACACCGCCGGCCAAACACTAACTGGCGAATGACCCCCAAGAGGTGCAGTGCACGCGTTCGTGATTTCAGGAGGCGTGGCATTGAATCACAGTCCCTCCCTGTCGTCCAAAGATAATATGGTAAGCGGTTAGCATTTTGGCAGATCACCTGCTGCAGCTGCACCTTTATGTGCTTAACACTTTGTTTCAAATGGTAACCACACAAGAGGTGTTAAAAGTCTATATTGTTGAATAGAGTACAGGGAAAGCCACCTGATGAGTTTTCAACATAATGTTTGTTTTGTGACCTCAAACTCGAAAGCAGCCTTCCCTATACTTTAAGCTAAAATATATATGAGCTTAATTTTACATTAGGCTTTTTGTAGAGAAAAAAAGGTATTTTTACCTATTTCCAGACCCCTCCCACTCTCGTAATTCGCACCCTGTAATTCGTCCATAACCATGAATCAAGCAGAGGTGAGTGTTCTTATTTTGACTTTTCGGTGATCGTCTACTCTTCCCTGTTCATGACCCCTGACCTACTTTCTGCTGTATTTGAATTTCAGGTTTTGAATTTTAGAATATTTAATTTGATGCGGTGAGTTTCTTCATCTTGAATATTTAAAACTGTATTTTTATAAAATGGATATCTGCTAGGAATTCAGAAAAAAATCAGCCTGGAAAAATTCAGTTGTCTTAAATTTCAGATGTTCAATATTCAAATTAAGAAATTCCAACTCATAATGATTTTAAAAAAGCATATAAAAATTAAGATTTATTAAATTCCAACTGTCAATAATTCAAATTAACACAATTCATTTTAGATTGTTTTGGCATATTATTAGCTCCATATTAAAGGGAGTAAATTGTTTTTTTATTATTACTTTAGGTGAACTATCTATTTAAAGCTTTAGGGGACAGAAAAGAGTAAATGACAAGGGGGGTCAACTATCCTGCTTTGAATGATGTGCCAAAGAGTTTAGCCGTACTCAATGCTAATTTTTTATTTTTTTTATATAAATAGTCAATGAAATGCCATATGTGACAGCATTAGATCCTGGCTACCAACATTTTAAGTTGTTTATTGAGTTGCAGTGTGAAAAAAACATTTAAAATGTTTGGAGATTCACATCGGACTCTGTTTAGGTTTGCTCGTACAATAGTTATCCTCTGGATGTAAATGTAGTTACCACCAGTCACCCTAAACGCAGTCTTTTTAGACTGACAGACTTAGTCCGCCGCTAACTTCTGAATGCCGTTTTGAATTCGCCGCTTGGTGAAGAAATCACTCCTGATGAGTCGGTAGAAGTAAATGAGGATCATGATATTCATGAGCATCATGGTGATCAGGAAGTAGAGAGCATAATCCAATGACGAGTAATGGTAAGTAAGGTACCAGGTCAGGTAAAACTGTGCTCCGAGCCGGAAGGTCACATATGTCACCACATTCAACACTTTATTAACGGTGTAGATGAGAGAGCTGTGTGCCACCTTCGCCAGATTGAGCAGTAAACGAGTGTGCAGGAAAACACTGTTCACCTCCACAAATAAAGCCACCACTGCTCCCGCCACATACTGATGAGTGAACACTGCGTACAGGAAACACCACAGCACCTACAAGACAACACACGGCTTAAAGCAGGACAATTTTTGATATTTTTGCCATATTTGTTGAATAAAATCTTCTCAGTCCTCACTTGTAAATCACTTTGGATTAAAGCATCTGTTATTGGGGACCTATTATGCAAAAATCGCTTTTATAAGGGGTTTAAACAGTTTATTGGCAACATTACAAATATCACAAACTGCAATGGAAAAAAAAATGTATTAATATTGTTTTTTATAAACTCACCTGAATCACCGTTTCATTTTGACATTTTGCAAATTTGATCAGAAAAGGAAGCCCCACCCATTATTAGTGATCATCTCTACATCATTAGCATAAACAGCCCTGAGTGAGAAGCAGCCGTCCGCCATTAGAGTTTTCACCTTCTGAAGAGAATATAGCAACTAACAGGATAAATAGTTTTATGATTCACAAATGAGTCTCTATAGACTCCTTTCTTCTGACATATTTCTTTGAATATGTTCATTAATTTAGTTATACAAAAAGTTATAATTATACAATTTTTATAATTTTATGTTATACAATATTCTGTGTGGTATTTGGAGCTAAGACACCTAAATAGAACATTTAGACTTAAATTCAGATTTATTTAATAGATCTCAGATTTATGAGTTTGGAATCTAGATCCCTCTACATTTTACCTCCCTAAATGAAAATTGTCAAAAAAAAAAAAAGATTTTCAGAAAAGATTTTGATTTGAAAAATTTTAATTTATACACCATAAAATCTAAAAAGTTGTATGTGTAATGTTGTAATGAGTTGTGTGAACTTAATCCATTTGAGAAAATTAAGCAATTTGAGCACAGTAAAACCCAATAAATGAAGAGAACTCCAACCAACTGAGTACTGTAATAAATTAAGGCAACTCAAACCGTTTGGGGAAACCGATTGCTACAATCCATTTGAGTAAAAAAAACTAATCTTTATGAGTACTATGAACTTGATCTATTTAAGCTGACGTAATGAGGCAATTAATTAACTAATTCAAAACCCTTTTCAAATTAGTAGAATTAACTTTCAGTAAATTTTGAGTTAACTACACTCATTTTATTTGATAGAGTTGACTGTTGGGTTTTACAGTGTAGTAATTACTATGTGTTTTTGAACCATATTAATAGTGTATTACACTGTATGCTTTATAATATTTACTGCACATGCTACAGCATACTGTATTAATTAAAATTAACTGATAAACTAATAAAGTTTAGTTTTACAGGAAACGGTGGTGTATATATTTTGTGTGTGTATGTTTATAAAAAGAGAGTAGAAAATGTACAGTTTTTGGTTGTTTACATTGCTGTAGGTGTTGTATTACCACAGTAAATAAACAGTAAATGTCTCGGAGCTCATCTTCCTCTATCATTCAGCATCTGGATCATATTCACAGTCTTCTATTCTCATCGTATCATCGCATATTGTCATAAACATAGTTTAAGAGGGAGAGAAGAGAATGACATTATGGGCAGCTAAAGACCTAGTGTAAGCATGAAAAAATGTAAAGAAATGAAAAGTTGTGCTTGTTTACATTAGTTCACACACTGAGTCATCAAGAACAAACTATTTTCACAAAGAAGATATTAACATTAACAAAGAAGAATAAATACTGTAATAAAAGTCTGGTTAATTGTTTGATAATTTATTAACTTATAAAATCTTTTTGTAATGTTTACCCCAAATATCTTCACAGATATATAATATATACTGCAATATTAAAAATGTTTTTATTTAAAAAGTGTTCAAATTTAACAGAGCAAGGAAATTTTCACAGTATGTCTGATAACATTTTTTCTTCTGGAGAAAGTCTTATTTGTTTTATTTTAGCTAGAATAAAAGCGTTTTAAAATTTTTTAAATTCCATCATTATACAATAACTTGCCTAATTACCTTAACCTGCCTAGTTAACCTAATTAACCTAGTTAAGCCTTTAAATATCACTTTAAGCTGTATAAAAGTGTCTTAAAAATATCTCGTAAAATATTATTTAATGTCATCATGACAAAGTTAAAATAAATCAGTTATTTGAATTTAGTTATTAAAACTATTATGTTTAGAAATGTGTTGGAAAAAAAAATCTTTGTTAAACAGAAATTGGGGGAAAAAATAAACTTGGGCTAATAATTCAGGCTAAAAAATCTGACTTCAACTGTATGTAGCTTAAAAAATAAAAAAAAGTACAAAGTACAGAAAGGTATTTTGTGTAAACAGTGGTTGTCTGCACACACCCTGCAGGATTATGTTTGAGTAACTAATTTACATTTGTAAAATCAGTCACTTTACTACTCCAGAAACTTTGATCTAAATCTCATTATTTTCCACCTGGAAAGAGTTGTTCAGATTTGCAGCTCTGACTAATGGACTTTTTATAAGTCTTTATATCTTGACCTGTGTGCAGACTTACCAATACATGATGAAGTAAAAACTCCCAAGATGCTTTAGCGTGGCCACTAAACACAATGTCAGCAGCGTCCTCAATGAAGTACCCTGTTGAACAGAAGATCAACACTGAATTTAATGGATTAAACACAGAAACAGCAGAATTTACTATTTTTGACCCAATTTTGGATTTATTATAATAATTTTTTGATGAACCAAAAAAAAAAGAGATTTATATTAAAAGTTTAGTGAGAATAAAATTAGCATATTGGAGTGATTTCTGAAGGACGTGACACTAAAAACAATGATGCCGAAAAATCAGCTATGCAATTAAGATTTTAAAAACGGACAATATTTTATGTTTGGAGGACAAGTTTAGACAAAATGTTAAAGGTAGATTTAGGTATGGATATTTGTTGTTAAATCGATACAAAAACAAAAGAAATCTATTACAGATTATTTTAGAGGAGTCATGAACTGAGAAATTAAAATTCCCTTGATATTTTGACATAAAAATATTGTTGAAATTTGAGTTAAAATCCTGGTGATCCTGTGTTTTAGAGTGAAGTGTTGTTTAATAGTGTTTAATTCACATTGACAGTGTAAAGAGTATTATCTGACTAATGTAATTATTGAAATCATTGACTAGAACAGTATGCATTGCATTTATTATGTGAATAATTACTGATAAAACACAAAAAATGTAACTTTTGAGCCAGTGTTAAATTGCTGTCACTTTTGAAAATGTTAATTGAACTCTGGCCAGTGTGGATTATATATACACTGGTAAGGTGTTAAAATGAACTCTCTCAGAGTTGAATTAACACTAGTGATTTTGCCGTGTAAGAAAAGTTTTTAACCGTTTTATTTTCTTTAATATTCACTATAGCTTTGTCTGTTTGTTATACAGATTATTTGATATGTACTGAGTATTCATACATTTTTATCATTAATCACAACGTCAACAGCTATTAATCAAGCTATGATGGATGTCTGTCAAATCTAACTTACTGTACATGTATAAGTTTACATTTTTAGGATACACACAGTTACAAATGCTAAACAAATCACACAAGAGGGCTTTTACTTCTAAGTCTTCAGTCTGTTACACCCATTCAAAATATATGTTCAGGTCATGGGGTAAAAAAAAGACAGAATATAGCCTATACTTCTAAATGATAGCGTTTTTATGTAATAAGCTTAGTATTTTAGGCAAACTAACACATACAGGCTAAATATGTTTAAGATGCTATGAAATGGAAGTAAAACAGTGCTAAAATTAGAGAAAAAAAACTGTTGGTTGGTGAATGATTTTGTTGTTTGGGAACTGATTGGATTGTTAAAGGACAGGCGTTGCTTACAAAATGAAAGAAAAGAGGTGAACGGTCAAAAGCATGGCAGAAATGAGACATGCCCTAATAGCCCTGCGTATTCCATGACCAGAAGTGAAGAAATTGGAAGAAAAGGCTATTTGATTAAAGATTCTAAAGGCAAATTAATTTTTGCAAAACAATAAGTGCACAGATACAATGCTTTTAAAAAAGAACTCCTATATAATACAAAATTTTATATACATATAAAAACAAGAGTACATTTTGATTTCATTCTGACTCCTGATGAGGTCTGATGAGATCTGACATGATTTGTCTGTGTTAGAAACACAGGCAATGGTATTATAGAGAGAGCCATGGGTCTTCATTTAGTTTTTTTCTGTACATTTATTTGACTCTCAAAGTGCCATTGATTTGCTGTTCATATAACAAAAAAAAAAAAACAATCAGATTTACATCAGATAAACACTTTAATGTGTAAATTAAAAAGTTTGCTCTGTTTTTCTCCCTGTTAACTCTTTCCCAGCCAGCATTTTGTATAAGAAGTTACGGGTTGCCAATATACGTATAACGGTCTCCAGCATCCTCTAGTTATTACGGAACCGTTTTGACAGGAGCAGTGATGTCCAAGCATTTATATCTCAAGATTAACTTTATTTTTCTTACAAATGCGACAAACAAACACGGTCAAAAAACTTTTTCCCCGCTACTCCTGCCAGCTGATCACCCATCACCTGTGAGCCCTTAAGTAAGCAGGTGAGCTGACGTGACATATAGGTGAAGTTTATCTATATCATTAAACAAATCGAACAGTGACACAGAATAATACCTTATAATATTATTGATCTTAATCAATCATGCAACAAATAAACAAATAAAAAATAAATATATATATAAATATCACAAATGGCTCCAACATCCCGGCCCCTAATTGTCTATTATAATGACAATTACAAGAATAAGAGGAGGCATTAAATATAGTTCTTCTATACATGTTAAGAGTCCATATCTTATGAAAAAAAATAAAAGTATTTAGATGATTTTCTTCTTCGAAAGGCAAAAACAAAAATTCTCCACCGCAAAAAAGGGAAACCTTTTTAAAGTACAAAAAAAAAAAAAAAGGGAGGATAGAAGATCTGAGATCAGCCAAGGATATGTCAGGCCTCCAAAAGAAGGCATAGCTTGGTGATGGGTCTCTCCAGAATGTTGCTCCTTGTTCGTAGCTTCACCTGTCGAACATGTCCGTTATTCATTAACCATGAATTACGTGGTGAAGTTTCATCCATAATTAACACTATATCATCTGGCTTAAGGTTTTTTCTTCTCACATTCCAGTTTTGTCTTTCCTGCATCAGAGGGAGGTACTCTCTGACCCAACGCTTCCAAAATATGTCAGCGATATACTGGACCTGCCTCCATCTTCGTTTGGAGTAACAGTCCTCCTCCCTAAACAATCCAGGTGGGAGCAGGGGTTTTACCTTCAACAAGAGCAGATGGTTTGGCGTGAGGGGTTCTGGATCACTTACATCATCGGAAACCACAGTGAGGGGTCTATCATTCAAGATGTTCTCAACCTCACAGAGAACTGTTTGAAGGCTTTCATCTTCCAACACTTGTTGTCTAATAATGGAGTAAAGGACTTTCTTGATGGTTCGGATAAGTCGCTCCCATGAGCCTCAATGGTGTGAGCCGAAAGGAGGATTGAATGTCAATTTCATACCTTTAGTTAATAGGCCTTTCTAGATTTACGTAAGCAGGTAAGCTGACGTGATATGTAGGTGGAGTTTATCTATATCATTAAACCACTCGAACAGTGACACAGAATAATACTTTATAATATTATTAATCTTAATCAATCATGCAACAAATAAACAAATGAAATAAATATATATATAAATATCACAAATGGCTCCAACAATACGTTTATGTTAAATATCGCGTCTTTTCAAGAATTTGCGCAAGTTTGTTATTTCCAATGGAGGTGCACGACTTGGGCCAATTTTACCAGGCTACGGTAAACTGTCAAGCGTTGATAAAAAGGTTGGGGATCACTAGTACATAGTACAAACAAACACATACACATGCACACACACACACACACACACACACACACACACACACACACACACACACACACACACACACACAAACACACACACACACACACACACAATTATACAAAGACAAACACATACATGTGACTTTCACTTTCTCTCATCATCATATATTTTACTCAGTGGAGATCCAGAAATCCTGTAACTCACTCAGGACATGAACTAGGGCTTCCCTTCCCTACGTTGTAAAAACAAATCCTGGTTGCCGTAAATTTTTTAGCTGAATCAAATTAACCTTTGTTAGTTTTGCTAGTACGTTGAACTTATATTTTGTCAAACTGACTTAAAACTGCTTGCATAACTTAGACATATCATATTCATATCATATCATTTTATGTATTTCTATTACCATAATATACATGAAACACTGATTGCCTTCAAAATGTGTTGATGGTGGAGAAGTATTGTTTCTTAATTTCATTGATTGAGTTATATCATCAACGTATTTATTTCATATTTATCTATGTATTTTGGGAGAAGTTGATGAATTAACATATTGAAAATTCAGCAGCTCTAATCTCTCCACTGCAGCGCAGACTAACATTGCGGCACCTATCTCCCATCTAACAATATGATTTCTATTAAGCTATTTAAAAACATGTTTTTTACACATAATTAAAAATCGGAATATAAAATATTTCACAATGTCAACGGGAGTCAGTGGGAGTATTTTAAATTCACAAGTGAATTTGGGTTTTCTTGGTTTTTTTAAGAGCTACGATGAAAATGGGCTGGTGTTTCTCTTCATTAATTCAAAACAAGTTCAATAAAGTATACGTCTATAATCTTAAAAAGTCCCTCTAGTGGGTGAATAAATTTTTACTGAAGCAAATCTCAAATTGTAAAACTCAAATGTAAAACATTATGAACTGCTTCGTGTAATTTAAAGTCTTTTTTCATATAATTTTTTGAAAATTCAATACAAGCCAGGTGGAGACTTTTTTGCCTGTTTTTCTTTCTTGACCAGTGTTTTGTTTATCTGTCTACTTTCCATTTTCACGTTCATCTCAATGGCAATTTATAGATGTGTTATTGGACCGTTGAAATAAAAATAAAGAAATTTAACTGAATAAAGAAAGACATACTGTGTCTGAAATCACATACTTCCATACTATATAGTACACTAAAAACAGCATGCGAGTCGAGTAGTATTACTAAATTCACAGAATTCGAAAAGCAGTATATGAGAGTTCCTGAATAACCTACTACTTCCTTTGAGATTCTGAAGTGCACATCCGATGGATGCTGTACTATACCATGATGCCCCAGGATAAAATTGATTAATAGGAGTGAAGCAACGCAACTGGTGCATTTAGGTCAGGTGCTCATGACAAAATGGCGGATGTAGCACGTCCGAGTTCCAATCATATTATTGACATTCATACTGTATAGAACATACTTTTCTAATGGTCGAGTAGTACATTCAAATTTAAATGCAGTACCTACTGAGTAGTAGACGATTTTGGATGCAGCCATATATACCTAAGGAGCACTGAGAGTGAGTAAATCATGGGCTACATTTTGGTGAAATTTAATTCTTTAACTTTTTTGGTGAACTGTCCCTTTAAGATGTAAACATTCCAAAACTTCAAGACCCAGAAGAGCTCAGACTGCTATCAGGAGGGAGCATAGTTTGAACAAAGGGCATATGTGAGGTGGGCAAGTATTTTTACATCTACTCATTTACTATGAGTTATTACACTGTGTTTATGATATAAAGGTGTGTTTACTGACCAGATGAGACGACCACTAGCATGTATGCTGAAGGTGTGTATGTTGAGTGGATTTCATGCACCATTGCTGGATAGTAAATGACACTGCCAGGACAAAAACACATTCATAACTGTTATTCACGTCACACAGATCATCAAAAGAGCAAGACACGACAGACATGTGCTCAGAATCTGACACTAAAGAGCAGAAAACAGTGAGACAACTCTTAACTCTTGTGAGAGAGATGAACTGATTTATGTCAGTAATAATTTCACAGTCATTCATACTCTCCATTCGTGCTGGTCGAACTGGTTTCTCCTGTTTCTAAACTGAAAGATCTGACTGAAGGTTAAGCTCATTTATTTGTAGACTTTGCTGTTAGTACAAACTCATTACAAAATCTAAATTAACGCTTGTTTTTATAATGTCAAAACAACAGCTCTTGGATGCTTTAAGTATGTCAACTCTCGATACTTATTCAGCATTTTGCCTTAAATGTTAAATATTTAAATTTTTCTTAAAACATAATGTCTAGTAAACTGTTTAAAATTGTTCAAAATACTAAATAAAATGTACCAATTTGTTTTTAATTATTTTGAAGTATATTATTTTTAAGCAGTTCCCCAAAAAACTTCTTAAATTTTCTTGTTTGAAAAACTAAAGCGGTTACATTTATGGTTTCAGAAAATAATAGAATAAGCTTTTTTGTTTTTAAATATTTAAAAATGTCTATTTAGTTTGTATTATTTTTATTTGACTTTTAAAGTATAGAATAAAGCTATAACTGAGCTATAAGCTAAAGCTGAAAGCTAGCTAGATGTTTTATTTGAAGATTTTTGTATTTTTGTATGGGTTTAGTTTTATAAACATCGTCACATTGTTATTTAGATACTAAAAGTACTACTGTAAACTAAACTACACTGCACAAACAAAAATAAAATAATACATCAAAATAATCCAATCTAATATGAGTGACATTGACAGACTGTAAAAATTTAAATATAGTTAAACATATTATAGTTATAGTTAAAATATTTTATGTATATTTACATCTCATTTAAACTAAAGTTTAAGTTTTGGTCGTTCTGTTTTGTAACTTTTTCTTAAAAAGTATTTTTAGACTTATTTTTTATAATATTTTCTAAGTTATTTAGTATATTTTTAAATTATAAAGTATATATAGACAATATTAATATTTTAACATTTCATTTGTTATAGATTTGTTTGTTTGTTTGTTTTATGGCTCATTTTCTTTTAGAAAAGTTAGTGTATAAAATAGTAAACAAGTCAACTCACCAGGCGACGGCCCAGGTGCCCGTAAGCAGCGAGTGAACAAGAGACACTGACAGATTCCTCCATTTCCACGTCTTCCAGCGGTCTTTAGTCACAGTATCAGGACGGGCCACAATCTGCAGACACCAGTGCAGGATCCTGAAGAGCACAGAACAGCACAACACATACAGGACCGGAAACTTCTGGACTTCATTCAGCCATGTGTCCATCCTTCACTCTGTCTTCTCCTTCCCTCTCTCTCAGACAGCGAGTCCTTAATCTAAAATTTCAGTTGCCTTTCCACATGAGTCTGAAAAAAGTTCAGTTTTTCCTGGTAATTGTCTGTTCCTCCACGTGCTGCTGCCTGTCACAGGTGTGGCGTCTACCTGTATCTGTAGACCTGTTTGCTGAGCACTGATTGGCTGAGGAAGTACAGTTCATCTGCATGAGGTTTAGTGTAAGGAATGGCAGCTGAACTGTATGAGCCCATCTCGCAGCATTCCTCAATCCAGAAAAACACTTCGGTACTGCAATGATACAGTATGTGTTTGTGTCTGTTGTGTGTGTGTGGGAGCACAATGGAACAATAGAAGCCATTTAAACTCACAGTTGTCCTGCTGTCCCTAATAAAATGAAATGTCCTGTGTCCCGCAGCTGGATCAAATGACTTCACTCACTGTCACAGCAGAGGAGAACGACTGAAAGAAAACACACTGTCCGCTGGCTTTGCTCAGCTCACAGTTAGTGACATGAGACTTATCATGCGACTGCAATGAACATCATGTTTACTGGGCAAATCTTTGGTGAATTTGACTAACAGTTTGACTCAGTGTTGTGTGCAGTGTCATATAAAGAATCTGGACACATTCGGCTACGTTTACACTACAAGGTAGTAAGAAAAATTGAAAAGGCCACAGCTATTTTGCTCACGCGTCATTGCACTGACCAGGGGTTCCCAAAACAGGGCAAAATGCGGAGTGTGAGTGAAGCTACAGATGCCTGCTAGCATTTTGCTTACACAGGCTTTTCTTTAGGAGAAACGCTTTGTTACCTTCGTTACACTTTATTACAATTCATTACCTGCGACTAGTTTGTGTTCTGACCACATGTGCTTGGTTGTGTACTATATCAATAAAGTGTTTAGTCTTTTGAAAACACTGTTGTAATACTTTGAGTCACTAAGCATTGTTCTTATAACGTTTTTCTACAGGAGGAAAACGCAAATAACACACTCTTAATTATGCAGAATTCATATAACTTAATAAAAACTGAACGGATGAGTTATAAAAAAAAATCACGCCCTAACAGTTGTCATGAAGGGTAATATTAGCTTTATGCACCAAAATCATCTTTTGTAAACATGTTTTTATCAGCTGTAAAATTGGCCAATTTAGCATTGCACTCAGTGGACATCTGGAGTTCCTACAGCAACCCCCAAAGGCCAGTCAATGAATTGCAGTTTCAGTTACTTCCATATAGGCATGGGACGATAACCGTTTTCAAGGCACACCGTGAAAAGGAAAAGTCAAGGTTTTAAAACCGTCAAAATTTTCGAGATATATCCAGCTGCAGAAGCGCAGAATCACACACATTTCAGGCAAACACAATCTAGTACACACGATTTAGGCATACCATATATGGTAACTAACTAACTCCTTAGGAGCATTATCACCACCTATTGAATTTCACAAATATGGTTTCCCATTTCAGATATTATTATTACACCGTAACAATCATTTTAACATCTCTGCAGTTTCTGAACTCAAATTATGTAAATAAAAATAATTGTTTAAAGACACACGACTTTATTTATGTGTCCACATACACAAAGAAAATAAAATAGACTGTCTAAATGTAGGATTAGTGTAATAAACTAATTCAGGATCGTAATATTGGTTAAAATCACTTGGTTGTAAAATATAAAAAGCAAACAATAATGTGTCATATTAAAATGAATTACTATAGTTAATCATTTAAACAATATATAATATAGTTATAAACTGATTATCTTAACTGATTATCTGATTATAAACTACTATCTTTTACTAAACTGTCACAGCTGTTTTTTATATATATATATATATATATATATATATATATATATATATATATATATATATATTACTTATTATTATTATTATTTTAACTAATTATTATTAGTTAACTTATTTCTGTTGCTAAATGTTGGTTTAAAAGCTATATTGTTTACTATAAATTACTACAGTATTTAATGTGGAAAATCATTAATTAAAAAGTTGTTGGAAAGTTAAGCGAACACACTATTAAATCGCTAGAGTAAACTATTAATATAGTGTTATACATTTATTACATGTAAAAAGATTTTATTACATAAAGATTGTATTATTGCCTATATTACCTTGCTATTATTTGCTTCATAATAAATAAATCCATTACATAAATTAAACCTGTCCAATTTAGATCTTTTAGCAAGGCCAGCAAACATATAATAATGACTGATCATCTATGATCTATGAAACTGTTCAGTCTATTTTACTGAATGGCGATCGGAAACAACGCTCCCCATTTGCCCGTCTCGATTGCATTATTTGTGAAATAAAGTAAACACTATTGTTTATTGTGTAAAATATTTATTAACCATATATATATATATATATATATATATATATATATATATATATATATATATATATATATATATCAAAATATATCGATGACAATGTCCAAGAAGACGTTAATAACATTAACATCTGTTGTAACCATATTTGGTATGCCTAGATTGTGTGTGCCTAAAACTATGTGGTTCTATGGGCCTGCAGCTGGATAATATTGAGGACAAATATATATATATATATATATATATATATATATATATATATATATATATATATATATATATATATATATATATACAGTTGAAGTCAGAATTATTACCCCCCCTAGTGTGAAATTTTCACAGTATGTCTGATAATATTATTTCTTTTGGAGAAAGTTTTAGTTGTTTTATTATGGCTAGAATAAAAGCAGTTTTTAAATTTTTAAACACCATTTTAAGGTCAAAATTATTAGCCCCTTTAAGCTATATTTTTATCGACAGTCTTCAGAACAAACCATCATTATACAATAACTTGCCTAATTACCCTAACCTGCCTAGTTAACCAAATTAACCCAGTTAAGCCTTTAAATGTCACTTTAAGCTGTATAGTAGTGTCTTGAAGATTATCTAAACAAATATTATTGACTGTCATCATGGCAAAGATAAAATAAGTATCAACTTGCAATATTGAAATTGCATTGTAGTATTTAAAAAACATTACACACAGAGAAATTGCTTAATTTAAATGTGTGTGGTTCTGTTTATTTATTTTTATTAATAATATTTTGTATTTACTTTATAATTTTGGTTAAAAGATTATTAAATCAATTTTATTGCTAATAAATCATTAATCACTTTTGGGTGACATCACCATAACCCCCCCCCCCCCCCCCAAAAAAAAAAAAAAACACACACACTACTTATTAATAATATACTAAAAATACATAATTTGATTTGTGATTGTGCTTTACATTCCTTTGTTCCCTTACATTCCCATTGTTCATGAAATTACATTCATTTAATCAATATAATGAACCATGACATTTTTAACTGTATTATGAGTCTTTTATTTTATTAACATCTACTTAACTCTATGCCTACTCCTTAACTTGTGTTTTATTAACACCTACAGTTGAAGTCAAAATGATAGCCCTTAACTATTATTCATAAAATTATTAGCTACATATTTCTAGAAGTTGGATAGATTCAAAGTCACAAAAATTCTATTAAATTGATAAGCATATCAGTAAACATAGCTGGGTCTCTGCAAACTAACCCAACCCACTAGGACAGGGATGTCAAACTCAATTCCTGGAGGGCCGCAGCCCTGCACAGTTTAGTTCCAACCCAGCTCCAACACACTTACCTGTAGGTTTTAAACAAGCCTGAAGGACTCAATTAGTTTGATCAGGTGTGTTTAATTAGGGTTGGAACTAAACTGTGCAGGGCTACGGCCCTCCAGGAATGGAGTTTGACCTCCCTGCACTAAAACGTCCCTGTTCCTATATGTGTCCTGGTCCTGAAACGTGTGTGGCTCTGTGGTTTTGAGAGCTGAAGACTGATGTGTAGTGTTTGCCATCTACTGGTACAAAAGAGAAAGACAACTCAATACATTATTGCTGTTCTTGAAATGAGTGATGAACAATTTTAGGCAGGAACTCTTATTGTGATACCTTTATCTTTCAGTGTATGAATATGCAACATGAAATGCTTACAAACTGTACTTTCAAAGAAATTGTCTAAATATGTCATTTGATTAAACATTAAAATCTCTTCTTGTCAGTAAGGGCATGAGCTGCGTAATACATGTGCCCGCGCAAAAGGCAGTTCATTCCGCTGTGATAAATCAGAATCTGTCCTATTCTTCTGTCCTATCTGTATGCGTTTGGCTGTGTAATTGGGTGAAGACGTCTAATTAAAGAGCTATATCCATGGACTTTGAAATTCTATTTTTCAAACTGAGAGTTCTGTTAGCTGATACACAGACTACAGTTCTATTGACAGTCATTTGACCCAGTGCTCTTCAGGTCAGTGATTTGATGGGTGAATACAGTCTTCTTGTGTTGTTCTTGACGTTTGGAGCAGTCCGATTTACATTAGCCTACAGTCACTTCACAGATCTTAAATAACCACAGTGACGAAGATATCCGTATCAAGTGACTCAATATGAACTCCTCAATTAGAACAAAAGATTCAATTAACCAGCACTACAAAGTACTGGGCTTATGCGAAAGAACATTTGATCAATTTTGACTAAGTTAGTCTTATACAAAGTTATATTACATTACTGCAATGTAGAAAATTAATCAAACTGAATCATTATCTGCGTGTTATTACAAGTTCACTAATGAGTTGCATTTAGTGCAGTTTCTGCCTAAAACAGTGGAGCATGTACATCCTTGCAAAACAGCTCTGTCATATAATGTATTCACCAGGTAAGTTGACAGTTTAACACGGTGAGACCAAATCCTGTTATCTGCATATTCAACTGCTTATTACAAGATCCACTAAAAGAGTTTCATGCATGTGGTGCCATTTTTTTTGCCTGAAACATGCATATCCTGGAAGTCAGTGGTGAAATCAACAGGCCTTATTCATAAAAGCCTGTGTAGAAACAATCCTCCTGGTTCTTCTGTAGCATCACTGCAACAAAACGTTTTTTGGCATCTTTAATTTTAAGGGTGTAGATTCATTCTAATGTTCTCTTAATGGCAACCCACATAGCAAAATTTCTCTGGCCCACACAGTTAGATTTAGCTTGGTCCCCAGTAAATTATGGTACATGTCATGTTCGGACCAAGTCTGGCTTTTATACAAGGGCCAAACATGGACCATATCTGGGCCAAGTCACAGCCCAGAGCTAGTATTTGAATGATTCTCTAGCGCAATATCTAAAATTATGAAAAAAACAGGTGATTTTGCTCACATTTTGGAATCACAAGTCTTGAGATATTTCCCAGTATTTCTCTGTTGCAATCAGAATATCACAATAATTAACACTGAAAAAGCCAATGCAAAGCAAACACTACCAGATTACTATGGTCTAGGCCAGGGATTCTCAACCGGTGGGCCGCAGCTTACTAGTGGGCCTCTCTTAACGCTTAAGATTATACAATAATTTTTGGATTTTATTATTAATATGCTATATTAAATTGATGAAATAAATGCCCTTTCTGATTACTTCAAACTCTGCGCAAAAACAACCTCATGATCACGCCTGCAACTAGTACACGTCAGTCTGTTCATTCACAAACTGTGTGAAGTGAAAGTCTCTATTTACAGTTTTTTTGGATTGCTTAAGCACGATTTTCAAAACAGGGCCCGTGTTTTCAAAACACACAATTAGCTCAACCACACACCCAATTAGCAAAACACTACAGATCCTTTGCATAATTAAACACTCTTATAAAAACTATAGACTTATGCTTAAAAACCACACTTTTTTACCATAAGAAACACACATTTTCACATTTACTATGCACTGCTTGCACGAGTTACACACTGCTGTGATAAACCTAAAACCCTTTTAGCACTTCTACTTCCCTATGATTAGAGTAGGCTACCATCAACAAAGTACAAATATAAAGTAAATTCACCAAACACTACTCAAGAACAATGTTGCACCTTGAAGAAACTCATTTATTCCTCAACATGTCCAACATGTTGGCATGAAGATTCAAAGTACTGTAACATGTCACTTCACGTATTGAACTGTAAGATAAATCTGGCATGAGAATTATCAATTGCAATGTTGTCCTTAGCAAGACACCTTGGAAAGAAGTGTCTTGAATGTAGAATCTTGTATTGCTGCTACCTCCATCTGGTCACAGGCCTCCTCCATGGCTTGGATGAGGAGTACCTCAGCTTGGAGACGGAGATCATATACTTTCCACCACTATGCAGAGAAAAACTCTTTTATAGGGTTGAGGAATGGAGAGTATGGTGGAAGATACAGGACGGTAAAATGTGGATGTTGCTAAAACCAGTTCTGAACCAGAGCAGAACGGTGGAAAGACACATTGTCCCAGACAACAATGTATTGCGTATGATCGATTTCATTTGCTGCTGTTATGTTGTGCAATTGGTCCAAGAATGTAAGTATATGTGCTGTGTTGTAATGGCCCATATGGGCATGGCAGTGGAGGACCCCATTCTTTGTAATGGCTGCACAGAGTGTTACTGTATATTTCCCCCACGTTGCCCTGGGACATTGACTATAGCCCTGTGGCCAATGATTTTTCTTCTACTCCGTGTTCACGTCAGGTTGAACACACCATCATCTACGTAAGCAAACTCATGCTAGATCTCCTCTCCATCCATTCATAAAACTACGTGAAGAACAGTGTCAGGCAAAATTGTGTAGTTCAGTGTAGATCTAGTATTACAGTACAGTACAGTTTTTTTAAGATTGCTCACACACTAAAATTAAACACACATGACGACTGTGTTGAACCAATTGGTTGGACAGTGCAGTAATTTGACAGTCAGTGCTTTGGTATTGCAAGGAAGTGAATTTATGATAGATTTTAGTGTGTAATGTATGTTAAGTGTGTTTAGTGTTTTGCAAATCACTGTGTGTAGAGTTTTGCAACAAGTGTGAAGCTGACAATGTGCTTATAGTTGTGCAAATATGGGCTGATGTTTTGATACTTGTGTGTAAGGTTTTGCTAATAGTGTACTACTTTTAATTTTAGTGTGTAAGCAATCCAAAAAAACTGTAATATATCCCCATAGTTATCCAAATTAATGTCCTGTGAGTTTTTTATAATGGATGCGCAATCATAAAGGAGGGTCTAGCAAGGCTAAATGGTGTTTCTGCCAAAGACTGTAAAATAAACTTGCATATAAGCTTCAGCCGCGCTCTGGCAAAGCTGTTTACTGTTCCTGTCAGCGATATGCCAATAATATCCAGTAACACAACTGCCATCGCGTTTCATCAGATTTAGTGTGTTTTACTGTATTTTACATTTGTCAGCATGGTTTTGAGTAGTAAATATTTAATAGTAGATATTCAGTCAGTCCAGTTTAAAGCAGAAGCCGGTCTTTTGCAATCTCCCAGTTGACCTGTGGTTCTCAATGAATCTGTATGTTTTAAAAATATAGGGGGAAGTTACAAGAACTGCAGACTTCCAAATACTTTGACTTTGCCACAAGAAAGTGTGTACATACTGTATACTCAGAACCAAACATGCTGCTAAGCATTTTCCCACATTTTAATAGTCAGACATTTTGCCTGAATGCCAGCATTCATTCATTTTCTTTTCGGCTTAGTACTTTTATTAATCTAGGGTGGCCACAGCGGAATAAACCGTCAACTTATCCAGCACGTTTCACGCAGTGGATGCACTTCCAGCTGCAACCCATCCCTGGGAAATATCCAGACACACTCATTCACACACATACACTATGAACAATTTTAACTAACCCAGTTCACCTGTACCACATGTCTTTGGACTTGTAGGGGAAACCAGAGCACCTGGAGGAAACCCATGCAAACGCGGGGAGAACATGCAAACTCCACACAGAAATGCCAATAACTTAACATTGAGATATTTCTGTCACTAAAGGATGGAATTCAATGATTTTATTTTAAAAAAGTAACATTATTACACATATTTTTCCTTAAATATTTGCATTAGGCAGTAACAGACATACTTGAGGCATGATGCAGGATGAATACAGGCGCCACATTGATTTAGAAAACAGCATGGCCTCTAATATCACTGTTTAATTAAATGTTAGGAATTTCATGAAATGTAGTATGTAATATATGTATCAGCATATTTCAAATACAGCATATTTTCTGTGAAATATTTCTTTTTTACAGCATGTGTAAATATATTCAGTTCATTTGTCTTATTTCGCAGGTATAACCTATACCGTTCCAATAAACAGAAAAATATACCAACTGTATTGACTGTATAATCATTTACATAAAATGTCAGTTCTCAGTAGCAGGATTTTATATTCTGCCACATCATATTCTGTATATGCTATTTTAATATTAATCATCACCCATTTTGAGTAGAAGAAAAAGGTCTGCATCATCACCATATTCAGCAGTAACCAATCCAAATCACTGCATCACAGTATGGCTTTCAGCAGAGGAAGTGAACAAAAAAGAGTGATGATATCATAAAACTGCATTTTCAAAATTATATACAGTGCAGTAGTCAACATTTCAAGTGGATCAAAAACTTTTTAAAAATTGTCCTAAAACAAGAGTGGGTGTTGTTCAATAGTTTTAGGACAACTCTGATGAAAGGTTTTAATCTACTTTAAATGTTGACTACTGTACAATACCTGATAAAAGTCTTGATGCCTATCCAGTTTTAGGAAGAACAAATACTAACTTGACTTCTATATGATCATTTGGTATCAGAAGTGACATATGAAAGGCAAGATTACCTCTAGATTACGCTTATTTTACCAAAAAATATGATCATGCCTTGATTTTAGTTATTTAATTAGGACAGAAAGATCTGACTTTGCTTAGACAAAAGTCTTGTCTTGTTAAAGAATTAATATTGTGTATGAGCTTCGACGACTGCATCCATACATCTCTGAAATGATTCAAATAACTTATTAATAAAGTCATCTGGAATGGCAAAGAAAGCGTTCTTGGAGGACCTCTTTCATCTTACCCAAGACATGCTCAATAATGTTCATATCTGGTGACTAGGCTGGCCAATCCTGGAGCACCTTGATCTTCTTTGCTTTCAGGAACTTTGATGTGGAGGTTAAAGTATGAGAAGGAGCACTATCTTGCTGAAGAATTTGCCATCCACTCTGCAGATCTTTTGCACGCCCCACACTGAACCCCAAACCATGATTTTTTCTTCACCAAACTTGACTGATTTCTCTAAGATTCTTGGGTCGATGTGGGTTCCAATGGGTCTTCTGCAGTATCTGTAATGATTGGGATGCAGTTCAACAGATTAATCAAAAAAAAAAAACTGCCTTCTGCCACTTTTCCAAATGATCAACTAGAACACAAGTTATTCTTTTTTGCTCTTACAACTGGAATAGACAAGACTTTTATGTATATATATATATATATTCACACTCTCAGCTGATGATGAAGACTCTGGGCCCTTCCTCTCTCATGGGCGGCAGAGTTTCTATATTCTCTATGAGGATGTGCTTGTCCTCCCTCTTTGACGGGCTCTCCTGACTCAGTGGCTGACAAAGATTACTTCTCAGATCTTCAAAACATACATTCAAATCCTTGAAGATGTTAAGCATGCTCACCCCAATCACAATCACCAAAAATGCCCCAATGGTGCCCACCACATCCACTCCTGACATGGCACCCCATTCCTTAAAAAGGATCACAGACGTGCTCAGGACCACTGTGGTGAAGAAGACGTAGTAGATGGGGTAAACCAAAAGAGTATTGAAAGTATCCAGGGATTTGTTCAGATAGTTGACCTGAATGATGATGGATCCAATTAAGGTCAGCAAAAGAATCCACATGAGAGGATTACGGACCACTGAAGTGTCTGTGAACATGGTGCGGATGGCAATGCCAAGACCCTTGACAGAGGACACAGTAAAGGATCCGAGCAGAGAGCAGATGCTGATGTATACCAATATATTAGACTGACCAAATCGAGGAGAGACGTAGAAGATCAGGATTAAACAAGTGACCAACAGGATGCTGGCAAACACCAGAAAACCTTGCAGGAGAAGCATAAAAACCTGTTGTTATCCATAGCAACTGCTTTTGGAGTTCAAAAATTAAAGGAATTTTAACACTAACCAGGATCAAGGAGTTTCTCGGCCATTTCTTTAAGTGTGGTCACCTCTTCTTCTTCAGGTGCATGTATAACCATTAAAGTGCTTCCCAGTACGCTGAGCATGCAGCCCAATTTTCCAAGCAGATTCATTGTTTCTCTGAACAAGTGGGAGGACAGCACCGCGCTGAAGAGAGTAAATAAACATTAACACTACTACCTTTCCATTTAGCTCTAATGAAAACACCAGAAAGAAACATAAAGGCTATTACAGGAATTCAACGTTTTCATAAAGAGTAAGTAATGTGCAAAGGATTCAGCTATAATGCATGCACTTCAATATACTTAGCATATGCTTATAATATTCTAAAATATAAATAAAAAAATAATCATAATGAACTGATTATAATTATTGAAATAATCAATTGACAGGCTTTTTGGGCAAATCAGTTTAAGTTAAAATGACATCATATAGAGCTCTGTTGAGACTTTCTATTTGAAATGAATGTATTCCAATGTCCTGGCCATGACATGTACACAATATCAGAAGTAACAACAGTGTCAAAAGTTAAAGTTCACCCAAAAATGAAACTCAAGCCATAATTTGCTCATTCTCTACTTGTTCCAAACCTGTTTGAGTTTCTTCTGTTAACACAAGGCAATATATACCAAGCAACGTTGAGAAAAACAACGATTGGCTTCTATTATATATTTTTGGTTCCTACTATAGATATCAACGGCTGCTTTTTCCACAACATTCTACCTCAGTTCAGAAAAACTTGAGTCTAAGTAAATGATGAAGACATTTTCATTTTAGGTCAATCATGTAATTCACTGTGTCAGCTGGATGTCCAGCTGTGTGTAAAAGAATTGTGGTTTTAGTTCAAAAAGTGCAAAAATAAGTAGTTAAACTCATTCATTTTCCTGTCGGTTTAGTCCCACTATTAATCCGGGGTGGCCACAGCGGAATAAACCGCCAACATATCCAGCTAATTTTTTTTTTACACAGCGGATGCCCTTCCAGCCGCAACCCATCTCTGGGAAACATCCACACACACATTCACACACACACTCATACACTACGGACAATTTAGCTTACCCAATTCACCTGTACAGCATGTCTTTGGACTGTGGGGGAAACCGGAGCACCCAGAGGAAACCCACACGAAGGCAGGGAGAACATGCAAACTCCACACAGAAATGCCAACTGAGTCGAGGTTCAAACCAGCGACCTTCTTGCTGTGAGGTGACAGCACTACCTACTGCGCCACTGCCTCGCCAAGTACCTAAACTGTTTTCATAATTTTTATCACTAAATCATAGTATCAGCTTTGTTTTAGATCACATTAAAAAAATAAAGATTCCAAAAAGTTTTTTTTGAGGATACCATAAGCATTTTGGGTTGTAAAAGGATTGTGTGGAATTCAAGACACAATGACTTAAGGAATAAATAACAGAGGGATTGATTGGTGGGAGATTGGTATCGGCTGATAATCACATTTAATAACTCAATCGCTGATCTGGCCGATCTCATGAACCTATTGCAAATGTTTGTTTATGCGTTTACAAGCAGAGGATTATTCACATGCGCATCTGGGTTATACAGCAGCTACTACATGTTTACAAGTTCACTAAAACATGGCTGGAAATATTAGATGAAAGAAACAAACTAAAATTGTATTTATTTTAACATGAATATTGAAGAATATAACTTCTTGTAATTTACGTATTGCAATAAACAGTAGTTCCCCTTCGGGGGGAACTTCAGCACTATAAGTGGATTTGATTGTAAAATCCACGCATAGGGAGGTTCGGTTCAGAAGCTACTCGTCTGAAAGAGTATTGAACGGGCCAATTAAGAATGAATTGGCAGCGCAAGCCTGCGCAGGTGAGCGGCATAACGGCACTTTCTGATCGAGTCGATGAGGGTTCCTCCTGCTGTGACCAGCGATTCTGAGCGAACGAGAGCATTCTCCCGGTCCAGAGTGTGTACACGCAGTGGCAGACGGTCGAGCTGGGTTTCTCCCTTGCCTGGCGTTCTTTGGGTCCGGTCCTCCAGAGCGGTGCGTATAAAGTTGCAAACTTCACAGAAAGAGCAACACAGTCGTGCAGCACGTCCTTATCAGGACGGCGCTCCGACTGTGCGTTTCTGGATGCGGTGGTTTCCTGTCCTCGGATGATGGGCGCGGGCACTGCGTTGCATGTCTGGGGGTCCAGCATGTTAATGCGCTGCTCGCGGGCAGTTCATGTCGTCATTGCGATGCCATGACTGTTGCGCAAGATCGCGGTTAGCCTTTGCAAAAGGGCGAACCACCCCAGTTGTCCCCTGCTCTGCAGCAGGCACTCGGGCAGATCTGAAGGTTTCAGCGAGAGATAATCCGTCGCCCACGGGCCCGCGGACCTCCCGCTCCTCTAAGCGCTCCATCCAAGCTTCGGGCGGGGGAAGCGATCCGTCTAACAGATGGTAGCCCTTACGCCCGATGACACCGGAGACCAGATGTCCACCGCGGCATCGGAGGGTGGGCTTTCATTGTCCGATGATGATCCAGACCCGCTCGCCCCCTTCGGGCTGGTGAGCGCTGTCACTACGGATCCTGAAACGGACATGTTAGCCGTGTTTTCCCGGGCTGCTTCGGCCGTGGGTTGGAGATGGTTTATCCCCCAGCTCCGCGGCCGGACCGACTAGAGGGGCGTTCCCTTCTTCCCGGAGGTGCACAGTAGGCTCACGCGGTCTTGTAAAGCACTTTTTTCTGCTCGTGCTGCGTGTTCCTCCACCCTAACCACTCTTGACGGTGAAACAGCCAGGGGGTATGTGGCGATTCCTCAGGTTGAGTGCGCGAATGCGATAGCCACCTACCAGCGCTACCAAGCGCAGGCGCTGGCCGAGCTGCACGAGGGTGGGTCCAACCCAGGCTTACGAGCTTCGCACCGCCGCCGACTTAGCTCTTCGGACTACTGAGTCCGCTGCGTGTGCGTTGGGGAGGACGATGTCCACATTAGTGGTCCAGGAGCGCCACCCCTGGCTGATATGCGCAAAGTCGACAAAGTCCGCTTTCTTGACTTCCCCATATCCCCAGCCAGGTTCGGCGACACTGTCTGTGAATTCACCCAGGAATTCAAGACGGTGAGAGAGCAGTTGGTGGGTGATGTCTTATCGGCGGTCCGTAGCCCGCTCCGCCCGCCGTGCCATTCATACCTGCTCCTCGCCGAAGGCGCCCGCCTACGAGAGCTGCTCCGCCCCCGCACACGCCTCCGGCGAAGCGAGCGCGTCGGGCACCTCGGAAGCAGGCAGCCCCCCTGCCCAGAACGCCGCTAAGTCCGGCAACGGACCGCGAAGCGCCCCTGGGACAGGCCATCTGGAGAAGAGGGAACTTGCTCTTTCCCCGCTGGAGGGCGGGGCCCCATTTCCAACGGCACTTTTTACTGCCATGAAAACATTATGAAAGGGCACTTTTCACTTCCCCAGATGTGACAGCCCGAAATCTGCCAGTCTGGGACGCTATGCTTTCTAGCTTGCAGATTCGGTGCGTTTCGCCAGTGGCTCACGAGCGCTGGGAGGACGGTCTCCTTTCTCCCACCCCTCGAGCCTCCCCTCCGGAGCTCGGGTTTGGAGTGAGAGCAAATATCTCACCTCCAGCTTTTCCGTGGGACCCGCGAGCTTCCCGGATCAGCACACCCACTCCGCGCTGCCCCACTGCTGGTACGTCAGCGATTGTAGCGATGAGTCCATTAGCGAGAGCTCTGCCTGCCTGGTTAGCGCGGGCCAGCTCTTCGCGGTGGCTCATACGCACAATCAGACTCGGCTATGCGATTCAGTTCGCGAAACGGCCCCCCAAGTCACGGGTGTGTATTCACCAGGGTCAGCCCTCTGTCCGCCCCTGTCTTGCGAGAGGAGATTGCTGTCCTCCTGGCGAAGGATGCAATCGAGCCGCTCCCTCCAGCCGAGATGGAGAGCGGGTTTTACAGCCCACGCTTCATCGTGCCCAAAAAGAGCGGTGGGTCACGGCCAATCCTAGATCTGCGCGTTTTGAACCGCTGCCTGCACAAGCTGCCGTTCAGAATGCTCACGCAGAAGCGCATCCTCCGATGCGTTCGTCCTCTGGGTTGGTCTGCAGCATTAGACCTGATGGACGCGTATTTCCATGTCTCCACTCTTCCTCGCCACCGACAGTTTCTGCGGTTTGCGTTTGAAGGTCGAGCTTGGCAATACAAAGCCCTCCCCTTCGGGCTCTCTCTGTCTCCGCGGGTCCTCACCAAGCCCGCGGAGGGTGCCTCAGCGCCCCTTCGGCTCGCGGGCATCTGCATACTCAATTTCTTTACGACTGGCTGAATTTTGCCCTCTCTTTGATTATGCACAGAGTTGATTATGCACAGAGACAAAGTGCTCTGGCACTTCCACCTGTGGGGGTTTCAGGTCAACCGAGAAAAGAGCAAACTCGCCCCCGTGCAGAGGATCTCTTCTCTCGGGCTGGAGCTGGACTCGGTCACCATGGCAGCGCGCCTCTCCGGAGAGCGCGCTCAGCTGATGCTGTACTGTCTGAGAGAGCTCGACAGTAAAATAGTGGTCCCACTGAAACTATTTCAGAGGCTCCTGGGGCATATGGCATCCGCAGCCGCTTCATGCCGCTCGGATTATTCTATATGAGACCACTTCAGCACTGGCTTCACGATCGAGTCCCCAGACGCGCATGGCACGCGCGCGCACACCGAGTCTCTGTTACTGCGCTGTGTCGCCGCGCCCTCAGCCCTTGGAGCGACCCCTCGTTCCTACAGGCCTGGGTGTCTCTAGAACAGGCGTCCAGTCTTGTTGTCGTTTCAGCAGACGCTTCCAACACGGGCTGGGGGGCTGTGCGTTGCGGGCATGCGGCTGCGGACCTGTGGAAAGGTACCCAGTTGCATTGGCATATCGCCTGGAGCTGTTGGCAGTGTTCCTCGCTCTCCACCGTTTTTTTCCGGTGTTGGAGCGGCAACACGTGCTGGTCAGGACGGACAGTACGGCGGCGGTGGCGTATATCAGCCGTATAGGGGGTATGCGCTCTCGCCGCATGTCTCAGCTCGCCCGCCGTCTGCTCCTCTGGAGTCATCCGCGGCTGAAATCGCTGCACGCCATTCATATTCAGGCAAGCTCAACCGTGCAGCCGATGCGCTCTCACGGCAGCCTTGCGTCCTGGAGAATGGAGACTCCACCCCGAGTCTGTTCAGCTGATATGGGCGCGATTCGGGGAAGCCCAGATCGATTTGTTGCTTCCCCCGAGATCGCTCATTGCCAGTTGTTCTTTCCCTGACCGAGTGCTCTCGGCACGGATGCACTGGCTTACAGCTGGCCTCGGGGCACGCGCAATACGCTTTTCCCCCAGTGAGCCTGCTCGCGCAGTTACTGTGCAAGGTCAGGGAGGACGAGGAACAGTTTGCTGGTTGCGCCCCTCTGGCTCAACCGGACCTGGATGTCAGAGCTCTCCCTCGCGATAGCCCTCCCCTGGCAGTCCCTTCGAGAGAGCACCTACTCTCTCAGGGACAGGGCACCACCTGGCACCCTCGCCGATCTTTGAAGAGATTTTTAGACGCGAGGAAGACTTAGGTAACCTCCGATTGCGGTGGCTAATACCGTCACTCGGGCTAGAGCCCCCTCCCCGAGCGCGCCTATGCCCTGACGTGAAGTCTATTCACTGAATGGTGTGTCTCTCGCTGAGAAGACCCCCGTAATTTGCCAGATCAGCGTTGTGCTTTCTTTACGCCGAGAGAAGTTGGAGAGCAGGCTGTCGCCCTCCACACTCAAGGTTACGTGGCTGCCATCTCCGCTCTCATAACGCGGTGGCTGGCAGCACCGTGGGAACGCATAACCTCATCATCCGGTTCCTCAGGGGCGTTAAGCGAATTAATCCACCCCGCCCCCTCTCATGCCCTCTTAGGATCTCGCCCTCGCTACACAAGCCGCGTCAGATCCCTTCGATCCTCGACTCAGTATATTTCTGTCCCTGAAGACAGCTCTGCTGGTCGCGTTGATATCGATTAGAGGGTCGGGGACCCGGAGGCATTTTTCGGTCAGTGACTCGTGCCTGTAATTGGGCTGGCTTCTCTCACGTTCTGAGACCCCGCCCACGATATGTGCCCAAGGTTCCTACCACTCCGTTTTAATACGAGGTAGTGAGCCTGCAAGCGCTGCCCTCGGAGGAGGCAGACCCAGCCCTTCTTTATTGTCCAGTTCGCGTTTTGCGTATTATCCGGACCGCACTCAGAGTTTAGATCATCTGAGCAGCTCTTCGTCTGTTATAGCGGTCGGCAGCAGGGAAGTGCCGTACCGAAATAAGTTCCCACTAGATTGTGGATGCCTTTCTTTCACTATCAGAGCCGAGATGAGCCGCGTCTCCCGAGAGCGCGTGCGCACTCCACTCGGAGCTTCGCATCCTCTCGAGCGCGCGCACGCGGCGCCCCTCTAACAGACATCTGTAGAGCTGCGGGCTGGGTGACACCCAACACATTTGCAAGGTTTTACAATCTGCGAGTGGAGCCGGTTTCCTCAAGGGTATTAGGTAACCCTTGGTGATTGAGGAAACAATTCGGTAGGGTGTTGAAACACGCTTGCTGCGCCATTTTCCCTAACACGGAGATACGTGCGCCTTTTTATCTGTCAGTAAAGTTCCCCGTCAGGTGAGCCCTGCAGATTCCTCCGTGGCCCCCAGCACTGACTCAGCGGAGGAGTCACTTGCTGGCCCACTACGTTGTAGGTCTGCCCGCTGGTCAGCCCGCGTTTTGGGTAAAGGTGCCTGCTATGCGTGGTCCCCACTAGGCGATCCCATATGCTTATTCAGCCACGGTTAAGTCCCCCCCCTGGGCGGACCCGTGTCTTCCCTCCCCGCTAACCACTCTTTTGCTATGCGTACTCCCCCTTTTTAGGGCTAGTCCATATGTAAATTCTGCCATCTATCCCCCCTTGGGTAACGGATGGCCTCCGCAGCGTCCTCCCTATCGGGATTGCACGCTTCCCAACGTACTGTCGTATTTTTCTAGAATTATCTAGATGCTCACGACTTCCCAAAAAATATATATAAATCCGTAAAACTTCTGTTGAAGTAGGATAAATTAGGGCCAGGGACACGTTGGAGGACCGCGCCCCCCATGATGTGGGTGCGTCACGCTTGCTTGACTATCTCCTCATCGGGGGTGTTGGTAAGGTGCAGTCATTATGGCGCTTTCAATGGGCTCCCAATGCGTGGATTTTACAATCAAATCCACTTATAGTGCTGAAGTTCCCCCCGAAGGGGAACGTTCGAGGTTACTAAACTAACCCTTCGTTCCCCGAGGAGGGGAACGGAAGCACTATACTCCGTCGCCATAATGACTGTCCCTTAGCTGTTGAAAGTCTCTTCAGCTTAAAAAGGATAGCGTCTGCTGGCGCCAGGTGAGCTTATATACTCAGTTGATTGCTTATGCCGCTCACCTGCGCAGGCTTGCGCTGCCAATTCATTCTTAATTGGCCCGTTCAATACTCTTTCAGACGAGTAGCTTCTGAACCGAACCTCCCAATGCGTGGATTTTACAATCAAATCCACTTATAGTGCTTCCGTTCCCCTCCTCGGGGAACGAAGGGTTACTTTAGTAACCTCGAACGTTATTATGCATACAAACTACTTTTAGTAAGTATTGTTTTTTAGGTGAGCATTTTAACTTCTTATGCATCAAATATGCACTCCAAACTTTTTCTCGATTAAAACGTTGAATTTCTTTTTCATCATTTGCAGTGTTTTCAAATTACATTGTTAGTAAAATTTCTCACCATTTTTTTTTTTCACCTGTGCTATGTATTGTGTTCTGTAAAGCTGCTTCTGACCATGGCATGTTCACACCTAAATGGTTAAAAATGCTTAAGGGATGCAGCATCCTTTATTTTTTCTATTAGGTAGGGAGAGATTTCCACTTAAGAATCTTACTTTGAGGGAAAATGTGCTTTATGCATTATAAAGCTTGAGGCATTAGAATCGTTATTGGCCGATCACCATGACAAATATTCGGTACTCGGTGTAGGCTGCAAAAATCCTGATCGGAGTATTCCTAAATAACAGGAATAAATTATATTCTATATAGAGTAGTAATAATAAAATATCTTCATAACATATGAAAAATTTTATTTAACTGCATAATATTTCACAATATTATTTTTACACTATTTCTGATCAACTAAATGCAGCCTTGGTAAACATGAGATAAAAAACAAACAAAACAAAACAAAATAGTCATGCAATACATTGTAAAACTGCAGGGTTCAACACACTTTTTGTTGAGACAACATAAAGGAATTATGTTAACCTACTAGTTTTTTACAAATTTAAGTAGATTAAACATACAACTATTTATCCCCCCCCCCAAAAAAAATTGAATTCAAGGATTGTGTTTCAGCACTATTTGAATAGTTTGAACAAACAGCAAAAATCTTTTCTTTTTTTGAGTGTAGAAAAAGTTAATATATATTCCTGAAAATGTAAAATAATACATTAAACATACTTGACACCAAAGTTCCACAATAATAGCACAAAACAAGTTTGGCATGTTGAACATTTTAGTCATTTGGTATATATTTCAAAACACATTGGTCCTCTCACTCACAGGCTTGTAAAGTTTACACAGCACAGTGTGGATCAGACCATTGGCGAGTGTAAATAAAGGCGTGCCATTACCTAATAAGAACACTGAGAGCTCCTAGCGGGGTCACCACTGTGGCTGGAGCAAACATGTAGGCTGCGAAATTTGCTGCTTCACCTCCGCCCACTGCCAGAACATTAGAAGATGTTATCAGAGTCATCAAAAGGTTATTTACAATTGCTTTGCATTGCACTTACTTGTCAAAAGGCCTCCCCACCATAGCCAGTCTTTCAGGTACCCATGACCTCCCTCGGCTAAACAGACAAACATTTCCAGTAATTTAGCGCATTAAAGAACACTTGACTCAGTATTCTGTCAGTATTAGTTAAGCAAACAAAGAAACCAGTTTCAACCAATTTTGCAATTGCTATTCAGTCAAGTAAAAAAAAATAAACATTACATACCCCCATATGACAAGTTTCTCTAACAATTTAAGTATTAATTCACTTCCAGCTGAAATGAAATTAAGGCTTTTAAGGAAAACATTCCAATCCAGGACTTTTCATGTAGCGGACAGTGTAAAATATGCTGTGTTTCACACAATTCCTTCATGTTGTCCCAACACAAATCGATTTAGTTAACTTGATTGTTTATACAAATTTACATGGACTGAACATTAAACAATAAATTTGTCCCCAAAAAAACCTTAAGAATTGTGTTGTTTCAATTCATTTTAAATAAGTAGTTTAAACAAGTTTTTTGACTGACTTCTATGGTGCTCAGTGCTTTGTACTTCCAAATTGCAGTTTATATGCAATCCTAGACTAGGAATAAGGCTCTTACCTTAAAGCAGTCAGCCATTTATAAAAAAAAAAAACAATAAATAACAAATATATACTTTTTAACCACAAAAGCTTGCATCTTTTAAGATCTTTTAATTAAATGTTTTCTTAGATAATGACCAATAATGACCCTTATGCTGCAGCTCTGCACAAAAAGTTTGGCCAGAGGAGAAATGGTCCTGCCCAACTGAGCCTGGTTTCTCGGAAGATTTTTTTTTCCTTCATTTTCGTCAATTGGTGAAGTTTATTCCTCACCACTGGCTTGCTTGGTTGGGACTTGTGAAGCTGCACATTGATGGATTTGGTCTTCAGTGTTTGGACTTTCAGCAGTGACATTTAAATTACACTGAACTGAACTAAACTGAACTTCTATGTTAAGTGGCTTTGACAAAATATATAAATAAACATGAATTGAATTTAATTAAATATGGGGCGACGCAGTGGCGCAGTGGGTAGCACAATCGCCTCACAGCAAGAAAGTCGCTGGTTCGAGCCTCGGCTGGGTCAGTTGGCATTTTCTGTGTGGAGTTTGCATGTTTCCCCCACAAGCCCAAAGATGTGGTACAGGTGAATTGGGTAGGCTAAATTGTCCAGTGTGTATGGATGTTTCCCAGGCATGGGTTGCAGCTGGAAGGGCATCCGCTGCGTAAAACATATGCTGGATAAGTTGGCGGTTCGTTTCGCTGTGGCGACCCCAGATTAATAAAGGGACTAAGTCGAAAAGAAAATGAATACATTAATGAATTGAATATCTATGGACTGGGATCAAGAATATTAAAGTTTCGCAATTTTTAAATGACTTTTTATTTTGATAATCCTCTTAAATTTGCAGTTTACTTTTAGTTTGTTTCATTAGTTTTGTTAATTTTTTTTTTTTTTTTGTATACACATTTCTATTTAAATTTTATACATTTAGTTTTAGTTATTCCAGTTTTGGCATGGGTTTCCTTCAGGTGCTCCGGTTTCCCCCACAAGTCCAAAGACATGCGGTATAGATGAATTGGGTAAGCTAAATTGTCCGTAGTGTATGTGTGTGAATAAGTGTGCTTGGATGTTTCCCAGTGATGGGTTGCAGCTGAAAGGGCATCCGCTGCGTAAAACATATGCTGGTTAAGTTGGCGGTTCTTTCCGCAGTGGCGACCCCAGATTAATAAAGGGACTTAGCCGAAAAGAAAATGAATGAATGAATTGAATATACATTGACTGGGTTCGATTTCTCATATTTAAATGACATTTTATTTTGATCATCCTTTTTATTTTGCAGCTTACTTTTAGTTTGTTTTATTAGTTTTGTTCATTTTGTTTTTTTGTAAACACATTTCCATATACTTTTTATTTATTTAGTTTTAGTTTTTTTGTGTGGGTTTCCTCCAGGTTTCCACCACAGACCAAGGGAAAAGTGAATTGAATGAACTAAATTGGCTGCAGTGTATGAGTGTGTGTGTGTGTGTGTGTAAATCTGAGTGTGTATGGGTGTTTCCCAGTACTGGGTTGCCGCTCCAAGGGCATCCACTGTGTAAAACAAATGACAGAATAGTTGGCAGTTTGTTCTGGTTTGGTGACCCCTGATAAATAAGACACTAAGGTTTAAGCAGCTTAAGTTAAGCCCTGTGCAAACATAGTAGTAAAAATAAAATAACTGTATGAAAAACAATGAATCCAAAACCATAAAAATGCAATGAATAAAAGTACAAAATTATGAATTCATATTTAAGTCTTCATATTAAAGATCATACTGTATATGTGGTTGAATATGCAAATTATTAAACATAAATTGACTTTTTTTTTTGCAAAAGAGCAAAATACAGAACATTATTTATTTATAAAAAAATGTGTTTTGTTTATGATCATGTGCTTTACTGGTGACTAAATAAACAGCCAAAGGTCAGATTTTCCACCACAGATTGAGCTTATTAATTTCCACCAAAAAAATTATAATTTATTTTTGCTAATTATTATTTCATTTCAGTAGTTTTTTTCCACACAGTCCAAAGACAAGTGGTATAGGTGAATTAAATAATCTAAATTGGCCGTAGTGTAGGAGTGTGTGTGTGTGTGTGTGTGTGTGTGTATGGGTGTGTATGGGTGTTTTCCAGTGCTGGGTTGCAGCTGGAAGGCATCCACTGAGTAAAAAAAAAATGCCGGAATAGTTGGCTGTTCATTCCACATTCCAATGAAATAGAGATTAAGCCGAAGGAAAATAAATGAATGAATGAATGAATGAATGAATGAATGAATGAATGAATAGTTTTTCGGTCACTGTTGTTCGTTCAATTTAGTTTTGGTTTTTCATTTATTGTCAATATTTTATTTAAGGGTTCAGGACACCCTGGAGAACTTTTTTTTTTTTAATTAACAGATTTGTGTGTGTTGAGCATCAGTTAAGACAATGTCAGCACCTGTCAGCTTTAATTGTGGGGAAAACTGGATAATTTTGAGCTTTTGTCAGCAAATTTTAGCTTCCGGGTTTAAAATGATTTTTGGGGCGGGATCAAAATCGGCGACGTAGCGCAGTACTGCAAGTGCAATGATGACGCATCGGTTTCTCATTATTATTCATAGCGGAGTTTCTTATCCTATGAGAAGAGCCGGCTGCTTAATTATTCATGAGACCTGCCAGAGTCAAGCCCGAGCTGTGAGACACGTCACGGACCCACGGCACGGGCACACAGTATTTAGCCGTTCATGAAGGCTCACATGCGTTTGTTTCCATGATCCACGGGGTTTGTTGCATGTTTTCCCCCGCGATCTTGTCAGGGCCGATCATACAGCAAAGCTGTGTGTGCTGCTAGCATTTTTGTCGGGAGAGCAACACGAGAATTAGAGAATGGCGGACGCTGTCTTTTATCAGGAGTTCGTTCACATTCAGACACATCACTGTGCTGCTGTGTTTGCCTAAATCCTCCAGATTACCAGCAGGGCTAATGGTTAAAATAGACAGGTCAGGAGACCTGCTGCACTGAGTCTGCTGGATACGGGGATTGAGGGAGAAGTCCTCATTTATAGGGTTTACATGAACACACTTATCTTTACAATGATATAAATTGTGGTTATGTGTATATGAAATTACGAATAACAAATGTAGCAGGGCATTAAATCACTGTACATTTCTTTGCATTTTAACTTTGTAAACTATAAACTCATGCGTCTCCTAACGGTTTGTCTCATTTTGTGAGCTAGCTTCGTTCGCTCACGTTCTCCCCTGCTGGCCACGCCCACTCCTGCCCGATGCTCGCGGAGCTCCACGCCCATTAATCATGCATCTTTTGAAAAAATCTTGAAGTAGACTTTAACCAAAAGTGGGGGGTGTCATGGCCCTTTAAGTAAACCAAATAGTTTTTTATTACCAATAGTTTTAGTTTTCCTTTGCTAAAATACCTTTGATTGGGCTCAATACGAGCCATTTAAAGCTGCACTGAAACTACAAACTTCAAACCACTGCAGAAGTTCAACATGTGGAGAAAATTCCTGGAATGCTTTCCTCAAAAACCTTCAACTAAAAAAAGAAATTTGCATCTTTGGTGACAAGGGACTGAATAAATTATGGGTAAATTTTCATTTTGGAATTGAACCAATCCTTTTAGTATAAACACCAAACAAACTTTATTTCATTAGAATCCAATAGCGATTTTGTATGAAGTCTTTGTATGCAAATATTGATGTAAATGAGCTGACCTGCTCTCGTCTCCCCAGTATTGGCCAAACGCAGCAGTGCCTTCTTTTTCAGGATAACACTTCCTCCTATGAGAAACGCTGAGAGGACGGCCAGTGTCAAGCCCGTCCAGAAGTTGTAATTGCTCCATTTGTCAATGGCTAGAGATTGTGTGCTGACTGTCAAATTTTTATTGGAGTTGTCCAAACTATAAGACGTGTTGCCAACAGCCGTGTCAAACACACAAATGGAGGCGGATGTGGGACAAAAGATCCTTATTACTGAACCTGATCAAAACAATAAAAAAGAACAGCATTTTTAAAATAGTAAGTTACTTTAATACACAATTTTAAGGAAAAATTTGGCAAAATGTTTATTTTTAGATGAGTTTAATTTCATATTATTCACATGATGTACGTTTCAAAAACCTAAGAGCTAAATCAACATTGCTAAATAAACAGGATTTCATCACAAGACTGCATGGCAGAGAGAGCAATGAACTCACTGCTGCAGGTTGTCATTTTGTTGCTATTTATTTAAGACTGAACAAGTACGTGTTTCTCTGGATCTTCTGGCTTTTTATGTTTGACTCAAATATTAATATTTACATAGTGTTACAAACTGGGAATTTAAACCAATTTTTTTAAATGATCAGTTCTTTACTATAATAATAGCTAGAATCTTATAGTAATATTTTATATTATCCATTATTAAAGATATGTTCACTATAGGTAAGTGTATCTTGATAAATTTTACATCTGTTGTGCTGAATGAGGATGAACCTAAAATTATTAAATTTATATTTAATAGAACATTTATTATTATTAATTAAATAACTAATAGCTAACATGAATAACTGAACAATGTATAAATAACTAAATTATTAAAATAATATTTATATCTTACAATCTTTTTTTACCAAAGGTAATTTAAACATTTATGTCTTTTAGTTCTTGTAGGCTGAAAATTTCAGTTTACAGCATTTTGATTTGTAATTTAAGTTGATGGGACTCTGACAACTAGTACAACACACACACACACACACATATATATATATATATATATATATATATATATATATATATATATATATATATATATATATATATATATATATATATATATATTTGCCATAATTGCTGTAATAACTACTATTATAATCAGATTTGTATAAAAAGTGTAAAGGTTTATAAAATACCGACGCAAAGGCAGTGTTTACACAGCGTTTTAGCAAACAATGAAACCAGATGTACTTGCAAAAGTAACCATTTGACATTAGCTACTTATAAGGTTGACATTAGACGTACATTAAACAACGCCTGTCTTTAAAACAAATTATGTTATTCTATGTAAATAAGCAAGATGTCATCCAATTAAAACATATTTGCCCAAACCAGCTAATAATAATTGCCTCGTGTGAAGTTTGGATTATTGACTCTTTCGTGATTAATGCTGAGAAGTTGCTTTGAAACAATCTCTACGTTATAAAATGATTAATTAAAGGTTACGTGGGTTGAACATTTAAAAATAGCACAAGTAATGCACACCTTACGTATCACAGTATTAACTCAAATGCAGTTAGCCTTCACAATACACATGAAGATACACGAACAAACAGTAATCTTACCATTGATGCATGAATCGGATGGCAGGTGTATGTCTTTCATTGTTACACCCATTAAACCGACGCGTTAAAATTACCGAAAAGAAGCCATTTAAAAACAACAAAACTATCAGAATAAACTACAAGACATGAACATGTTTCTATCGGTTCATCTAAATATATCCAGAATAAGAGCTCTGCATCCTCGCGCGTAACTTCACCGCTCTGAAGAACAGGAATATATGATACCTGTGAAGCACGCGCACGCGAACACGGCCACGCGCAGAGCAGGTATCGGCGGAGGAGCCACGCCCGAACTGCGCCTCTAGACTGCTGCACGCCGTTGTCAATAGAGAAACACCTTCCAGGAAATACAATAAGCGGAACTCAAACACACGCAAAAGTTCCTACTTTAATAAGACATTACTATTGTTTTAGTGGGAAGGACATAGTGTTCATGTCACATTCTTTGTTTAAGCTTTCACCCCGGTTTCTTGGTTTTTTTTTTGTAAGTAGAATGTTGGCCATTATATCCAATAAAAACACTTGCTATTACTCGTTTGAAGCCTAATCAATAATAAATACGCATACATAAATAAAAATGATTCATTATTTTACTTAGTATAATTATATTAACCTTCATATATCTGTAGTACGGAACCCTGGAAGGGACGTAGTGGAGGAGAAAAAAAATAGGTGGGTAAAAAAAAAATAATGGGTGAAAGAAAAAAATGGGTGGGAGGAAAATATATATTTCTAAGTTTTTTGCGTTCTCTCGCAAAGTTTTGCGTTCCCTCGCAAAGATGTTTTGCGTTATCTCGCAAAGATGTTTTGCGTTCCCTCGCAAAGATGTTTTGCGTTATCTCGCAAAGATGTTTTGCGTTCCCTCGCAAAGATGTTTTGCGTTATCTCGCAAAGATGTTTTGCGTTCTCTCGCAAAACTGTTTCTCCACAAACACTTCCTGTTCACTGCACTCACGTAAACCCTCCCGTTTTTGCCGAAATTCTCCCGTATTTTACCATTCTATCCCACTTTCTTTACATTACTGTGCGTATGCTACCTATGAACCAGTGAATGCATGTATAAGCGCTGACTGACAGACGCGCTTCGTACAATAAACTGATCCCAGATCAGCGTCTGTACACGCCATTTACAGAGGAGCGGGTGTATGTTTAAACAGACAAATACACTGAATAATATGAAACATCTCCGTCCTGCATGTTTTATTTTAAACAGCTTATTTTCTCTTAAATGAGCACAAACAGTTTCTAAAGTAATGGACTGCTTTCATTATAGATCTGTGCATTCTTACAGAGACACCTCTGTTATCAAACTAAACAAAACATGATTCATTTGCTGCGCACTTGTTTGATAACAGAAGTGTCCCTTTAAATGGCGTGTACAGACGCTGATCTGGGATCAGTTTATTGTATGGAGCGCGTCTGTCAGTCAGCGCTTAAACATGCATTCACTGGTTCAGAGGTTGCAAAGTGAAAGGCGACAATCAGCGCACAGTAATGTAAAGAAAGTGGGGTAGAATGGTAAAATATGGGAGAATTTCAGCAAAAACGGGAGGGTTTACGTGAGTGCAGTGAACAGGAAGTGTTTGTGGAGAAACAGTTTTGCGAGAGAACGCAAAACATCTTTGCGAGATAACGCAAAACATCTTTGCGAGGGAACGCAAAACATCTTTGCGAGATAACGCAAAACATCTTTGCGAGGGAACGCAAAACATCTTTGCGAGATAACGCAAAACATCTTTGCGAGGGAACGCAAAACTTTGCGAGAGAACGCAAAAAACTTAGAAATATATATTTTCCTCCCACCCATTTTTTTTCTTTCACCCATTTTTTTTTTTTACCCACCCATTTTTTTTCTCCTCCACTACGTCCCTTCCGGGGTTCCGTACTGTTGCAAGCAAAATTTATCAACAATTAAAATACTTATTGCTTAATCAAAGAGCAACATATACCTAAAATAAGCTAAAATGCTATACAATTGCCAGATGAAACATGCAAAACAAACAAACAAACAAACAAACAAACAAATTAATTAAAAAAATAATAATCCACTGAATTTTATAAGGTGGTTTAGTGTCTACGATATAGTTGCTAAATAGCATAAAATAAAATTTCTTTAAAAATGATTTACTATTCATTCATTCATTCATTCATTCATTCATTCATTCATTCATTCGTTCGTTCGTTCGTTCATACATTCATTTGTACTTTTTTGTTAGTGTTGTTAGTGTAGGAAAATACCTGTAATACCATTTTAAAAATCATAAGGTGATTATTTTGTTTTAAGTATAATGCAGTTAAAAATAAAACTTGTTTTAAAACTTATTTATCTTTTTTATTTATTTTAAATACTTTGTATTTAATTTAGAATAATTAGTTAGTTTGTATTTTGAATTTGTCTACTGCTTTCACATAAAATAACATGTTGCTTTTCATAAAAAAAGAGCTCATTATTTGTTATTTTAATTATTTTCCTTTATTTAAATCTTCATCTGAATGTTTATGTATTCAGCGTTTGTTTATCAGGTATAAAACAACTATTGTTTGCTTGTTTGTAGTGTAATCTCAGAGTACAGACATCTGATACTGTGCTGCTGATGGTGTTGTCTGGCATAACAGCTTTCTGCCAGAAAGTTGGAAAACCAGTTTGGCTTATAACGGGTTTGAGCAGAGATGAAGAAAAAGACAGACAAGCTTAAACAGGCTGTGAAGTGTTATGAATTTATCAAAACAGACAGTTTATATTAGGCTTACTTTTTAAACACTATATTTGGATCGTTTATTGGCCTGAACTCATTAAAATTTTATCTCCATCTGTGCTATTTGATATGGTGTTTGTTGTTGTTTGTTGGCAACTGTTCTCCTTTTGAGAAGAGGAACTTTGAGATGCATTAGTGATTTGTTATACATGTAAATCATCTTGTTCTTCCCCATGAATTCTATATCATGGTTGGTGTAATCCTGTTAGAACAGGGTATGTATGTGGTTATTCGGTTGCTGTCAGGTGTGTCAAAATTTAGTTTAAATTGAGCATCTGTCCAGGGAGACTGGTTACCAGAGCAAGTGCGCTCACTAATGTCTCTAGACACAGGCTATATAAGCACATGAGGCAACATAAGATCACGAGGAGGTTCTTTCATGTCTAGTGTCACGTCATGTCTGCATAATGAAAATAAGAAATTAATAAAAATAAATGAAATCATTCATTTCTCAATCTAATAAAAAAACTGTTGCAGAGCTAAAATGCAACTAACTAACTAACTAACTAAATAAATAAATAAAAACGAGGGGCTGTGTGGTGGCTCAGTCAATAGTATTTGGATGCAGCCATTATGATGCAAGCTGAGACTGCATATCTCAGAAATGCAATGTCAGACACAATGCACTCAATAGAGCTAGTGATGTCACTGTGATGGATAGGGGTAGGGGTGGGGTTAGGTGAACCCATTCAAAAGCATTGCATGCAGCTCAGATTGCATCTGCACCTAGTCTGCAGCCAGAATCCCCTCGGTTAGCACTGTCTCCTAACAGCAAGAAGGTCATTCAGGGTCGGCACTGTGGAATGAACCGCCAACTTATCCAGCATATGTTTTTTATGCAGTGGATGCCCTTCCAGCTACAATCCAGCCCTGAAAAATGGACTAAGCGGCAGGAAATTAATAAATAATAATAATGATAATAATTTTGTTTCCTCAACATCTGTCATTTTAGTTCCAAAATGTTTTCTCAAAGATTTGGCAACTGTAGATTTTATAACTGTCACATAAATTTACTAAACCATGAAGATTATTCAGCTAGCCTATTGAAAGTTCTGGAATTATGCAATTTAATAAATAAATGCATAAATTTTGGCAGCTTTTTCCTTATAAAATACAATTTTGTCAGTACACCCGCTGTACAAAAAATATCATTAAAAAATATGTTTTTTTTTAAGATCACGTTGCTTTAGTTTGGAGAGAAAATGATTTTTAAGAACCACTATTGACAATTCTGTAAATGCCCAGTTGATGTCACTGCAGACCAATGGAAAGCACAGCGTTAGCCTTATTTTGAGTGAGTGGAAATCAGAAAATAATATAAAGTCAAACATGGTGTTAAAGTTGGCTTGTTGTTGAGAGATTTGATTTTATAAAAAAAGAGTCACACAAGGCACAGAACTTTTGTTTTGCTTAGGTCATAGCCCTTTATTAGGTTATAGGCCTATTCCTCAATGTCATTTTATGGATAAAAGAAAGTGCTGGAAGACATTTTAAAACATGCTATCCAGTCTAGAAAAAATCAGAAGCCTAGAAAAATGTAGACTTTTATCCTTCAAAATCACAAGCAGCAAAATCCTGTGGCCCCAGCAAACATCTAATGCTTTCTAATGTTCTGTTTTGACTGTGGGAACTGTTACTTGAAAAGTCCCAAAAATATAAGAATCTCAAGTTTGCTTAAGGCGACAAGGTGGCTCTGTGAATAGCACTGTTCTGTGTGGAGTTTGCATGTTCTCCCCATGTTGGCGTGGGTGCTCCGTTTTCCCCCACAGCCCAAAGACATGCGCTACATGGTAATTTGAATAAACTAAATAGGCTGTAGTGTATGGGTGCATGTGAGAGTGTATGGGTGTTTCTCAGTGATGGGTTGCAGCTGGAAGGGCATTTGCAGTGTAAAACATATGCTGGATAAGTTGGCAGTTCATTCCACTGTGGGGACCCCTGATGAATAAGGGACTAAGCCTAAGGAAAATTAATGGGTTTGTGGTAGAGTTGGCTTTAATGGTTGATATAAGCCATGGTGCAACAAGATCAACTAGGCCTGCTGTAACGTTAACTAAAATTCTAAGAAGCTTTACTGGAACATATTGTCTCAAAAAAATCTGATAACTTTTATAGAATTGTTTCGCATTATCTTATCATAGCTATCCTAGTCAAGTCCACCTATGCATGCAGGAATGGATCAAACGTCAGATTTGCCATCTGCAAAGGAGAACAACACGTCACTCACAGTAATACACTGCTTTAATTTGTCTGCGCATGTTCTGCTTTCAAGATGGCTTTTGTTGAGTGTGTGCGTTGCACTAATTACCATGATCATTCAAAACGGAGCACTACTCCTGCTTGCAGCCTCCCACACGAGCTCTAAAAAACAATTCATGCACAGCTACACAGAGACATGCAGCTACTCTTTCATAGGAGAGATAGGTAGTAAACATCATTTCAATAACAGAACAGCGCTAGATGAGGTTATTATTAGCAGGTCAGATGGCAATGTCGATCAACATGAATTAACATCATTAATGACAA